GACATGCGATGCTCATGGTATCAATCACTGGATTATCTGGTCCAGACTCGATTATTCACAGACCGATGTCCTATAGCTGGAATATTGCTGAGTGTGGCTATAAACAACAAACAAAAATCAAAAGTATCAACCAAGTTAGTAAGCCTGACCACCCGATCCCATTCGTCGCCCCTTACGACAAGCATGGTCGCCTTTTACGGCAAGCATGGGTTTCTGAAGACCTATTCTAATAGTATACTACTAAAAAAAAAAAGAACATCTTACAACAAGACATATAGGAAACTACGTGCATGTCTTCCCGGACATTGACACAATCAGGGGTCCCTGGGTGTGCTCTCTGCGATCGTAGATTCATTAACCCAATCATTAGGTTGTTTCTCTGCGTGGTTTATAATGATTTCTCCAGGAAATCAATTCCTTCCCTATTTCCCGTATGGTTCGGCGACAGACACTGCTGAGAAATCCGTGTGAAGAAAGCCATTAGAAATTAATGATCCATTGTGGATGAGACGACGAAGATCTGCACGCGCAATGGGGATTGGGCACTTCCGGTATGCACACCTTGTACTTCCGGTCTTATTTTTTCTCTTGAAAGAAATCTCATAAATAAGGCAATCGCCTGTTTCCGGAATTACATGAACAGAAGCAGGTGATTGTGTATATAGGCCAATGTAGCGCTAAAGTGCTCGTGCACGAAGCATGTTCTACAATGTACCGAATGTAAGACCAAGGCCGTTTTTTTACATGGGAATAAGTTTTATGAAACAGTAAACATGGAACCGATTATTTTAAAGCTCATACATAAATCATAAACGCTATCACATTACCAACTGCCATGCTTAATGATCTCTTCAGATAATGCTTAACGCCATAGTTAGTATTTATGGTTCCCGTGTTTGAATAAATGATAATTTGACACGGCAGATCAATTAAGTGTTAGACTGCATAACGCGACTGCCGGATCCCACGAGATGTTGAAAAAACCCAACTTGTCTACCACAAACATTACATTGTTGCATGTCATTTTCTTTATAAAATATACAGGCTCATAGTTTTCATTGAAAAAGTATCTGGTTTTGCAAGCTGTAACTGAAGTAGTATCCAATCTCCAGACATATTTTGGTCCCTTAGATTAAGTACTTGTATCAACCACCACTGTACCTGGCCTCAGTGTTGCTAGGTGGCATGAGCACTATCGTGATAGAAAGTCAGTAAGTGAGTATGGTTTTACGCCGCCTTTAGCAATATTCCAGCAATATCACGGCGGGGAACACCAGAAATGGGCTTCACACAATGTACCCATGTCGGGAATCGAGCCCGGGTCTTCGGCGTGACGAGCGAACGCTTTAATCACTACGCTACCCGACCGCCCCCCTTGATAGAAAGAGAAGCCGAACATTGCATGCAGCATCTGAATCTTCATGTTCCAATTTTATTCCTATCCCGATTGCAATTTGTTTTCCATCTACCGCCTCCGTTGTCTAGTGGTAGAGCGTCCGCCCGGAGAGCGGAAGGTCCGGGGTTTGACGTTAAAAGATCGTACTTGTTGTTACCCTGTCTGGCGCTCGGCATTAGGGGCTAAAACAAGGAGTGGTCGGCTCGGAGTCAGTATACTGTGTCTGAGTGGGGTATTCATGTTAAACTGCGACATGGTATCTCAGTGAGCTAGCACTATAAATAGGCATCAGTCCGGACTAGTACAAGCAGCAACAAACACATACACGTGCATGCACGTCGCTATATAAGTGTAATAATCTTGGACGCGACGTTAAACCCCTTTTCACCTGTTTTTATCTTTAATAATTCCGGAGCTGATACAATATTTGTGAACATCGTGGCTGGTCCTGAACTTGTGTTTTTCAAGCTGATAATTTGTTTGAGATGAATTAATACTATTGTAAACATTTTAAATGCCTCTTTAAATTAGTGACTTGTGTTTCCGTTTAGTCGCTTCATGGACAATCATAGGTTGGTGGGGACTTATATTCTGACCGGCGATCCCCACGGCATGTCGGTTTGATGTGGGAGGAAAGCCCGAAGTAACGCACATTTTAGACGTTTACCGTTGTAGTGAAACACTAGGGTATGGTGCCGACAAACCATGATACATAATCAGGGAAAATCTGGGATCCGAACCAAATGGACTCAACACAACACAGCCCAGTGCCACCGTCAGATGTAAGTTCTCGCTGCCGTTGTGTTTAGTGATAGTGAGAACTTAGAGTGAGTATTGTTTTACGCCGCCTTTAGCAATATTCCAGCAATATCACAGCGGGGGACATCAGAAATGGGCTTCACACATTGTACATGAGTGTTTACTCATGAAGCAATAGGAGGCATATTCAGTCTCTGCACAACAAATCATATTTGTCGCCACTTTCAACCCAGTTTCATGCAGTGACAGTAAACTACGGTTATAACGAACTCAAAGGGACTACTAATTTTAGTTCGTTATAACCGTAGTTCGTTATAAACATATATACAGCATAACTACAGTAAATAGTCGGGACCAAAAAAATAAGTTCATTATATCCGTCAGTTCGTTATAAGCGTGTTCGTTATAACCGTAGTTTACTGTATACCAAGGACACCAGAAATGGGTTTATACATTGTACTCATATTGGGAATTTGAACCTGGGCCTTCAGGGTAATTAGCCAACGTTTCAGCTACCTACCGCACCGATGGATGTTGGAGGTGTGGCGACGTGAGGTGGGGGTTTAACCCTTGGCTGCCACAGGAGTATACGGTTTACCATTGGAAGTGGCGAAATTCGCTGGGTTAATTTACGCATAAAACAATTTTGTACGTTTTGTATAGTGTCTGTTTTCTCAATCTTATATTTGCTGTTAATTTTACATCTAGAGATTGGAAATTTAATAATCTACATCTCTGCGTACTTTTATAGTTACAGGTAAACCCAGTGCAACCAGCAATTCTGCACAACGTTCGCTTTCATCACTTACAAAAATGTGCGGCAGAAAAATAATTCGGCATCCAGCGGGTTAACGTCACGTTGAAGTTCATTGCGCATATATAGCGACGTTCAAACACGCACGCTATGTGTGTGTGTGCGCGCGCGTGTGTGTGCATGTGTGGTTTGGCTGCTTGCAGTCGTCCGGATAAATGCTGGTTTTATAGTGGATATCCCACTATATTTCTTAGCCGACCATTCCTACGCTGTCAGGGGATCGAACCACCGACCTTCCGGTCACTGGGCAGTCGCTCTATCCGCTACACCACTGAGCCGGTCGTTGAACGTTGGAAGTCGCTTGGCAACAGTACACCAGTAACAACTTGAAACGATAACTAATATACGACAGAATTCGAAAAGTCGATAATTCCCAGGAAACCAAATTACCACGGCAACTATGTATCGTACATCTCACGCAAGAACACATTACAATAAAAAGTGTCGGGCATTGTAGTTTTTCAAATGGTAACGTCTTATCTTCGTCAAAATGTGTTGCGTTTTTGTTTTTTTTTAAATTAAAAAAATATAATTTGCAGCTAAAACGAAACAAAATGTGTAATGCGAGTCTCAACTTTAACTAGCCACAAACCAGGTTTCCCACGCGTAGTTTATCTGCTGGGGCATCCATACTGATGTCGACTCAACGCCTGTATATAGAACACTGAATTATCCTGTCTGAACATTGTAGCCTTCATAATCATGAATTGATTTCAAGAGGACGAAATTGAGTCTCGTGTTTGTCCGGAACTGCCATTCTTGCAAAGGACTATAACATCAATTTTCCCATTCATACAGCTATTTATCCTTCATTCATCGATTAGTATTGTGGTTTGAGAATATCTGTGTTGGGTGTTGGGTCTGGTGGTAAGAGAATAGTAACTGAGTGAACCCGTGAAGATCCGGGGTACAGTAGGTATTCAGCAACCCATGCTTGGCGTAAAAGGTGACTATGCTTGTCGTATAAAGAGGCGACTAACGGGATGGGTAGTCAGGCTCGTTGACTCGGTTGATGCAGGTCATCATATCCCAGTTGCATAGATCAATCAAGGGATTGTCTGGTCCAGGATCGATTATTTACAGAACGCCGTCATATAGCTGGAATATTGTTGACTGCGGCGTTAAACAAAAAAACATACAAACAAACAATGCCCACGTGTACCTGATCATGGCTGCCAGTAATGGACAGGTCCAGACCATGTACACAGTAGACAGTAGCAGGCCTCGCCCTACAGCGTCCCTGCACTGGCTATCAGCTGTGCATTTATCTACTTACTTTTAAGTTACTTAATCATGTAATAATCCAACCTGTGGACAGCTAATGAGTTATCTGGGGGGTAAAAGTGAGTTAGCAGGGTTTTACTACATGAAGGGGACATCTGAAATGGACATTGTGCTTGCCTTAGGCGAAATGAGCTGTTTAACCAAAGACTGCCGGTAGTTAAATACGAAGCTATATACACCCCTGTATTGTACAATAACAAAGCAACAACAAACACCCATCTTGTGACTCTTGGCAGTTTATTGAATAAGTTATGGTATTTACAATGACTACCTGAACAAAGTGATATATGCAGCAAGGCTACAAATGAATGTGAATCACTACAATACAAAATGTAAATGATTATTTAAAAAAACATGATGAGTTCATGAGAAGTGCTGTGACCAACTCCCAAAGTGATGCCAGACCTTGAAGTTTGCCACTTTGGTGAAGTCACTGTGCAGAGATAAGGTGATGAGAAATCAAGGATCATTGCCAAGGTGAATCTGGGATAGAAGCTGTTAACATGGATCATGGCACACCAAAGGGATGCAACTCTGCAGTGTGAATTGAGGCCTGACAGAACTGAGCCAGGCTGGACCCCTCACCTCAGAGTAAAAAGTATTGACTGATTGATTGTTTGTTGTTTAACACCGCACTCAGCAATTTTCCAGCTATATGACAGCGGTCTGTAAATAATAGTCTGAACCAGATAATCCAGTGATTGACATCATGAGCATCGATCCACAAAATTGAGATACAATGACATGCATCAACCAAGTCAGCAAACCTGACCACCGGATCCCATTAGTCGCCTCTTACGACAAGCATAGTTGCCATTTGCGGCAAGCATTGGTTGCTGAATACCTGTTCTACCCCGAATCTTCATGGGTCAGAGTAAAAGTAAGGTAACTGATAACTGTAACAGGATTCCACAGTGCAAGTGCATTATCCTGCTCCAAAACTTCTCAGGGATCTTTGCTCATGTTCTGTGATGCCTGTTGTTCTCACTCCGTCTCACAGATATGAAGGGAGAGACATTTGTTTCCATAAATTCTATCATCCTTACATAGATAGGGTCAACTTCACCTCAACAAAATGGTATATTTGTCAGAACATATAAACATATGATCAGAGGTGAAAATGACCCTCAAGGATGAGATTCTCCTGTGTCTTTATTGCATTTTCTTCTGTAGCTGGCCTCCACACAAGGTGTTCCCTGTCACCTCTTTACATCTTCATCATTGTCTCCTTTCTCCACCCGGACCTCGGCTTGTCCGTTCTTGTCTTCATCCTGCTCTTCATCACTCTCGTCCTCAGATTCTTCAGACTCGGCTGAAACAAGAACATTGGTCGATAAGGTTGTTTGATGACTCAGAAAGTGAAAGGGTTGATGGATGAGTGAGTGAAAGGGTTGTTGAGTGAGTGAGAGTGATTGGGTTGTTGGATGAGTGAGTGAGAGTGAAAGGGTTGTTGGATGAGTGAGTGAAATGGTTGTTGGATGAGTGAGTGAGTGAAAGGGTTGTTGGATGAGTGAGTGAAGGTTGATGGATGAGTGAGTGAGTGAGTGAAAGGGTTGATGGATGAGTGAGTGAGTGAAAGGGTTGTCGGATGAGAGAGTGAGTAAAAGGGTTGATAGAGTGTGTGATTGTGTGAGTGAGCAAGTTGGGTTTAACACCGCTTTTAACAGTATTCCAGATATATCGCGACGTGTCAGCTTGATGTGGGAGGAAAGCCGGAAGTGATGCAGGTCTCGGTGAAACCAAAGAGCACAGGTATGATGCTGACAAACCTGGAAACATAATCGGGGCGAACCGGGATTCGAACCCTCATCTTATACATTGTGTATTGGAATGAGTATTGGTTTACGCAGCCTTTAGCAATATTCCAGCAATATAACGGCAGGGGACACTAGAAATGGGCTTCACACATTGTACCCATGTGGGGAACCAATGCCTGGTCTTCGGTGTGATGAACGAAGGCTTTAACCACTGGGCTACGGCGCCATCCCTTGTGTTTTGGAAGAGTATGTATATGTGTGTCTACATCAATGGTTTTGGTGTGTGTGTGTGTGTGTGTGTGGGGGGGGGGGGGGGGAGACAATATCCATGAAACTAATACAGATCAATGACACCCTTCAAACAGAGGTCAATGACACCTTTCAAACAGAGGTCAATGACACCCTTCAAACAGAGGTCAATGACACCTTTCATACAGAGGTCAATGACACCTTTCAAACAGAGGTCAATGACACCTTTCAAACAGGTCATGACACCCTTCAAACAGAGGTCAATGAAAACCTTCAAACAGAGGTCAATGAAAACCTTCAAACAGAGGTCAATGACACCCTTCAAACAGAGATCTATGAGCTCAATTTTACTTGCATTTACATGAAAATGCAACACTTCAAACATCTGACTTGTTCTAACATCATGATCCAGGAAACTAAGCATGTATTTACATTTACTTAATTACCTTTCTTCTCCTCCTTCCTTGGTTTCTTGGTCTTCTGTTTTTTCTTTTTCATCCTGTAAGAAGCAGATAAGTATATCTCAGTATGAGTCAAGACATTAAGAAAACCATATTCACCACAATAAATACCTGGGAACTTTGAAAATTAACAAAGAAAGGGTGCTTATCAAAACCATACACAAGTTAAATTTGTTTTCAGAGAATATGTGATAGTTCAAATGCCAGTGTAATTAAAACGATTTTGATAATAGTTGCTTATACGCAATTATACACCTTTTCTACGGTGCCGTATTCTGTAAAAACAACTGCAATATCAACCAGAAAATATGGACTGTCATGTAATTTTTTTGTCTTCGTCGAGGTTACCTACAGGCTGATCTAGAACTTGATAAGTGGAGCTTATTGGATGCTGGATTAGATAAGGCCGTTTTAGACAACAGTCCATGTACTATGAATACAGTGAGGTTGTTACCTGGCGTTATCTCATCCAGTTGTCTAAACAGCTAATATGCCACAACTCATGCAAATATTCTCCTTGTCACTTCACAAGATGAGATTGACAAAATATACTAAATATTCCACATATACTGTACATTTGAAAGGGATACTGAAATATTACATAGTGTTACAAAATTATAAGACAATAAGTGATTGAATTGTGCATGTCCGCTTATCTGGAAATAAAGCTGAAAATGTGTGTGTCATCTCCTGACAGTTCTACATTGATGTCTTGCTAAAAATAGCATCCAACCCTTTCAAATTTTGTGCAAAATTCCTATTTCATAAGCAATTTTGAACTACATTAAGGATATTGAAAAGGGAAGTAACTCTGCCTTTTGTTTTTTTGGGCCCATAATTCTGCAGGTTTTACCATCTCAAAAGCTCTCAACACAGATACACCGGTTGTACAATAGGTAAGGACAATTCTTCCCCTTATCTTAAAAAACAAACAACTTTTCAGTTGTATTTTAAAGCAAGGCCATTTTGGGAGTTTTATTTTCCTACCAACTATTGACCTAAAGCTGAGGATGCAGATGAAACAAAATAATAACGCTGTCATCTTGTGTCAACTCAATATGGGAGGAGCTCAGGTCAATTCTGGAACTGAAAATTCATTATCAGTGAATCCTGGAATGACAAAGGGATGCAACTCTGCACAGACACTGGGTCACGCCTACTCCATTACCCGTGATAGTAAATACAGATATTAGTCCTGTCTGAGGAAACACAAAAACAGAGAACACCCATAACTTTGCTATTTTGATAACAACAGTTACTGAACTCTCAGAATGATCCTGAGACCTACATCTAATTTCACAGTAATACTGCTGTATTTGAATGCATTAATACAGCCGCTCTCCATGAACTGACTGAGAATCTCAACAGTCCAAGGAGTACCAGAACTCAACCTCCCCATTGTGTAGTGGAGAGCTGAGGTCACTGGTTTGATTCCACGCCGTGATATATCAAAAGATGTTGAATGAAGTTGTTACCCTGCCTGGTGCTTGGCATTGAGGGAGAAGACAAGGACTATGTCTGAGTGGGTATCCATGCTAACCTGCAGCATGGTATCTCAGGGGGCTAACACCATGAACTAGTCCAGACTAGTACAAGCAGCCACACACTCACGTACATGTATGTCGACATGTAAGTGCAACAATCTTGAAAGTGACGTTAAACACCATGTCACTTCACCTCATCTCTACCAATGTTCCCCGCCAAACAGTCCCAGCAGTGGTTTAGCAACCCTGCTAAGTCGGTTAGGGAGTTTGACACTGACTTCAACGGTACAGGGTTAGACTAAACCGCTAGCCCATGACGAGTACAAGTTCCTGTGGGCTAGTACAAATCTACCAATTACCCCATTGTTTTAACATTACAAGAGCATATTATCTTTAGCCAGGCTAGTAAAGCTTTAGGTTTAGTTCTATTAGTTACTATAGTGAAGTATTTGTTTGAATTTCGCGTCTCCTGCATGTCCTGAAGTATCTGCCCACTCTACTGGCAGTTCTCTGTCAATCAGCCACTTCCAGCTGCAGCAGCACCAGGGCTGATCTGCACATATGTATCCAGCCTTACCTTTTCGCCCTCTTCTTGGATGTCCTCTCATCGGCAGCCTTCCTGTTCTCCTCCACCCTCTTCTCGTACTCCACGTCCTGCTTGTCCTGAACACACCATGCCACACATTAACACCACGGAACACGAACCACACATGCTTTTTGGGATCTGTGCTCAGATAGTGTAAGTCTTTGAACACACAATGCCATTTAGAAAGGGGTCAAATGTAACATATTTTATTTGGCATAACATTTCTCAGTAAAGTACAAATTCTTGTACGTTTTTAGGTTGAGTCCCAGCAATCTAACCCACTCAGCCATAGTGGAGCCTGGCTGACTGAGCGGGTTAGATCGCTGACTTTGTATGCTGGCGATTAGGTGTCGCACTCTGAGAGTGTAGGTTCGAATCCCGGATGGGACTCAAACCCCCAAAGTACTAGAATTTGTACTTTACTGGGGAAGTGTTATCCCCAATATAACATTTGGAAACCGTCTTGTTCAATCATCAGAAATTGGTTCGTTCTATCAATAGGTTCTTAAACTATTGCTGCAAATAAGTCCAAAGCCCTTTCAGCCTATAAAACAGTATTAGATCTGTTAGAGTGATATGTATCTTTGACCTTGATGTTGCCAATGACAAGTTCATGAGCTGAATTTAGCCCCAACCTGTCAATAAAACTTACTTATCAGGAATGTGAGTGAGTGAAAAATTTTCGTCACATTGGCATATTTTAGCCATACTGTGACTAGAAAATGTTATACATTAAAAATAATATATAATTGTTTGTTTGTTTGTTTGATGCTTAACGCCTCACTCGACAAATACCAGCGTTAGAAATTGGCACTAGTCCTGTAGTCCCTGCCAAACTGCCCAGTTGTTAAGGTATCAAAAGGACAAGTAGAAATTTGCCCTTATTAAGGGTTTTGCTATATGTTATCATTATAAGGACTAGTGGACTAAAACTGTTAGTTTCTAGCGCTGCAAATACACTATGTTTAAAAAAGTGGTAGATATAAACATTTTTTTAATGACTCTGATACGACTAATCTGGAAGGGGATATGTTAATTGGTAGTTTCAACATTCGACCCATGAAAGGTCAACTGATCACTGAACTTGTCTGGACATTTATTTAGATCTCACTCCATACCGAGAGGTTACCGTCTAGAAGCTTCATAGTTTAGTAACCTGTCTTGGTGCATGTCCATCTTTATCATGTTGACCTGTGTCACTACATTATCTGACCATTATTTGAATTAGGTTTGCATCGACCCATAGTTCCAAAATACATCTCCATCATTTATACTGATGGTATCATGACATTCAAACTCCTACTCATTTTGCTAAATATTTTGTTGGAACCGATTTGCTCAGATTCCATCAACATTTGTGCAAGTTATCACCCTGAAACACCCACACCAGTTGTAACTATGGTAACCACTGACCATGTTGACCATTCCTGATAGTTCTTGTTTTCTCAGACATTTGCAAGTGAACACACATACAGTCAAGTCCCGTTAATCCGACATGAAGGGTTGCATATGATACTGTCGGATTAACGAGTTTGTCGGATAAACGAAATTAAGTAGTATCAACGTTCGTGATTGAAAATCGGACAACTACATGATAGAAAACGAGATTTTAATGAGCTTGAGGTAATCTAAGCTTGTGATTAATCCTGTTTTCTTTATATAAAGCATTAATTGTTTATTGTTAAGCAAGTTTATTTCTGCAGCCGTTGTAATATGTAGCTACCAGCCGGGTCGTCTCGCATCAAAACACAGGGCGGTGTACTCGAGGGCAGATGCCCATGGAGTATACTGATCACTGTGTTGAATTATCGAGACTGATTAATGAGTGATTTCGGTAATTCGTTGCAAATTAGGTGTGTCAGAGTCGGAGTACGAGGCTGTGAGATTAAGACTGTCTAAATCGCACTAATTTTATCGGTTCCCATTATTTGTGTCGGATAAAGCTGATTGTCGGATTAACGAGACTTGACTGTAGTTATCTCTCGATGTTCCAGACCAATAAACATACTGTAGTTTCAGGCATGAGTACACATATCTGTGAGTGAGTATTGTTTTACGCCACTTTTCGCATATCACAGCTGGAGACAACAGCAATGGGTTTCACACATTGTACCCATGTGGGGAATCGAACCCGGGTCTCTGGCATGACAAGAAACGCTTTAACCACTAGGCTACCCCATCGCCCCTTGCACATGTATCATGTTATTCATGGATTGGTGTTTCTGGGTGTAATTTATTTATTATGCCTTTCAAATTCTCTTTTGAAATAGGAGTTCTGTTCATTAAGATGTTTGACTTGACCTGTAGACAATGGGATGCAAGGAATATATACCTTCTTAGCCTTTTCTGTGATAAACTTCTGTCTGGCGTACTCCCTTCTCCTCACACCACGGTAGACATGGAAGTCACCGCTACCTGCTCCTGCACTGGAACCTGGGTACAACAAACATGTCCGGTACCAGTCTGACAACAAGTAACCTTGTATATGTGGTTGTTATATAAAGCCGCGCTCAACAATATTCCATATATATGACAGTGTCAGGTAAATCATTAAGTCTGGACCAGACAATCCAGTAACTGACATTATGAGCAGTGATTACACCACTGGGATACCAAGATATCCAATCAACCAGTCACCAAGCCTGACCACCCGATCTATTTGGTCGACGCTGACAACCAGCATAGGATATTGCAGACCTATTCTATCCCGGAATATACAGACAACAGCAGTTGACAGGATGAGTCAGGTTCCATGTTGATGTAGAGGGAAAGAACTCTTGATTATCAATGCTAGACACTTGCCATGTTTGAAACAAAGTTCTCATACAATACAGAACTCTTTCACGTCTACGTGCTCTGTTAACACAGTAATCACCAAGGGGTAATCTACATGATATAAGTGTTGATTCCATGCTTACCCCAAACATTTCTGATGAATTCTTGTGGACCGCGAGGATTCCAGTCCTTAGATTTATCAGGAATGATGACTTCTTTCGTCTAAAAATTAAAGGGTAATGATTAACTGCTTTGATATACATAACAGGGTTAAGAGACAAACAAAATGGGTTCTCAATACCTATAAAGGGCCAGTTCGTCATCCTTTCTGTCGCATTGTTTGTAAACAACAGCCAATAACCCCTGATGTTACTTGACCCTGCTTGCCTTATTCTGTGTGAGAAGTTTCTGTTTCAGTGACTACAGCATGGGTGTAGGATTATCATGTGGTCAGACTTTTCTCTTGCTTGTAAACAAACACACTTATTCAGATATAGGAACAGACTGGCCTAATGCAAGTCTTTTGATGCACTGTACATATTGTTTTGCAGAATAATATCGATACACTACTACAACTGTGACAGTGAGGTGCATGATGATATAGCTTTACACATGAAAGTGACCGTGACCATGCTCTCTGTAGGGTTTTTGATGACAGCAAGTGGAGGATAGAGACGAAAATGGAAATAGTTTTTGACATTTTAGGATATTTTCTTAATGAAAGTTAAACACATCATGACATATATTTATCTGAAGGTATAGACTCATCCAAAGTGAAACATATGAAAAACACATGAATGGACTGTGTAAGATGTGTGACAGGTACCAGGCTGGCCGCAAGGAACCCTTGGTAGGAGAGTGATTAGCTTCATACAATCAAGGCATATGTATATTCTAATGATAGTAATCTAGGCTTGTAATCTAATCAAGCTGGCAAGTAGTACTTTGTCACTCATCCATAAGAAAAACACACAAGCTTTCTCTTCAATTTCACTTATAAAAAACACACGATTGAAGCAAGTTTACTCTGTGCAGCACTTGCCTTGTTGGCTTCACTGTGTGGAGCTCTATTATTTTTTTGGTTTCAGAATGAACTGAAGGTGTGACGTCAAATTCGGAAATTTTTTCATGCATATGATTAAAAACACACAGAACTGTCAACGTACTGTCCTTTTAAATAGTGGAATGAAAAATGTTAAGAGTAGGACTGTCTATATCATGTCTACTGGCAACAGTGAGTTACCCCAAGCAATTCTCAGTGCTCTCTTGTCTAATGCCACAGTCAGCAATTATTCCATCAATATCGCTCAGGGCAATAACTGACACGGCTTATCATGCTAATGAACACACTGAAAACACCTCATGATTTTAAAAGACTTGTGATATTGTGTTAATCATGTTGATAGAATTTGAATTTTGAATGATTGATTTGCTAAAACAAGTGTTCAGAGCTAACTAATCCTCAGTTTATATCAATGAGGAACTTGTGAATTTGTGTTAACTGATAGAGTTATTTTTGTTTGTTTTTAAAGGTTACGAAACAGCACTTTGACAACGTTTTCGCAATGGTTTGCGCGAAATCTGAATCATAGAAGTCCGGCCATGTTTTTTTTTAGTGCTTGATTCAAGAAGTGTTTTCAAAGTAGATATTTTGTTCAAAATCAACACATATTCATTGTCTACTCACTGGATTTTTCATTAGTTTATCTAGTCTCATTCTTTGAAGTTCGGACGGCGTTTTTGCGATGACAACAGCCTTATCCTCATTTTTGGACGCCATCTTGCAACTAAGCCCTCTTGTGGCCAGGAGGGGACAACTCATTGTCATATTGAGACCACTAAAGAATTTTGGATCAGTATTGGTTCGCATTGCTCTCTGTAGTCTAGACTCTGTAGTAATAATAAGTCCATGCAATCTTTTACTTTCTTTGAATTTGTCTTTTTAAACAAATAAATTTATTCATTCTGTGGAAGCCTTTTATCGAGTGCGGATTTCGAACAATATTATATAGAATGTGCGATTTGAGAAAACGGGTAATACACAAATGCAGATTGTTCACGATGCATGTCTATCAACAGCAGCAGTACGGTTTATCGGGCGCATTCTTGCTTTTCGTTTACTAACGCACCCTTAGCCTAAGATAGTAATGCGGTTAATTAAAGCGTTTTACTTCAATTGTCCCATTGTTAACATGTGTAAACACTGGGGAAGTAACAACTTGTAAATGTCTGCTTCAGAGCCCCGTTCCACTGATGTTAACGTAAGGATCAGTTTCTACTGGGTACACCCATAGATCCAGATAAGCTGCGTATCTGCGTAGAATACGCATCAGAAATGCAGAAATACGCAGTAAAATAATATCCAAGTGTATCAAATACGCAACGAACATTACAGATACGCTACAAAAATAAAACTTGTGCGTATCATCAAAATATTGTGAAGTAACCCTGCGTATTCGATTGGCAATCAGCAACTTATTTTGAAATTATAAACGGGCATTCGGTCAACCTTGCCAAACTCCACGATGACAGTTACATCATGATCATTTGCCATCACACTTTCTTGTGGAAGTATCGTGGTATTTTTAAGTCCTATAAAGCTCTCGAACCCACACAACACCAGTTTGCAGGGACTAGATGAATAGTGTTTTTAAATATTTAACTTTAATACCCACATGTGTTAAAACTAGTGGCTAACAGAAATTTGAATACCCAGATAGAATAACTGATACCCAGTGATTTTAAAATGCATGGGTAAAATACCCACAACACCTAAAGCTTATCTGGAGCTCTGTACACCATTGCGACAACCCGATCCTCAACATTGAGTGAGTGAGTGAGTGAGTGAGTGAGTGAGTGTTTGCCACTTTGGCGAAGAGCACGGTCATGTTGCTGCAAAACCTAGAAACATAATCGAGGCGATCTAGGATTCGAACCCACACTCATACGTTTCTTGCGTGCCCAAGGGATGCAACTCTGCCCAGCCAATTGAAGCACCTTTGAGTATGTTGTCCCCGTTTCCCTGGTCTCCGTCAGGTGAACTAACGTCACATCAGTCACATCCGTCAAGGTCAAGGTCAATGTGCAACCAAGAGCCCAATCACGGAGGAAAACCTAGTTCATGGTCACCTATTGAAACCAGTCAGTCCAGGACGGGACAATATATGCTACTGGACGAATGGGTGGGCATGACAACATGTCACATCATGGCGGTAAATATGAATCGGTGTTCAGACAGGTGTTGGGAAACAGACACAAACGTAAAGATGATCTACACAAGCATACAGATGGTCTAAAGTACATTACCTCCGACACTACGATATGGCTTCATAGACCATGTGAGAGGATTTCGCCTAGTGTAAGTATAAACCGGCAATATAACCCGCCGGGCAATAGAAAGTATATACACCCATGTTTGATGGTGCCTAAAAATAAACCATCAAGAAATGGTTATTCGGTGGTGATGCATTTGAAAGTGGTATCAGAGCTCCAGATAAGCTTTTGGTGTTGATGGAATGCCCGTTTATAATTTCAAAATAAGTTGCTGATTTGCTAATCGAATACGCAGGGTTACTTCACAATATTTTGATGATACGCACAAGTTTTATTTTTGTAGCGTATCTGTAATGTTCGTTGCGTATTTGATACGCTTGGATTATATTTTACTGCATATTTCTGCATCTGATGCGTATTTCACGCAGATACGCAGCTTATCTGGAGCTCTGCGGGTATCAAAGTTGTGTTTTGTACCAAAGTTTGCAGTGTTTCAGCGACTGTTTCCAGCCTAGTAACGTCTTGATAACGTTTGTAATTGTTTGGCCAAATTCAATGTTCAAATGTACATTTTCTTTTGCCCAGAAATGTAGATACTTGCAATCGTGTACTACTAGTTAAGCGATGATACAGCGTTTAGGAAAGTGGAAATGAGCGATGTTTTGAAGAGGGGTGGGGTGCACTTCAACTGACAGTTAGAATGATCAGTATGTCTTCAACAAAAATACCAATTAATTGACTAATTTATGGACAACAAATTGTTTACCGAATTAATTAATGTGCTAGTATTTTTGTACTTTTTCAGGAGCTTTCGTGGCGAAGATTAGTGATGTCATTTGATTGTGACGTCATGGTAATGATGACGACACAATGGTCTTCAAAGCATTGAGCAATACGTCATAGGAGATATCGCTTAGCTTAATTTCGCCTGAGCGATATCTCCCATTGAAGCCAGTTTTTGATGATCAATAGAGAAATCTCAAATAAAAGTTTAAAGTGCCGGGTATTGCCGAGGAGGTTTAAACTTTTATCGACGAGTATTGAAATATTTGATATCAAAAGACCCACGGGTGAGATTCTATATACCACCCAACATCATTCTTTCAACAGTTTCAATTTGTAAACAGTAATTAGCAGTGTCGTGTAAAAAGTACCACTAATCAGCTTCAGTAGCCGAGCCATTAGTGATGTCATTTGATTGCGACGTCATGGTATAGATGACGTCACAAAGGTCTGCAAAGGATTGTGATGCAGGGATATATTCAAGGAGATAAAAATCCTTGATCTCAAAAAGCGATATCTTCTCTGAATACCAGTTTTGGATGATAACTTGAACTACGCTATTCTGCGATTCATATCTCGCGCCATACTTTGTTTAACTTATCTCCCTTTTCTAATCGGGAAACCCAACAAATTCATTATTTCATCAATATCAGGCTGAAAACGTGTAAAATCGCTTGGCAACAGCCTGCAAGAGTTTTATTTACGAAAAATAACAAATATTTGCAAAATCTCACAAAAATGTGCGAGGTCAAGCACACAAAAAAGGTAAACAATAACACTGAGTGTCGCATGTGCTGCACGCTCCGCGCACAAAACACTTCTTTACTACCCCCACAGTGAGGTCTCCCCGCGTGCTGAGCACGTGCTGTGGTCAACTGACACCTTACTGTCCCACCAAACAACATGAAGGTACGCAGTTGTTTACTTATGTCTGTTTATACCCTAATCAATCAACACATCCCTTCTGAAAACGCCATGCCGTCTCGAGTTCGCTGTCAATCTTTGCCATGCGTACTGAGCGAAAGTGGGTGTCTCCCGTCATGGTTTGGTGGTTGCTGATGGTCGTATTTCTCGACCAGCTTGTGGTTTAAAATTTTGCGATGGATGAAAAAGAACAAAGTGGCAAGGTATTTGACACGTTCTTCTGATTTCGATCGATCGCCGGTGGCTGAAATTTGCAAACAAAGAATGAATTTGGTGATTGTAGCGTTTGGGTAGGATATTTTGCCTCACTCGCTCATGCGTGAACATTTGAAAGAGTTGTTTGGGAACAAAGCTTGTGACCTCTTGGTCTTATGATTAAGTAGAACCTGTTATAAGATGTTTTTCTTTTGATACAAAATCACTTGTGTCAGTTATCACCTATTTGAATACTGTCATTGCGGATCAGTCAATTTTAAAACTAAGAAAAGAAAGCGTTAGATCTACTACAAATTTAGATCACTTATATTGATTAAAATGTATTTATAGTTTTTTTTGCTTGTATCAATATGACAAATATAATTAATTATAATGCATTGCCTCTATGTGAAAGGTTTATACAATGAATGTAATAATTGTTTATATTTCTTTTATTATATAGCCAATGAGAAAACTATAGCTTGAGAAATCAGTCAACAATGTAATTTAAGAAAAGAAAGTCTGTTAAACACAGCTTAGTCATCAATCATTCCTTAAACCTGACAAATGTATGAGTCACAATGTAGGTTTAAGAAAATACATATTGTTGAAACATTTTCTTTTCAAATTTGTTTACTTTGATAATACTTGACTCTAATGTTGGTCTTGCAGGTTTAGATTTGTTTTGTAAATATATCTTTTACAGAATTTTCTTGATAACTAATTACATACAGATTCAGATGAAACATTAATAGTGATTCCCACAGTACCTCATACACTTCTATAAGAGTTGAGTGACATGGGGATCGGATGACCACTCCCTGACCTGCCTGATTGTGTCACTGTACCCAACACCAATAGACTACAAAGGATGTTGAATATATGGTATAACTGCTGACTTTTCTGTCCGCGATGCGATGATTTATAGCTTGTCATGGAATATTGCTGATCGTTACTTTCCCTAGGGGTGAATTATTGGTTAAGTCACATTGTTGATAGCAACACAAGTATATCATGCCAGACTGTTTGTTTGTTTGTTGTTTAACGCCGCACTCAGCAATATTCCAGCTATGAATCAGCCGAATCAGTAATTATACTTCTCAACATAGTATTGATTGGATTAATGCCGGTTCAAGAATATACTTGTTTCTCAGAACTTTTTCAACTGTCCTGGTAGGGAGTTAGGAATTTGTAAAGTTATTTCTGCAGTAGCTTCCATGAACGTAAACTTCATTTATGCTACCATGTGATCTCTCTTGGCCACACCCCTTCAGTTTGAAGTATGAGTGAGTAAGTAAGTATGGTTTTACGCCGCTTTTAGCAATATTCCAGCAATATCACGGCGGGGGACACCTGAAATGGGCTTCACACATTGTACCCATGTCGGGAATCGAACCCGGATCTTTGGCGTGACGAGCGAACGCTTTAACCACTAGACTACCCGACCGCCCCGTTTGAAGTATGAAGAAACAGGGCCAAGGCTATAGTGACAATAGCTGTTCCCTGTGAATCCAACACCCTATGTATTTTATTGCTGAAATATTGCTGAGTTTGGAGTTAAACAACAAAAAAGCAAAAAATAAAAATAGCAATCTATGAAAGGCATTGCATGTTCCAAAAGTTTAAATCGGCCGACGGTCTGTAAAAAATCGAATTTGGACCAGACAATCAAGTGACTGACATCATGAGCATCGATGTACTCAATTTGCATATGATGACATGCATCAACCACGTCAGCGAGCCTGATCACCCTATCCCGTTAGTCGCTTCTTGAGACCAGCCTGGGTTGCTGAAGACCAATTCTAACCCGGATCTTCATGGGTAGCGGCAAGAACAATTTTGGGGGCAGACATATTATGATAATCAAGTGTTTCTTTCAACAAGCTCCTAGTGTCCATCATCTTCCCGAGGCAAGGGAGTTAACTGACTGTAAATGTGCAGTTTCCACTCTTGCTAGACTACCACATGAAAAGATGTCTTTAGAAGAATTATTTATTTTTTTCTTCAAAAGAACCTTTCCACTTCTGCTGTTATTATATGTGGAATCAAGCAAACTAGACTTGATTAGTTTGATCGAGACTTGCCTAGGCGTTTAATAAAAATAAACACCTAGAAAATATAAATTCCACAGTCATGGCACAGGACTACACCCTTGCAAGACAAACATTTAATCAATGAAAACATGTCTTTAAAATAATTATAATTTTTTTCTTTAAAAAGACTTTTTCTCTTCTGATATAAGCAAACTAATCTTGATTAGTTTGATCTAGACTTGCCTAAGATTTTAGATAAAAAAAAATACCTTACAAATATAAATTCCACAGTAATGATGCAGGACTACACCCTTGCCGAACAAGGCTGGAATTACGGAGTCACATTTTGATTGACTGAAGGATTTGCAAAACATGTGTTCCGCCAACTGGACGTTGACAGATATGTTTTACATATATGTCGGTTAACTCCCTTGCCACAGGAAGACTGGTGTCCATGTGTTTCATTTGCACTCAGTGATGTTGTTGACATTGCTGATTATACAAGTTATCATTTGGTTTTGTTTTGCAACATTGTACAGTGAGTAAATTGTTCTCAGTCAGTAGGTTCAGTTGAAGGATATATACCTTGTATCATGTTCCATGGGCTGGTGTATAAACCATGTTATCTGACACAAGCTAACCAGCAGAGAGATACAAGTTACAAGGACACAATGTAACCGTCGGCATGATTTACTGTTTCTTTCCATTAAAGTGCAGGATAAAAATGCAAAGGAAAATGTTTTTTCATGTTTTGGGATAATTTCTCAACAAAAATTATGTTTATTTAAATGTGTAGACTCGTCCAAAATGAAACCGATGGAAAATACCCAAATGGACTGAGTAGGATCTTCTCCAAGGCAAGGGAGTAACTGAGTTAAATGTTTTGCAAATTTGGCAATTTACCGAAATCTGCACGGCATTTTACAAACAAGATGTCGAGTACGTTATGCGATTTTGATTGGACTGTGCACAGACTTGTTAGTCCAGCAAAACAAATATAACTCCATAATTTCAGCCTACTTCGGCAAGGATGGATACTGGACTTTTGTAGTCGGTTAACTCCCTTGCCTTGGGAAGATGGAGTAAGATTTGACAATGTGACAAGAGGAACTTGGCTAGCCACAAAGAACTCTGGGTAGGAGAGTGACTAACTTCATACGTCTGTGGCATATTTTTATTGTAATTGAGGCTCTGATAACCACTGGCTTCTAATGTAATGAAGCTGGCAGTTAGCATGATCAGTATTTTGTAATTCATCCATAAGAAAAACACACACGCTTACTCTGCACAGCCCTTGCATCGTTGGCTTCACTGTGCAGAGCTCTATTGTTTTGGTTTGAGAATTGAATCAGTCATGTGATGTCAAAGTAACAAAATGATTTCATGCATAATTTAAAAACACACTGAACCGTCGACATACTGTCCCTTCAGTCCAAGCTGCTTCTCTTCGTCTTGAGATAGATGAATACATTACAGACGCGGGATAAATTCAGTTTGGGTCACAGTCTTTATACATGTTATAAGCATGATAAGGCTTTCTTTTGAACATTGTCCAAAGCTTGGAAGGTTATTAAAGGAAAACGGCAAATTTTCAGCCATTGAAACAAAAAATTATTATCATACCAAATTTCAAAGTTTTCAAAAGGACAAGAATTTGATGTTTTTGGTAGGCTAAAGCGGGGGTCCATATAATCTTTTAATTCAAAATAAAAGCTTTGTAATTATACTGATTTTTTTCAGTCTAATTGCTTTAATTGTGTTATGTCAGTATTTGTCTTTGAATGAGTCAGCTTACAGACTGACCATTTGGTTTTCTGGGTCAGGCCTGGGATTTTTAATCAAGGTTAGAAATTCTTTTCCGTTACAGCTACGAAACCGGATTTGTTTTATAAAAATCTATGAGCCTGAATTTCCTTTCAAAGAAAAACACCTTGTAACAATGTAATTTTTGTGGAAGGCAAATTTTTGTTGTTGTCAAGTCTGAAAACTAATTATATTTTTCATGAATTATCAGGGACAATTAATTGTTTTCAATAATACATCAAGGTCTTATGTCATGGGGTAAGTCAACGGTTTGTGTTTTAGGTTCAAATGGATGGCTTCCATAAACTACAGGATGACCTTGAGAAGGTTATCGAGAAGGACGACAGCGGAAGCTCCGTTACAGATTCAGATGAGGTTTCTCGGTCTGAGCCTCGCACAACTCGAGAAAAAATCCACCATTTGCTGCACACCAACAAGTTCCAGATCGGCGTGATCTGTCTCGTCATTCTGGACTGCTTCCTCGTAATCATTGAACTTTTGTTGGATCTCCGTGTCTTCGAACTTCCAGATCATGAAAATCACGTCGCGCCCAAGATCCTGCATTACATGAGTCTGGCCATCTTGAGTGTTTTCATGGTGGAGATCGGAGTGCGGTTATATGCCATGCGGCTGGATTTCTTTAAACACAAGCTGGAGCTGTTTGATGCTGTGGTGGTCATTGTGTCATTTATCCTGGACATCATCTACCGCAATGCCGAAGGGGCAGCTAATGGCATCGGACTTCTTATAGTGCTGAGACTGTGGCGAGTGACACGTGTACTGAATGGTAAGTTGCCACTCACAACCTTTCATGGAGATGTACCCAAAAATATGATCAATGTCTCGGATACTTTTGGGGAATTTCATGTACATTAGAAACATTGAATGGTAAATATCAGAACAGAATTATGAAAATCGTTTAACAATTTAGTGTCGTTTAATATCGTGAATAGATGAATTGGTAAGTGGTCCCAGCCACTGTTGGGGACACAAGTGGCCCCGTCTTCTGAGGTGCTGCAATTCACTGTGCAGAGTTGTGTCCCTTGAGTGTGCCGGAACCCTGCGGTCTTGGGTTTGAATCCCAGATGCACCCTGAGTATGTTTCCAGGTTTGTCAGCACCATATATACCTGTGCTCATGGGCTTCACCAAAGTGGCAAATGTTTTAAGACCTGCTTCACTGCGGACTTTCCTCCCACATTAAGCTGACATGCTGTGATATAACTGGAATACTGTCCAAGTGGCGTTTAACTAATGATGGAGAGATAGAAAGGAAGTATAAGTCATGAATAAAACCGTCCTTGTATAAATGTTTAATGGCTAGGGTTATCGATGTTCCTATCCAATAAACTTGGGATCAATATACAAATGAGGTCGCCTATCAGAAGCTACTTCAAGTTCCGTACATCAACATCAATGACTTCTTTCTCAATTAACTGTTGACTTACATTGTCAATATACTAAAATGTAGCCCTCTCCATGAGTCTGTGAGGGGGCACGGGTGGCCCAGTCGTCTTAGGTGCCGCTATTCGATGTGCAGATTTTCATCCCTGGGAACACCAGAAACTTATGATTGTGGGTTCGAATCCCGGTTCGCCCTGATTATGTTTCTAGGCTTGTAGGCACCATACCCGTGCACATGGGTTTCACCGAAGTGGTAAACGTCTGAGACCTGCATCACTTCGGGCTTTCCTCCCACATTAAGCTGACATGCCACAATATAACTGGAATACTGTTATAAGCGGCGTTAAACCCAACTCACCCACCATGTGTCTGTGATTCATTTGTAACAAATTGGGCAGTTCACTCAAACATACTCAGCTACTTCATTCTGTGAAACTAAGTCTTGAGCATCACCAAATGCTAACATAATACAGGCAGCACAGGTGGCCCAGTCGTCTAAGGCGCCACAATTTGCTGTGCAGAGTTTCTCCCCTTGGGCACGCTAGAATCCTCTGATCGTGGGTTCAAATGACGGTTCTTCCCCAATTATGTCTCTAGGTTTGTCAGCACCATACCTGTGCTCGTGGGTTTCACCGAAGTGGTAAACATTTTAGACCTGCATCTTTTGGGGCTTTCCTCCCACATTAAGCTGGCACACTGTGATATAACTGGAATACTGTTAAAAGCAAAGTTGAACCAAACTCACTCACTCCCTCACTCACATAATTCAATTTTAATTTTCCTAATGTATGATATGTACGATATCCTGGGTACAATAAAGGTTGTCATAAAGAGTGAGTGAGTGAGTTTGGTTTTATGCCACTTTTAGCAATATTCCAGAAATATGGCAGGGAACACCATGTTCTGCCCATTTACGATATGGAAACACGGCTAATAATTAGGGGTGACTATTGAGGCATTTTTGACTACTAGTATTGCGATACTATTGCGATAGTTAAAACAACTATTGCGATACTATTGAGATAGTGGCCCTACTATTGCGATACTATTGCGATAGTTTTCACTTGCAATTATAGCAGGCTTTAGCAGCATATATTTCAGCATTTTGACTGACACCATCAAACTAATTATAACTTTCTGATACTATGTGTAAAGAAAACAAGAAATGAAAAGAAAACAAGTTCAAATTGACCTCTCAAAAACATTTTAATACAAAATTTCACTTCATGTAACTTGTAAAGCCTTAGGTTACTGCAGTGTTTTAGCACCAATGTGAATGAATGTGATAGAATGACTAGTATTTGATCCCCCTTTTTCACGTGGACGAATATCTGGGTGCCGTCTTGTCAAGTGGTCGGTCAGATTAGTAGTATTTCCTGAATACTTTAGAATTATCCGACAGATTCTACAACTTACTTTTTGCTTGTCTGTCTCGTTTTGCGTTTTGACAAAGCCAAAATGGTCCAATACCCACGATTTGCCTGCCTTATTGGCGACAATTTCGAACTGACATGTGGCGTCCGCCAACTTGTCAATGTTGCCTAGCGACGAGTAGCTAAGGGAGGTAACTCTAAATCAAGCAGACAAAGTAGTGCAATCCAAACGAAAGCACGACAGAGGTTAGATGATCATAGGAGTTGTTTCTATGTTTTTTAAGAAAGTAAATGTACCAAACAAATTAACTATCGAAACTATCGATAGTTAGACAAACTACCGCCAATAGTATCGATTGTTTCAAATGCAATCGATAGTGTACTATCGTGAGACAAGCAATCGCAATCAATCGATAGTTCGATGTATCGTTACACCACTACTAATAATCTCTATGTATCACTATGTATCTCTTTGTATCGATGCATGACCTGACTGAATTGATGCACGACTGGGCACTATATGCATGACCAGACTCTATCAGTACACAGCCTGAATTTCTGGCAGTGAGTATCGCGAGTCAGAAAAAGACTTGGCGTGAAAAAAACCTTTGTCACATATTCTCATGATTATTGAAACAAGAAAGCTGGTTTAAATCTGAATTGTATTTTTCAAAAATATTTTATTTTCCAGGAATAGTCATGTCTGTGAAGAGACAATCGGAGAAACGCCTTGAGAGAGAGCGACGTCTTCGCACTGCCTGTGAACAAGAACTGGCAAAATATCGGCAATATTGCTCGTCTCAAGAACGTGAGATTGAACTTCTGCAAGGCATTTTGAGGAAGCATGGGATAGAGTATATTGAAAAATCGCAGAAACCTCCCACTGTCAGCACCATCGATGTAGTTGCGGAGGTCAATCAGTCGTCCGACAAAACCAGCGACGATGCCAAAGGTGATAGGCATGATAAGGACGGGGACAAAACCAATGATATTGGAACATAATGATGTTTAGTCATTTTGGACTTTTGTACATACTGTACATAGCAGTCAGCATGTTTGGCACCAAGGTGACCATCTTTTGTGGTTGCCATGGATACGGATGAATTTTTATGATGGTATTGATATATATAGTCAGTCTTTATTTTGCTATTATCTCCACATTTACACAACTAATTGTCTGTTGGTGTCTTTTTTTGCATGTCAAGTTCTAGTTTATCGTAAATCCTTGAATAGTGGTCTGCTTGGAGGAAACAGGTTTTGCTGATATAGTCAACAGTTGGTGCCATGTCAAACAGTGTTATGGTAAAGATGATGAACTGACCCAGACCAGGTAGTTCGGCCAGTCATTGATCCTATGTTGTGATTTCTTCGTCATTCAGATGGACTTCACTGTTTCGAGTTTCCTGATTATTATTTTCTGTATTTTCTGGAACAAATTATTGTTTTAAAAAAATGTTAGAATGTCCCTGACATTTGATTTGAGTGTCATTCCCATCTGAGGCAGTTTGAGGAGGTGGATCATTAGTACTTCAGATATGTTTGTCTTTTGGAATTATCAGTACCCAATCTATAAACGGGATCAAATATGAATTAGTTACTAAAACATGCAGTCAAATGAGGAAAAGAGTTGCCTCCCGGTACCATCACTTTCACCAGTGTGGGCACGGGCATTACAAGAATCTTGAAATTTGCCCTCTAACCCCAAATGTAGTAACGTTTATACTTTTGTTTATGTCTTTGGTAATGCCAGCATAGTGAACTTTGAAAAGGTTTACGATTGACCATATTTCCCATATGAATTTACCTTTTTGTTTGTTTAATCAGATTGGTTCAAGATTGCAGACTAATGGAAAATCCCTCAACTTCTCCCTTACATTCTTACTATAGCAATTACATGATAGTTGAAATAAAACAGAAATTCAAAGTGACAAACAAAGAAGAAAATTCAGCTGGGGTAAGCGTATTTGGCGTCATGGCAGTCGTCACTTCAGTCAGTTGGCTGTGAGTTCAACTCCAAGCATGGTGGCCACATATCACAGTGGGGAGCTTTGACTGGTGGCAGTGATAGTATAGAGAGATCCACAGATTGGCTATTGCTGTGAGGAGCTTGACCTTACCACCCTTCTTCTTTTCAAATATATCAGTTAATTCTGAAAAGTACTCCTCACAAGCAGTTAAAGAACACCCGATTCTTCCCTAGTACCATAGTTGATGTGTCACGGCAGATTAGCTATAGTAATATGAAAGACCCGGGTGTTCTTTAACTTCTTTTGAGTAGTATATTTCGAAAGAGCATGGTATATTTCAGTAGTTCTGAATCACACATGCTGATATATTAGGAACAAGTAGGAGATTCAACCGAAGGCCAGCCGGACGCGCAGATGTTTGTATACATTACAATATAACTTTATCAGCCTTGAAACATGCCATTGTCTACTTCAGCCATCTTCCCGAGGCAAGTGAGTTAACTGACTATAAAAGTCCAGTTTCCACCCTTGCCGAACTAGGCTGGTATAACGAGTCTATGCATAGTCCAATCAAAATCGCGCACCGAAATCAAAATCCGGTTCGTAAAGTGTCATGTAGATTTCGGTCGACTGCAGGATTTGCAAAGCATGTACACCGCTAGCTCGTTGTCAACAGATATTTTCAAAATCTTTTCATGTTTTTAATCAAGGTGCTCACGTGATTTGACGCGATGTAAGACTTGTTTTATCACAATATAGATCTTGATCATCGATCAGATCGTCTTGACAGGGTGCCACCGTTTTGTTTGAAACAAATGCAAGTGATGCGAGAGGTGGAATCTGATTGGTCCACAGGAGAGGCATAGAAGGGACATAGCTCGTAATAGCCACTGGTGGCGCTACGATTGCGCCCAGGAATTCCAGCCTAGTTCGGCAAGGGTGGAAACTGGACTTTTAAAGTTAGTTAACTCCCTTGCCTCGGGAAGATGACTTCAGCAATTGCTTATCATTTCTTAATGGTTGCCATTATTGGACTGTCTCTCGTTTTGGACTTTGGTGTAATGTAACTATGAGTTGGCCCATCCTGGTCCAAGGCCACTGTAATGTGAAGCTTTTGTTAAGCTGAAGCAATCAGAGGTGGTTATTGTGATTTGAAACCTCTGATACACCAAGCAGAATTGAGTATTTTCCAAATTCATTGTAGAATGTAAGTTTACTAGATTTGTGGAGAACACCACCTGTCCTTCCTGATTTTCACTAGTCTGATTAGCAGACTAGTATTGGAATAGTGGACAAGTGGTCTGGAATAGTGGACAAGTTGTCTGGAATAGTGGACAAGTGGTCTGGAATAGTGGACATGTCATCCTGGATTAGTGGTCTTGGATTAGTGTTCTTGGATTAGTGGACTAGTGACCATATCTAACTCAGACATTAACATCATTTTGGGAGAACACTGTTCAAGGATTTACTACCTAATTTCAGTATCAGAACAAATACTCAAGTTAATACCTCACAACACGAAATACCTTACTGTCCGTTAATTTAATATAATGTACACCATATATGTATCTGTTGTGTATTTTCATATTATTTTTGATGATAATTAATATAACGAGATACATTTCTTATATATCTGTGACAAATGGCATTGTAACATGTTAATCAGAATTTGCATGATTGTTAAATAGATGCTGTTTGATAGACGACATATAGGAAATAGTTTTTTGTTTTGGTGTGTTGTTGCTTTAGCTGTGTTTTGTGTCATTGTTACAACTTATTTCCTGTATTTCTGTGCACTGGCATGAGATAACAGTATTGCCAAAGGATGTTGTACGATACATCACTGACAGTACAAGAGACATGTGCTCAGCCTCGTTAGGCCTCTTGTTTTAATTACTTACTTTACGGGTTTATCACCAGCAGAGTGACCAGTGATTAGTGCTTCTGGAACATTCGACAAACGGTGATATATACATGTACTTATAAAAAAAAGTTAGGGATCAGTCATATTTTGGGGGATATTTTCAACATGAAAAAATATCCCCAAATACGTTCATGTTCCCTAATTATTTTTGTTCAGTATAGGTAATACACATGAAACAAACCAGAGTTATACACAGCTGAAAGTGTTAGGTGCGGAAAAACATAGTTACTTCCCTTCCCCTATGAATGTCATGAACAATTGGAGATTTCATTAACATGCAGTCTGAAATGAAATCTTAATTTAATGAGCAATTGAGGGAAAATATGAAAGTATCAGCTGGTTGCGCCACCTAGTGGCCGGAGATAACACTTGAATATCTCCCAAGATTAGGATATGAAACTGTACATTTTAACAGACGTGTTGTCAATACTTTTCTTCAGTTTCCGCTGTATTCCACATATGATTTATTGGTCATGGATCTGAAAACCCAGGAATAAAACAAGAAAGGCCTAACATGATGAACACATTGCATGTCTTGTGTTCAGTGACAGCACATGTTTCACTGATTAATGGGAGTATTTACTTAGCTCAACTTTGTTCTATCGCCAGTACAGCTGATAATATGATCTGATACATATGTCTATGAAGCATTGGCTCATTGGATGTTTTGATACCATCTGATGATTTTTGCCAAGCACTTTTTGACATGCCATGCAGAGGTGTTATTCTATGCTACTCAAGACCTCTTTCATCTGAAAGGGATTCACATAGATTAGATCACCAGCTACGAGTAAAATGCCTACATGTTCTCTTTTGATTGCCATTTCCACAATATAACTTCCCCTCATTCATCTTTGGATAAGTATTTTAAATCTTAAACAGAAATTAGTATCTTCATGGGGGCAGCCATTTTGTTTTTCAAAAACGATATAGTTTTTTCAATCTGGAATCATTTAAGCTACACAATCTATGAAATAAGGCATACTCATCTTGAGGTTATTAGTTGGGGGGGAAAGAGAAGTATACTGAATATTGAAAAATATTTTTGATTTCTAGCTGGTAAGTGTGTTATAAAAAGTGTGTTATAGAGGTTTTCTAAAGGGTTGATCCCCCACAAGTAGCGATACACAGGCTGATGATGATGACAGCCAATGCATGGTTGAGTGTAGTGTTGCACAATCTCTTAATCTCTAGGGCTTGCATTTCGGTACACCTGCACTAACCCCTGGATCCAGTACCATGGTTCTCCAAGGATCTTACCTGCCTTTGATCTTCATTTACATTTTACTGACCAATCAAATGTCGAGATAAAGAAATAGTTGAGGAGATAACTCGTATTACCTAGAAACCAAAGCCACCACCAGTTTTCAGAGCTCCAGATAAACTGCGTATCTGCGTAAAATACGCATCAGAAATGCAGAAATATGCAGTCAAATAAAATCCAAGCGTATCAAATACGCAACGAACATGACAAATACGCTACAAAAATAAAACTTGTGCGTATCATCAAAATATTGTGAAGTAACCCTGCGTATTCGATTAGGAAATCAGCAACTTATTTTGAAATTATAAACAGGCATTCCGTCAACCTTGCCAAATCCACGATGACAGTTACATCATGATCATTTGCCATCACACTTTCTTGTGGAAGTATCGTGATATTTTTGAGTCCTATAAAGCTCTTGAACCCACACGACACCAGTTTGCAGGGACTAGATGAATAGTGTTTTTAAATATTTAACTTAAATACCCACATGTGTAAAAACTAGTGGGTAACAGAAATTTGAATACCCAGATAGAATTACTGATACCCAATGATTTTAAAATGCATGGGTAAAATACCCACAACACCAAAAGCTTATCTGGAGCTCTGGTTTTAATGGACGTGAAGACACCCTTTCCATCCAAAGATTGTTTAGGGCTTTCGTTGCATGTCAGTCAGTTTTTCAATGTTAAATTTCTCGCAAACTCTTTCATAATCAATAGGACTGGCCGCCATGTTGTTGATATCGCCAATCCAACATTGAGGCTGCTTTCTATGTCGTGATTGGTCCGTTAGTCTGAGTGCCGTAGAAAATCAACTTCGCTAATGAAAATCAAGGGCCGGTAATGCGAGAACCACGGGAATGGATCGAGGCATTTACAGACATGTGAGCCCTTGAGATTGAGGAGTGCAACTGAACGTGTTTGTTGTGTGACAGCAGTCATTATCAGAGGAGTACTACGAATGTCAAGATATGGATGGTGGATGAGGTCACAATATTTACTTCCTTGTTTCAAAAAGATAGATTAGAAGATTAACGTAGAGTTGAAATATGCTGAATAAAATTCAAGAGCATTTTTCTAGAAAAGGAAAAACATTCTGAATTCTCAGATTACCGTAAATAATTAAACACTCGCTTTTTGTGTTTCTATATTTATTTTTTCACTTAAGCATCTTGGCCTGGAAAACCTGTGAAACAAGAACAAGTTAGTTTGACTCCTGTTTGTGAGTGAGTGAGTTATTATTTAACGTCACATGGTCCTGTTTGTAAAACAGACACATCCAGGTGGGTTAGTCTGATCTGTATGAGAAGCTGTAACACTTAAGTATTGTGAAAGTGCTGCAACACTACTGTATTGTGAAGGGGGCATGGGTGGCCCAGTCGTCTAAGGCGCCGCGATTCGCTGTGCAGAGTTGCGTCCCTTGGGCACGCCAGAAACCTATGATTGTGGGTTCGAATCCCGGTTCGCCCCGATTATGTTTCCAGGTTTGTCAGCACCATACCCGTGGTCATGGGTTTCACCGAAGTGGTAAACGTCTGAGAGCTGCATCACTTCGGGCTTTCCTCCCATATTAAGCTGACACGCCGTGATGTAACTGGAATAATGTTAAAAGCGGCGTTAAACCCAACTCACTCACTCACTACTGTATTGTGAAAGTGCTGCAACACTACTGTATTGTGAAAGTGCCACAACACTACCATATTGTGAAAGTGCCAAAACACTATTGTGAAAGTTCCACAACACTACCGTATTGTGAAAGTGCCACAACACTACCGTATTGTGAAAGTGCCACAACACTACCGTATTGTGAAAGTACTGCAACACTACCGTATTGTGAAAGTGCCACAACACTACTGTTTTGTGAAAGTACTGCAACACTACCATATTTTAAAAGTGCTACAGCATTATAGTGAAAACGTGTAGAACCAATCTCCAGAGGAGTATAAAATCTTATTTTGACGACATTGATGTAGAAATGGCAGCAGGTGCAACACATTCATTTTTATTTTTGTATTTATTTTTCAAATGTTATAATTAGCCTTCGGACTTGTTGTGAATGTGAGCTTGAGTTGATGTTAAGAGTCAAGATTTACAACATTGTTTAGAATTGAGAGTTTTAGTCAATGTAACAGGTTCTGAAGTTCACCTTCACAGGATATTTTTTTCATCATCCAAATAGGTGAGGGGTGATGAACTAGTGGTTAAAGCTTGTCACACCAAAGACCTGGGTTCGATTCCCACATTGGTACCATATGTGAAGCCCATTTCAGGTGTCCCCTGCAGTGATATTGCTAAAAGCTGCATAAAACCATACTCACTCAAACAGGAGACTTTCCGTACTCAGACGAGATGACATGATCTGGTTGGACGCATGTTTGGCCTGTTGGCTGAGCGCTGCGTTTTGTTGAGTTGCTTTCTTTGTCCATGGGTCATTCATTTTAAGTCCCAGTCGTCTTAGGCGCGCGATTCGCTGTGCAGAGTTGCGTCCTTTGGGCACGCCAGAAACCTATGATTGTGGGTTAGAATCCTGGTTCGCCCCAATTATGTTTCTAGGTTTATCAGCACCATACCTGTGCTCGTTGGTTTCACCGAAGTGGTAAACGTCTGAGACCTGCATCACTTCGGGCTTTCCTCCCACATTAAGCTGACACACCGCGATATAACTGTAATAGTGTTAAACGCAGCGTAAAACCCAACTCACTCACCCTGGGGAGAATACCTCTGCCATTGGGTGTTAACAAAATGCCTTTGTCTGCTGTCACTGTGTGCTTTCCTCCCAGTCATCTAAGACGCTGCAATTCGCTGTGCAGAGTTGTGTCCCTTGGGCACGCCAGAAACCTGCGATCTTGGGTTCAAATTCCGGTTCACCATGATCATGTTTCTAGGTTTGTCAGCACCATACTCATGATCGTGGGCTTCATCAAAGTGGTGCAGGTCTTAGGCCTGCATCACTTGTGGAAGAAAAGCCTTATCAAGCTGACCTGTCATGATATAACAGGAATACTGTTCAAAGCGGCGGTAAACCCAACTCACCCACTCGCCCCATATTAAGGTGACATGACGTAATATCATGTATACTCTTCAGTGGTGTTAAACCAGACTTGTCTCCAGTGGCTTTGAAAATAACAATTAGCCAATCTAATCTTTAAGGTTATTGGTGCTAATGATAATACAACTTGGTTCCGTCCTACATAGTAGTAGACTGGTTCTATCTCATCACTGCAAAGTCCTTGCTGCTGGTATGTACTGCTCTGCTTCTACTGTACATCTATTGATTGCAAATACATAGCTACCAGTCCCTCCTACACTACCGGTAATATAATAGAATCTGATGCTGACTTTGCGCTTCAAAAGCTGTCAGTGCACATTAAAGCATATGGCAAGGTGTGGGATTGCCTTCTATAGACCCATTCCTTCAAACTGAGTGAGGTAGTCAATGAGAATACTGCAATATTGCCCAGGTAGTTATGAGAAATATACCTCAGATCTGGATGTTAATCTGCACTTGTCATGTTGTACAACAATAGAATGCCAAACATCAGTGAACCCATATTAATCTCAACGAACAAATGATGTACATGAGTTGTTTAAGGTTTTTATACAGTTTTCTTGACCTGTATGTTGTCAAGTTTGAACTTCAATTGTATCATATGGTTTGATAAATAAATCAGTGACTTTGGTATAGGATACCAATATGTGCAAGTGTTCGCTCTTTTTTTTTGTATAGACTTATTCACCTTTTTATGATAATGTTCATCCTACTCTTGTCAAAGCGTATGTCAAGATGTTTATTGCGATATCTTCGTTTGACATGCATCAATTAAGTCAGCGAGTCTGACCACCAGATCCCGTTAGTCGCCTGTTACAACAAGCATAGTCGCCTTTTACGGCAAGCATAGGTTGTTGAAGACCTATTCTACCCTGGATCTCCACGGGTCAGACACATGAAGAGAAGGCTCCAGTCATGATTTATACACCAGTAATATAATAATGACAATACAGCTCTCCAGGAATGTGTACATGTGACCAGCACCAGATATCATCCATAATGTTTGATGTCATCTTTTGTTTCTTGTTTAATGCTGCACTCAGCAATTTTTCTAGCTATGTGATGTCAGTCTCTATTTAAACGAGTCTGGACCAGATAATCCTGTGATTGTCATCATGCGCATCAATCTACTCAATTAGGATAGGATGACATGAAGTCAGTGAGCCTGACCACCCGATCCCGTTAGTCGCCTCTTACGACAAGCATAGTTGCTTTTTACGGCAAGCATGGGTTGCTGAAGACCTATTCTCTAGCCGGATCATCTAATCAAGATTGAGGATAAGTATTATGAGACACACACTGAACAAGTTAGGGTATACGTTTAGGTTGGCTGGTTGGTTGGTTGGCTTGTTGTTTAACGCCGCACTCAGCAATATCATGTATGTACAACAAGGTCAAGGTTGGATGTCACATGACAATCAGGAGGTAAGGTTCATGGGCGGTGCAATATTCTGCAAATGAATTTTACGACCAGGTGACACAAATAAAGTACTATTTACTGTAAGTGTTTGACAAATACTCAAATCATGTTTACAGGTTTCATGTAATACGGCATGTACTGTTTGTGGTGACTGCGTATGACATGACTCTGTGTCTCCACTGTAGACAGGGTCAAGGTCAAATGTCACGTGACACAAGGAAGGTACTGTTTATTGTAAGTGCGTATGACATCACTTTGTGTCTCCACTGTAGACAAGGTCAAGGTCAAATGTCACGTGACACAAGGAAGGTACTGTTTATGGTAAGTGCGTATGACATCACTTTGTGTCTCGAGTGCCTGCAGACAGTGCAGCAGGGCCGTCTGGTGGAGTTTGGAGTACTGGGCAGTCCTGTGCAGCTCGTCCAGGATGTGCAGGTAGTGGCACCCTCGTTCCGAGTCTGCAACAAAACACAGCAGCCAAACACATTGAGACATTACTGCAGTATAGCTACAACCTTGATACTACAGTAAACTACGGTTATAACGAACTCAAAGGGACTACTGATTTTTGTTCTTTATAACCGTAATTCGTTATGCTGTAGTTATGCTGTAGTTATGCTGTAGTTATGCTGTAGTTATGCTTATAACTACAGCATAACTACAGCATATAGTCGGGACTAAAAAGTCAGTTCGTTATATCCGTTAGTTCGTTATAAGCGTGTTCGTTATAACCGTAGTTATCTGTACTGTAAAAAGCGGTGAGTCGTGCGACCTACCAATCACTTCACACATGATTTCGCCAAAATTAATGGAAATAATATTGATTGGATTTTTTTAATAAAATGAATAAAATATGTTACAAACATAAGTCCAGATATACAACACACACGTTTTTATAACCAGATAGTGTAATAATAGGATCAAATTGCAGAGTTCAGGTCAGATTTGTTGATTGGTACATCTGGTCTTGCGTGCTCGCAGTGATCACCTGGTTATGTTTGTACGATGGGGAAAAAACATGGTGTCTTGAGTTAATAAAAAATGTACGTACATTTTGGGAGCCATGCATTACAACGAGCTATAACTGAGTCAGCACAATACTGAAGGGTGCAATAGCGAGGGAACACTGTATAAGAATTTAGGTACAACTTTGTTTCTATTACAAAATAGGTACAACTCTGATACTATTACAATTTAGCTAACCCTGTGGGGATTCTGGCTTACAACTGGTCCTCAGCAATTTGGTCAGCAGGTTGGTCACGGTACCTATTTTACTTATAATATCAGGTCATAAAGATGGGATATTGCCGAGTGCCCCATTAAACCATCTTCCTGTGGCAAGGGAGTTAACTGAGTGTAAAAGTCCAGTTTCCACCCTTCGCAAACTAGGCTAGAATTTCTGGGCTCGATCATAGCGCCATCAGTGGCTATTACGAGTTATGTCCCTTTAATGTCCCTCCTATTGACCAATCAGATGCCACCTCTCGTATAACTTGCAGTTGCTTCAAACAAAACGGTGTCAGCCAGAGAAGATGATCTGATCGATAATCAAGATCTTTATTGTAAAACGACGGGTCTTACTTCGCGAAGTGAATTAAATCATGTGAGCACCTTGATTAAAAACATGAAAAGATTTGGAAAATATCTGTTGACGCTAAGTTGTTGGCACACACATTTTGCAAAACCTGCAATCAACCGAAATCTGCACGGCAGTTGATTTTGGTACAGGATTTTGATTGGACCAGCCTAGTTCGGCAAGGGTGGAAACTTGACTTTTATAGTCAGTTAACTCCCTTGCCCTGGGAAGATACGTTAAACAAACAAACAAACAAACAAACAAACAAACAAACAAACAGGACATGACATGACTCTTACACTTCGGCTTCTGTGACTCCTTGACCAGGACATTCAAGATGGCTTCCTTCAGAGCTCTGCTGTGATTCAGATTCTGTAATGAGGGATATCAGTTACCATGACAACTCACTTCCCCAATCTCCACGAACACAAATAAATGCTATGGAAGTCGTCCCTATTAATTTTTATTAACTTATTAAAGAGTTCTTGTGTAGAAACAGAACTGTTGAGCAAGGTTCAAGGTTGTACTGTGAAAATACAGACAACTGTGTGCCACATTTCAGTGTGTAAATGACGATAGTCTATGTGACACCAGTGAACTGTCCTACCTCATACAGCGCCGACGCCTCCATACGGCGACACACTGTCCCAGCCTCTTCCTCCAGCTTTTTGAGTGCTTGTGTTACCATGGATATGGGACTTTGCTTTTCGTCCTACAAAACATAAACTTAATTAAATAGAAACATACTGGATTGTCCAGATAAGTACTGCTTCTAGATTATCTAGACTGGATCCAGTCTCAAGCAGTTGTTTAACGCCGCACTCAGCAATATTCCAGTTATATAACGTCAGCCTGCAAATAATCATGTCTTGACCAGACATTTCAGTGATTGACATCATGAGCATCGATCCATGCAATTGGGATACATTGACATGCATCAATGTTTGTTGCCTCTTACAACAAGCATAGTCATCTGCTACGGCAAGCATGGGCGCTCTCGACGAAACAATCCAGTGATGGATATTATGAGCAACGATTGACGCTGTTGGGGCATAATGGCATGCAATCAATCAAGTCAGTGAGTCTGACTGTTTTTATGAACAGGAACCAGTTACTATTTTAAGGTTCTTAATCAACTAAATTGCGTGAGAATGATAAACAAAGAGCACTCAAAAACAAAAAACAAAAGAACTCAAGTCTGACATCAAATTATTGGAATTAATTGTTTTCTTAAATATTTACATTTGCAAAGAGAAAATCCTTGTTGAAAAACCACAATTAACTTTGTTTTGTTTGTTTGTTGTTTAACGCCGCACTCAGCAATATTCCAGCTATATGACAGCAATCTGTAAATAATCAAGTCTGGATCAGACAATCCAGTGATGGACATCATGAGCAGCACGCAATTTGGATATACGATGACATGCATCACCCAACTCAGCGAGCCTGGCCACCAATTCCGTGAGTCGCCTCATACGACAAGCATGGATTGCTGAAGACCTATTCTATCCTGGATCTTCATGGGTTGCTGAAGACCTATTCTATCCCGGATCTTCATGGGTTGCTGAAGACCTATTCTATCCCGGATCTTCATCGGTTGCTGAAGACCTATTCTATCCCGGATCTTCATGGGTTGCTGAAGACCTATTCTACCCCGGATCTTTATGGGTTGCTGAAGACCTATTCTATCCCAGATCTTCATGGGTTGCTGAAGACCTATCCTATCCCGGATCTTCATGGGTTGCTGAAGACCTATTCTATCCCGGATCTTCATCGGTTGCTGAAGACCTATTCTATCCCAGATCTTCATGGGTTGCTGAAGACCTATTCTATCCCGGATCTTCATGGGTTGCTGAAGACCTATTCTACCTGGATTTTCATGGGTTGCTGAAGACCTATTCTACCTGGATTTTCATGGGTTGCCTAAGACCTATTCTACAAGGATGTTCATGGGTTGCTGAAGACCCATTCTACCCGGATGTTCATGGGCTGCTGAAGACCTATTCTACCCCGGATCTTCATGGGTTGCTGAAGACCTATTCTACCCTGGATCTTCATGGGTTGCTGAAGACCTATTCTATCCTGGATCTTCATGGGTTGCTGAAGACCTATTCTACCCCGGATCTTCATGGGTTGCTGAAGACCTATTCTACCCCGGATTTTCATGGGTTGCCTGAGACCTATTCTATCCCGGATCTTCATGGGTTGCTGAAGACCTATTCTACCCCAGATCTTCATGGGTTGCTGAAGACCTATTCTACCCGGATTTTCATGGGTTGCCTAAGACCTATTCTACAAGGATGTTCATGGGTTGCTGAAGACCTATTCTACCCGGATCTTCATGGGTTGCTGAAGACCTATACTACCCGGATCTTCATGGGTTGCTGAAGACCTATTCTACCCGGATCTTTATGGGTTGCCATTCAATCAATCAAGTCACTGTTTATGAACAGGAACCAGTTACAATGTTAAACTTCTTAATTGCATGAGAATGGTAAAGAAAGAGTTTTCAAAAACAAATAACAAAACATCTCAAGTCTAACATCAAAGTATTGGAATTAATTTTTGTCGTAAATATTTATATTTGCAAAGAGATAAACATAATTAACATTGACAAACATAAAACGTGTCTTGATCTCTTATTGGGAACAAAAATAGAAGAACAAATACTTCTTTTGACCCTTGAACTATTTTGAACAAGTGACACAAATCATAACGTTAAGCAGCATAGCAGAGATAATTCTTCACCTCAACACTTGACAGATCTTTTTTATCGAAAACAATGATGATAATAAGCAAGAAATCTACAGATCACACATTTTTACATGATGTTATGTTTAATTGATTCACACATTAATTCAAAGAAAGAAGATATCTCCAATTTTCACATGATCAATATCCAACATGGCCACACCCCATCAGGGGTTGGTATAATCCACAGGCTCATCTCAACACTTGCAGACGTGTGACCAGACTCTCCATAGGGGGCGCTGCAAACACACCTGAGCCCAGCCACCAGGGGGCGCTGGTGAGGATGTTACAGGCCTATTTGTCTGGAGGATTATTGTTGACATTGGTTCACACAAGGATGGCACCTCTTACCGACTGTCTCCAGTAATTCATCCATCGGCTATCGTTAGTTCAACACGTCCACAGAACGATGACATTATCTGTCAACTGGTAAGTTAGTTCTTCTTTATGTTTTAGTCTCAGAATCTTGAAAATAATATGGATTTACTCATTATATTAAGTTATTATCAAGGTATCTTGTGTCATTTTATTTTTTCTAAATGTTTGAGCGTATTTTACTACAAATTCAATGTACAGGGTTTCATAATGTGTTCTTCCATTTCTTCCGGAATGAAAGTTTCATATTATCTGAAAATACTGTACACAGTTTTAACTGAATTTACCTACCGTATGTATTTATACTACCCAAAGTCTCTCATACACACCCTAAATCAATATTATCCGAAAATCCCAAGCAAGTCTACAATACTTTGGCAAGTCTAGGTTTCCTCGATATCCGACCCTGATACTGAACCTGAAGGCAATGTAAAATCAAAAGACAATGTAACAAATTAATAATATCAAAATATTTAAGAAGATGTCAGTCTACACCATACCATAAAGGCAAAATTATACTGATCCTATAAATATATTTAGTCTGTCATGCAGACCATGACACAAATATATCCAGCCCATGCAAGTCTATAACATTTAGCAAGTCTAGATTATTACAGTTTGAAAATAAACAGAGTTCCTTGGCTCTTTTTATTATATTTTACAACCATAATTTAACAACTGTTTTTTTCTTAAAATATTTTCATTTAAGAGACTAGATGTTAGTCTAAAATTTATTTAAAACTGAAAATGGACACTAATTTTCCTGCTGAGGACTATAAGGCACTGTAGCTTGATGAACCACAACAGTTTTATACATAACACAACAATCACCAAACCAGACCAGGTGAGCTTCACGTCCTTCATAGCGGGGTGTAATAGGAAGCCAAATATTCAAATATTTAAAGAAAATTTGCTAGACAGCATTTCAATAAAAGTTTTGAATTATATTTAATAAAAAACCCAAACTGTGGAGAGCCTACGGGGTACATATTCAGCCAGCTAAACAACAGTACACTCAGTGTTCCCATTATAGTGAGTGAGTGAGTGTGCTTTTCCCCCGTATTTAGCAATATTCCAACAATATCACGGCAAGAATTACAATTTGATAAATAAAAACATGATCACTGTACTTTGCCTTTGTGTGTGAAATGGTCTGGAATCGTATGTTGGAATCGTTGGACATTCACTTAGTAAGTACCATTCATTGTCTGATTGTTGTGGAACAGAAATAATGTCCCATTAAAGACATGCACTGCCATACTTTGAGTCAAAACATTTACATTTTACAAAATGACATGCATCCATTACCAGGGCAACTGAATGTGTATTTCAGACTAGTCCAATGTTCTCTGCCCGTCTCCTGAGTTCCCTGATCTGGCGAAGTTCCACGCAGAACAACATCATGACGCAGAACAACATCATGACGCAGAACATCAGCTGTGTGCAGTAAGTTGCCATGGTGACCATACAAGACATTCTCAAACGAGGATTTTGAAAATAGGCGGTGTACTTTAAATAAAAGAAATGCCAGTTGAGCGTAAATATTTCATTCAGGAAACATTTTGTCCTGAAATTAAGTCATATAACTTATAATTAAGGAAGAGAATTTATGGATGTCAACTTCTGTATTATGAGGAACACAATGTTTCGGGGTATATTCTTACTCCTTCATCAGGTGAATGAATGCTATGAGGCAGAGAGCATATATATATGTACACGTAAGGACAACAAAAGTAATAAGATTCTAAAAGGTGGAAACTTAACAAACAGATAATTGGAGTGATGGGCGATTAGCAGTAGACAATGGAAGCCAACACTTTACAGTAAGTAGCGCTGATAGTAAGGACAACTGGAAGTCAGGACTAAATATCACTTATTAGTAATTGGCAATGGACAATGGACAAACGGGAGGGCCGGGGGTAATTAGCACTGATTGGTAAAGGAGTAGAAACAGCATAACATGCCTCATAGCATTCATTCACCTGACGAAGGAGTAAGCATATACTCCGAGACGTTGTGTTCCTCATAATAAAGAAGATGACATCAACAAATTCTCTTCCTTCTGTGTATCTCTTCTAAATTCCTGTCAAAGACTTAATTTATTTATTATTTGAAAACATGTCAACACCAAAAAATCCATCCCGCTCCCCTCTGGACCTCCGTATCCATCCTCCGGGGAAGGTCAGAATACACAATCAACCAGTCTGTCCAGTCTCACCCTTGTACCACCAGCACAGTTGCTGGGGACTTACTTTAGCCTAGCATCCCCACAGAGGATGAAGCTGCTTGTAACTAAATGACCTAGACCCAGGCAGACCGGTCCTTGACTCCAAGACAATCTGTTCTTATACCTAGACCCAGGCAGACCGGTCCTTGACTCCAAGACAATCTGTTCTTATACCTAGACCCAGGCAGACCGGTCCTTGACTCCAAGACAATCTGTTCTTATACCTAGACCCAGGCAGACCGGTCCTTGACTCCAAGACAATCTGTTCTTATACCTAGACCCAGGCAGACCGGTCCTTGACCCCAAGACAATCTGTTCTTATGCCAACTTCCCGAGGCAAGAACGTCCACCAGCCTTTTTATCAAATTCTTGTTTCCACCCTTGCCACATCAAGCCCACTTTCCTGTGCTAAATATGATTGGACTATCGCACATATCATTAGTCCAATCAGAGAATGTTCACAAAATCTACATCAACGACTGGTTCACCTTCGTATGAAAGTGATTTACCGCTGCCTGTTCTTGTTGACACGAATATGTCTTTTTCATCTCTTAAACCCACTACGATTTCGCTCTCTTTTTGTGTCAGGGATGAAATCGCGAATGTTTTTGTTATCTGATCGACTAGGTCATAGCCTATGGCAGTTACCATCTTTGTAAAGCTGATATAACAGCGATCTGATAGGATATCGCGTTTTCATTTCAAGGGGCACAACTTAATGTGATCAACGCGAGGTGGCGCCAGGGTCGAGCCAAGAAAAGTGGCCTTGATGTGGCAGGGGTAGAAACTAGGCTTTGACATTGGCTAGTGGACATGCTTGCCTCGGAAAGATGTTCTTATGCCAACACACACACAAAGTCCCCATGAGGACCCGGAATATGGTGACTGTTTCTCCAGCAATGGTCAAACAACATATCTATAGGTGTAAGAGACAGATGACCATAAAATCATATCAAGAAGTCACAATAAAAATGGAGACCCTTCAGCTTTGGCAAGAGTTGGATCCAGTTTAGGGATTTCAGTCATTCATATTTTAACCTATCACATCACAGTGGACCTCATGAATATGCATAAGTATTCAGAGAGTGGGTGAATTTGGTTTTACGCCGCTTTAAGCAATATTCCAGCAATATCATGGTGGGGGACACCAGAAATGGGCTTCACACATCGTACCCATGTCAGGAATCGAACCTGGGACTTTGGTATGACGAGCAAACGCTTTAACCACATGGCTACCTGACCACCCCAGTATTCAGAGAGATGTGCAAGCATAGCAAGTAACTCCTTAGTATAAACTAGAAAAATATCAGGTTCATTTCATTCAGTTGGATTCCTATTTACCATGTTTACAGGAATAAAAAATTGTTACTCATAAACTTAACAAAATCAAAGATGGCCACTGTGTAGCCATATTGAAGTTTCATGTTGATGCTGCTTTATAATTTCAGGATGTCATCCAATTCTTCCGTCCTGCCTTCTGTGTGTGGCGACATTGTTCTGGTGACAGGGGGTGCTGGTTTCCTTGGCAACCATGTTGTCAGTCTGCTCCAACAGAGGGCGCCACATGTACGTGAGATCAGAGTGCTGGATGTGAAGCCGTACTGTGATAAACTGGGTAAGTTACAGCAGCGAGGGAGGAAAGTATAGGGGTTGACTGTAGTTCCTACCCTGGGTTCTTTTAGCAGAAATATATAGAATGGTCCCGGTAAGTAATCAAGTCTGGTTTGAACACACCATCATGAGCACTGAACACCAGAGCGGGATCCAGGAATTTGATTTGTTTTGTTTATTCAGGAGATAAACATACTGTGTTTTCAATGTAGAGCTACGTTACCTGTAGATTTGACCACACTAAGTTGACTTTGGATCCGAACGCACAGTCACATAAATTTAAATACGCCTACCGACTATGACTGTGGGTGTGGTTGAGGGGGTAGGGCAGGGTGTGGTTGTGGGGGTAGGGATGGATGTGGTTGTGGGGGTAGGGATGGGTGTGGTTGAGGGGGTAAGGATGGGTGTGATTGAGGGGGTAGGGATGGGTGTGATTGAGGGGGTAGGGATGGGTGTGGTTGAGGAGAAGGGGCAGGGTGGGTGTGGTTGGAGGGTAGGGGTGGGTGTGGTTGAGGGGGTAGGGGTGGGTATGGGTGCGGTTGAGGGGGTAGGGGTGGGTGTGGTTGACGGGGTTGGGGTAGGGGTGATTGTGGGTGTGGTTGAGGGGGTAGGGGTAGGGGTTGGTGTGGTTGAGGGGGTAGGGCTGGTTGTGGGTGTGGTTGACGGGGTTGGGGTAGGGGTGGTTGTGGGTGTGGTTGACGGGGTTGGGGTAGGGGTGGTTGTGGGCGTGGTTGACGGGGTTGGGGTAGGGGTGGTTGTGGGTGTGGTTGACGGGGTTGGGGTAGGGGTGGTTGTGGGTGTGGTTGATGGGGTTGGGGTAGAGGTGGTTGTGGGTGTGGTTGAGGGTAAATGTCAGGGTATGATGACACACATTCTGTCAAGTCACAGCCTGACCACCCACTCCCCATGTTAGACGGCTGCTACAACAAACATGGTGTACTGGAGACATATTCTCAAACAGTGTCCCTACAAGGGTCAGTATGAGAGAGATCGACTTCACCGTCTACAAGGGCCAGGATAGGCAGTGTAGGGCACCGAGAGCTCAAACACGTCACCTGAATGTATCTCTGGGGGACCAACAGACTAGGCATCTGCACAAAGTCCATTAAAAGGAACTACAGTGTCAATCTTCTGATATTACAAAATCAAAGATGGCAGCTGTGTGGCCATATTGGATTTTAGATCTTGATATATTGAACAAACTTATCTTGTTTGGGATGTCCTCCAACAGCCTCTTGTGACACTGTTCACATAACAGGCCATGTCTATACCTGGCAGCAACGTTGTCATGACACTGAAGACCTGTGAAGATCCGGGTTAGAATAGGTCTTCAGAAACCCATGCTTGACGTAAAAGGCGACTATGCTTGTCGTAAAAGGCGAATAACGGGATCGGGTGGTCAGGCTTGCTGACTTGGTTGATGCATGTCATCATATCCCAATGTGCAAAGATCGATGCTCGTGATGGCGATCACTAGATAATCTGGTCCAGATCTGATTATTTCCCAACCGCTTTCATATAGCTGGAATATTGCTGGAGTGTGGCGTTAAACAACAAACCAACAAATAAACAAACAAACATGACACTGCAAGGTCATGAGATCATTCAATGTTTCCAGGAACACCGACCACAAAACCAGTCATCTCCACAGTGGGAAGTATCACGGATCTCAACACCGTCCTGGATGCATGCAAGGGAGTTAACTCTGTTATCCACATCGCAGGACTTGTGAGTTTTGGCACTTTCCCCGATGTAAAGGGAATGGAAGAAATCAATGTGGATGGTGAGTGATGACATTGCTAACGTTCATCAACCTTCCAACAATACTTAGCTAAGTGGTCAAAGTGAGGTGAAACTGAGTTTAATGTCGCGTCCAAGATTTTTGCACTTATATAGCGACGTGCATGCATGTGTATGTGTGTGTGTGTGTATGTGTGTGTATGTGTGTGTGTGTGTGTGTGTGTGTGTGTGTGTGTGTGTGTGTGTGTGTGTGTGTGTGTGTGTGTGTGTATGTGTGTGTGTATGTGTGTGTGTGTGTGTGTGTGTGTGTGTGTGTATGTGTGGCTGCTTGTACTAGTCCGGACTGATGCCGATTTATAGTGCTAGCTCAGTGAAATACCATGCCGCAGTTTAACATGAGAATCAGACACAGTATACTGACTCCGAGCCGACCAGTCCTTGTTTTAGCCACTTAATGCCGAGCGCCAGACAGGGTAACAACAAGTACCATCTTTTAAAGTCTATTGGTATGACGCGGCCGGGGATCGAACCCCAGACCTTCAGCTCTCCGAGCGAACGCTCTACAAAATGACCACAGAGGCGGTTGTTAAAGCGTTTGACCACATGGGGACAATGTGTGAAGCCCATTTCTGGTGTTCCCCGCCGGGATGTTGTTAGAATATTGCTTAAAGCGGCGTAAAACAATACTCACTTACTCCCTGACAACAATTTAAGTATAAACTGTGTTCAACAAATGAGTCAAGGTTGAGTGCTAGTTTATAAAATATTCCATTGAATAAATATGTTATTGATCCCCAAGAATCATAGCCAATATGCACTACATTGGATGTTGCTCTGAGGATATGTTTACTGCAAAGTTATTTTTTCAGATGGTTGTTTTATTCCACAGAATTTAATCTTCCAGCTACATCTCAACGGCATGTAGTGGGTGAGTGAATGAATAGGGTTTTATGACGCATTCAGCAATATTCCAGCAATATCACGACAGGGGACATCAGAAATGGGCTTCACACATTGTACCCATGTGGGGAATTGAACTGTGCCTTCGGTGTGACGAGCAAGCACTTTAACTACCCCACCCGACCTCAACAGTATGTGAACAATCAGACTGGGTCAGACAGACCAGTGGTTGATCAGAGTAGGATAACACATCTAGACACAGTATGCTGTGTGGAGTTGTGTCCCTTAGTTGTGCCAGGATCTGCAGAAACATCAGCTACAGGGGATCTTTCCTGCCCCAGAGTGCCCTTGTTGTTTGCTGTTGTTTCTAAAATAAATAAATGAAAATGGTTTCATTTAGCAGGAACCAGGATGTCAAGTGCTCAGTATCTACAACTTGCATCTCTTTGTGCTTTCCTCTCGATCTCTGACCTCCATCATTTCAGGGACTGCTACGGTGATCAAGGCATGTCTTCAGCAGAATGTTGAGCGGCTTCATTTCTGTAGTACTGTAGATGTTGTCATCGGTTACGATGACATCATAGACGGGGACGAAGACTCAACACGTCGGCCAGAGAGGTTCCTGTTTCCCGGGTACCCTGAGACCAAGTATAAGGCGGAGACCCTGGTGTTGGCATCCAACGGCCAGTACTCGGAGAATGGTAGGAATGATAGGGTCGACCAAGTATAAGGAGGAGACCCTTGTGTTGGCATCCAACAGCCAGTACTCGGAGAATGGTAGGAATGATAGGGTCGTCCAAGTATAAGGTGGAGACCCTTGTGTTGGCATTCAACGGCCAGTACTCGGAGAACGGTAGGAATGATAGGGTCGACCAAGTATAAGGTGGAGACCCTTGTGTTGGCATCCAACGGCCAATACTCGGAGAACGGTAGGAATGATAGGGTCGACCAAGTATAAGGCGGAGACCCTTGTGTTGGCATCCAACGGCCAGTACTCGGAGAATGGTAGGAATGATAGGGTCGACCAAGTATAAGGCGGAGACCCTTGTGTTGGCATCCAATGGCCAGTACTCGGAGAATGGTAGGAATGATAGGGTCGACCAAGTATAAGGCGGAGACCCTTGTGTTGGCATCCAATGGCCAGTACTCGGAGAATGGTAGGAATGATAGGGTCGACCAAGTATAAGGCGGAGACCCTTGTGTTGGCATCCCATGGCCAGTACTCGGAGAATGGTAGGAGTGATAGGGTCTCGGTATAGACAGCAGTCTCGGTACAGACAGCAGTCTCAGCAGTCATATGATAGCATAGACTTACAAAGTCTTCACATTGTAGACCTGTGAAGATCCGGGGTAGAATAGGTTTTCAGCAACCCATGCTTGCCGTAAGAGTTGACTAACGGGATCGGGTGGTCAGACTCGCCGACAAACAAAACAAACTTTTAATTGTAGAACAGCACGAAGTCTGTAATCTGTACTGGAAAACACCCTTCATTTTCTGGTGGGTTGGGTGAGGGATGAGATTTTTCAAGTTATTTTTCTTAAACTCTGAGGAAAAATGATATTTCCAGTAATGCTGGAACAATTTATTATTAAATAACAGCCCCTCCCCAACCCCAAGAAAATAAAATGGTTGATTAAATTAATTATTAATTGGTTACAAAATAAAGCTGTATATTTTTTGATAATCATATCATAGGAATTTTGAATAACATAAAGGGCATATAATATTTCAACCTTTTCTTACAAGGAAACAAGTTGAGGACGCTTGCACTAAGGGCCAATGTCATGTACGGTGAAGGAGACCCCTACTACATCACAGCCGGTCTACGAAGCGCCAAATCGTCTGGTGGTTCACTGATGCGAGTCGGCAACGGACGAGCTCTCTTTCAACAAGCGTACGCTGGAAATACAGCATGGGCCTTCCTGTGTGCTGACATAGCACTCAAGTATGACCCGATGGTTGGAGGTCAACCATACTTTGTGCCAGACAATACCCCACTCCTCAACACCTTCCACTTCCTCTCCCCTTACCTTGCATGTCGTGGGTTCACGCTGTCCAAGATTTATCTCCCTTATTCCCTAGTGTATGGGTGCATGTGCTTTGTGGAGATGATCCTGCGGTGGTTGTCTCCCTTGAAGAGAATCAACATGTCAACCCCAGCTTGCAGCGTTCGGTATATCAACATGAACCTGTATTTCAGCAGCAAGAGAGCACGGCAGCTGCTGGGCTATGATCCTATATTTTCACCAGCGGAGGCTGAGGCCAGGTCCATCCCATATTACAAGAACCTTGAACTGTAAGCATGGTAACCATGTTGCTTCATGGAACAGGGAAGTCATAAATTGCTCACGTTTTTTCCGGACTCACAATATTGTTTGTTTGTTGTTTAACGCCACACTTAGCAATAGTCCAGCTATATGATGGCAGTCTGTAAATAAATTTAGTCTGGACCAGACATTGCAGTGATTGACATCATGAGCATCGATCTATGCAACTGAGATACTATGACATGCATCAACCAAGTCAGCGAGCCTGACCACCCGATCCCGTTAGTCGCCTCTTACAGCAACATGGGTTGCTGAGGACCTATTCTAACCCGGATCTTCACAGGTCACTCACAATATTGATCAGATTTAGGAAAAAAGAAGACATTTTCACTTTTCCAAAGGTTAATTTTAACACATATGGCACTTCTGATAAGAAACAAAGTTCACTGCACCATCATTTCATTGCAAATATTCACCTTGAAAGTTACTATATGTCAGCACTGATTAAAGGGTGTGTGTAATTTACCTTAAATACCAGACAGACATATTATATGATCTTTGAACATATGTGACTAAACATTCCAACCATGGATAGTTGTAGAGATATGATATTAAACACTGTCGATGATAATGTTGCTTTACATCACATCAATTCAACTGTGATTCTCCCAGTTGCACCAAGGTGTGCGTGCGTACGTGCGTGCCTGCGTTTTATATGCATACAAAACATTTCTTCATTCAAAAAATTTTTACCTGATGGGGTAAAGTAAACATATAACAACACTGTGACTGACATCTAGTGATACATTTTCATCAAAATAACAATTACCGCGAAAAGACAAATAAAACGCTGCAGCCACGCTTGGAGTGAGTATGTTTGTCTTCAGCAAATATCCAGTACATGATGATGTCTGATATATCACTGATATATGTAAGTTGTGGTGAAATGGGGCTTAACGTTGGGTTTTATTGGTAATGTTAACTGTGTTAAAACATCTCACAAATTCATAAATACCTACATTACAAAATATCATCAGTAGATCACAAATTCCCCCGGCCCCTACAACAGCAAAAGGCACCACTTCAGCCCCTGGCTGCTACATGTACAAAGTTTGGATGAAAAATCTTTGACGGTTTTAAGTTATGCTCTGGAAATGAAATATGGACAGACAGTTGGACGAGCAGATGACGGACAGGCAGATGGAAGGACGGACAGACAGACGAGAAGACCCCGTTATATGCTGGGGGCATGTAATATCACGGCGTGTCAGCTTAATCATGTTAGACCGAAGTGATGCAGGTCTCACACGTTGACCAATTTGGTGAAACCCACAAGCAGCGAGTATCGCGCTGACAAACCTTGAAACATAATCTGGGCGAACCAGGATTTAAAACCCATGATCATAGAATCCTGGTGTGTCCAAGGGACGCAACTCTTTACAGAGGATCGTGGTACCTTAGACGACTGGGTCACCCATGCCCCCTTATATAAAAGATCACCTTGATCAAATTTAAACCATTTCCACGGGTAAACAAGATATATAACATCATTAACAAGCCACTGGATAGATTTCGTTGTTTGTTTGTTGTTTAACGCCACACTCAGCAATATTCCAGCTATGTGAACGTGGTCTGAAAATCTGAACCAAACAATCCATTGATTGACACCTTGAGCATCGATCCACATAAATGGGATACGGTGAAATGCATGAACCAAGTCAGGAAGCCTGACAACCCGATCCCGTCAGTCCCTTCTCATGACAACCTGGGTTGCTGAAGACCTAATCTACCCCTGATCTTCACAGGGACTGGACTAGTGGTAGAGTGACTCCTTGCTCTGGTTGATAACCCTTTAGTAATCATCCACCATTTTGACCAACTAATCCCCATTTGGCTGCAATGTGCAACATTCCAAGGTATACCACAGATGCCTGTGAAGTCTTGTGTGGACAAGGCAAACGAGTGGTCGACAGCATGAGCAACAATCCGGGGTGTCATGTTCGGGTAGGGCACACATTGTAACCATCTAATCCTCACAGTCTAACTACAAGTGTATTGACCGATACATTTCTCTCAAAACACATGCATATGTGTATCATATAATCTGTCATGTACAGAGAGATGGCAAAACATCTAGACATATTCTTCTACAGCTACTTTTGGACAACAAAAGTTACTGTTGTGACGTGAGTGAGTGAGTGAGTGAGTGAGGTTTTTTTTGTTTTACACCGCTTTTAGCAATATTCCAGCAATATCACGGCAGGGGACACCAGAAATGGGCTTCACACATTGTACCCATGTCGGGATTCGAACCCTGGTCTTCGGCGTGACGAGGGAACGCTTTTTACCACTAGGCTACCCGACCGCCCGTTGTGACGTGAGGCCGGCAGGGACCACGCAGTAGGGGACTGCATCAGTAATCTAACCTGACTGTAAGGGAGGACTATAACATTACCTGGTACAGAGCTAATCTAACAACGCTAGAAATTCATGCTAGCCTGCTAGCCAAAGTCTACTAAATTGTGCTGAGGACAAGTAAGAATCCAATGATATTAGACCTCTATAACTTATATGGGCCATAATTCTCAACCAGTTCTCAATGCTTCAGTTTTGCCCCAAATTGGAGCTGAATAAAATTGACAGAAACTGGAAAGATAGTTAACATTTTGTCTTGTTCAAGCAGGACTTGCTCCAACCTCTGACCCCGCCGTGATATTGCTGGAATATTGCTAAAAGCGGCGTAAAAACAAACTCACTCACTCACTCACTCCAACCTCTGAGGACTAGTGAAATACGGTGTACTCTACTCTTTTGGATTAGTGTTAAAACAAATAAACAAACAACAACTTTCTAAGGCTGATCCAGACAACCTGATCTGATACCAACAGTTACGTCATCGGATTCTACTCACTAGCGACTGCTGCTGAGCAAGAATGGCTGTGACGGTTGCTAGGCGACACATCTGGCTGGCAGTAAATTCTCTCACAGAGGGCGCTGTCCGAAGGTGTTCACTTACTGCCACACCCACTTCCTGGAGGATCCGTTTCTGAAACCATCAAGTAGGAGTGAGTTTGATCCCGCTTTGGACAAAAATAAGTTTATAAAATATTGGTAATTTTTGTTGCTTAGACCTAAACGTAGTAAGTCAGTGTTCCCACTTACTGGTCTATTTTAAGTGCAAGGAAATAAATTTCGCTTTGTTTCGAGGTTAAACATTTATTTGCAGTGACTTAGAAATGAATTAAAGTGAAATATTCAAAAAGAAAATTGTGATCGAAGTTTGAGTGAAAGACATGTAGATCAAAATAAGCTACTTCAGAAATGACATCACTGAATTTGTCAGCCATGAAATAACACTGCATTGAAATTGATGGGGAAAGAAGGAAACCAGGTAAATTATACAATTTATATTTGTTCAAAGTTGGGACTGCCAAAAGTTGGGTGGGACTGGTAATGTTTAAAATTGCCAGTCCATTGGGATTGACAGTATCAGAAGCCAGTGGGTACACTGAATAAGTGTTGGCAGCGAGCAATCCGTTCCTCAACCAAGTCAAAGAGACTACATGTGATCTATTATGTCACCCCAGAAGACGAAAAAACAACAACATGGTTCTCAAAAGGATAATTCCATTGGACATTTGTGTCAGTTTAGGTTTTGTGTTCTCTTTTTCTCCCCTTTCCCCATATTTACCCCCTCCCCTATATTCAACCCTCCCCGCTTATTTTGCCCCCCTCCCCCTATATCCACCCCCTCCCCTATATTGACCCTTCTCCAAATATTCACCACTCCCCAATTTTACCCCCCCTTATATTCACCCCCTCCCCCTATATTCACCCCTCCCCAATAGTGACCCCCTCCCCCTTTATTGACCTTTCCCCAAATATTCACCCCTCCCCAAATTTTACCCCACCCCCTATATTGACCCTTCCCCAAATATTCACCCCTCCCCCCTTATATTGACCCCTCCCCAATAATGACCCCCCCATTATTTTGACCCCCTCACCCTATACTCACCCCTCCCCCAATATTCACACACACACACACACACACACACACACACACACACACACACACACACCATATTCACCCTCCCCTCATCGCCTTACACAGCTCTTCACTCCGGTCGTGTCCTCCTCCCGTGCCATGTCGAGGTCTGCCCTCACTCTGTGCGGCAACTCGAAGGGTTTGTCATAACACATCTTGTACAACTTGGGCAGCTCCACCATACGCACAATCTCTGCTGCAGGGTTATCTACCTTGGCTGGAACCGAAAAAAACAGTTTACTGGCGTGTATTATTACATCACAGTGTGTCAGCTAATGTGGGGGAACAGACCAAAGAGATACACGTTATGGACGTTTATCGCTTCACGTATAAATCCCACGTTTGGTGTTGACAAACCTAGAAACATAATCAGGCCGAAACCAGGATTGGAAACTACAATCCTACTCTACACAGTGTATTGAATCAACCCATGGTCCCTTCAATGGAACAATGCTGGATCGTACTGATGTTGTTACCCAGTGAATATCTGGGTTAGAATAGGTCTTTAGCAACCCATGCTTGTCATAACAGGCGCCTGTGCTTGCCGTAAGAGGCGACTAACAGGATCCGGTGGTCAGGCTCGCTGACTTAATTGATGCATGTCATTGTATCCCAATTGCGTAGATTGATGCATGATCACTGGATTGTCTGGTCCAAACTCGACGTCATATAGCTGGAATATTGCTGAGTGCGATGTTAAGCAACAAACAAGCAAACAAAAACTGATATGGTTAATAAACGATATAGACTGTGTACATGATATTGAAATGGATATCTGTTCAAACATTACCATGATATAATGCTGTGATTTCATTGACCTCTCTGAAGACCTTGACCTTGCCCTTTATATGCACAAGGTCACCATGAGAGTAGCCTGAAGTGGCCTGCTTTTCCTCATCCTGGATGTCACAAACCTTCTTCTGCAGAGACACCGGCAACGTGGAGTACATAGTCTCATCACCTTGACAACACAGAACATACCTCTCACATCACCTTGACAACACAGAACACACTATCTCATCAACTTGACAACACAGAACATACTATCACATCACCTTGACAACACAGATCATACCATCTCATCACCTTGACAACACAGAATATATCATCTCATCACCTTGACAACACAGGACCTGTCACATCACCTTGACAACACAGAGCATACCTCTCACATCACCTTGACAACACAGAATATACTTATCTCATCACCTTGACAACACAGAACATACTCGTCTCATCACTTTGACAACACAAAACATACCATCTCATCACCTTGACAACACTGAAAATACTTAACTCATCGCCTTGACAACACAGAACATACCTCTCTCATTACCTTGACAACACAGAACATACCTCTTATCACCTTGACAACACAGAACATACCTCTCATCACCTTGACAACACAGAACATACCATCTCATCACCTTAACAACACAGAACATACCTCTCACATCACCTTGACAACACAGAACATACCTCTCATCACCTTGACAACACAGAACATACCTCTCATCACCTTGACAACACAGAACATACCATCTCATCACCTTAACAACACAGAACATACCTCTCACATCACCTTGACAACACAGAACATACTTATCTCATCACCTTGACAACACAGAACATACTTGTCTCATCACTTTGACACACAAAACATACCATCTCATCACCTTGACAACACAGAAAATACTTAACTCATCACCTTGACAACACAGAACATACCTCTCACATCACCTTGACAACACCGAACATACCATCTCATCACCTTGACAATGCAGAACATACCTCTCACATCACCTTGACAACACAGAGCATACTATCTCATCACCTTGACAACACAGAACATACCATCTCACCACCTTGACAACACAGAATATACCATCTCATCACCTTGACAACACAGGACCTCTCTCATTACCTTGACAACACAGAACATACCTCTCATCACCTTGACAACACAGAACATACCTCTCATCACCTTGACAACACAGAACATACCATCTCATCACCTTAACAACACAGAACATACCTCTCACGTCCATCACTCTAATGTCATCATCAGGCCATGCTAGAAATAATTTCTGTTGTAAATTTGCTTCCAGTGTTTTGTGTGTCTCTCTGATTGTATCAATGGTTGCAAAATCGTCAAGTAAACTGACTCTACATTGAAAACACAGTATGATTATCTCAGTAGTTCCATGACAAAATAAACCAGAATATTCTTTGGTGTTAGACATTATATTGAGTGAGCGGCTTGAATTGAGTCCAGTGTTTTGCGTGGGCCATTGATCTGATTTAAGGAAACACTGATAACCGCATATAATCAAAGTATGGAACCGTAAATGCATTAACTAGACTTTCACAAGTCTCTAAGGAAACGATTATTAGTTTAAATCACAATTCCTAGATAGAAAAACAATAAGAACAAGTTATCCCTATAAAAGACCAAGATTTTCCTATTATAAGCCTAGAATAACTATACATCCATGGACTTATCATTCAGGGGTCTTGGAGTAACGACAGTCCATGAGTGAGTGAGTATGATTATACGCCGCTTTAGCAATATTCCAGCAATATCATGGCGGGGGGCACCACAAATGGGCTCCACACATTGTACCCATATCAGGAATTGAATCCGGGTCTTCGGCGTGACGAGCTAACTCTTTAACCACTAGGCTACCCAACCGCCCCCAGAACAAAGTAACCATGTAGAATGTGTATTGTTTCAGATATGTTACATACAGTATTGCAACACTACAATGTATTGTTACACTGCTACTTGAGGGTCAGACACCTGGCGGTCTGTCTTCCCCTAATCCCTCTTGTCTCCACCTAGTCTCTACTGTGTCCCCTTAATCCCTCTTGTCTCCACCTAGTCCCTCCTGTGTCCCCCTAATCCCCCTGTCTCCACCTAGTCCCTCCTGTGTCCCCTTAATCCCTGTCTCCGGCTAGTCCCTCCTGTGTCCCCTTAATCCCTGTCTCCACCTAGTCCCTCCTGTCTCCCCCTAATCCCCCTGTCTCCCCCTAGTCCCTCCTGTGTCCCCCTAATCACCCCAGTCTCCCCTTCTTACCACTGTGTCCACGGTCAGGCTTCCAGCAACAGCAGGAAATCACTCCGGTTCCATCATCAACTGAAACATGGAGACCTCCCTGTAACCACAATCAACTGAAACATGGAGGCCTCCCTGTAACCACCATCAACTGAAACAAGGAGACCTCCCTGTTACCATCATCAACTGAAACATGGAGACCTCCCTGTAACCATCATCAGCTGAAACATGGAGACCTTCCTGTAACCATCAACAACTGAAACATGGAGACCTTCCTGTAACCATCATCAACTGAAACATGGAGACCTTCCTGTAACCATCAACAACTGAAACATGGAGACCTTCCTGTAACCATCAACAACTGAAACATGGAGACCTTCCTGTAACCATCAACAACTGAAACATGGAGACCTTCCTGTAGCCACCATCAACTGAAACATGGAGACCTCCCTGTAACCATCAACAACTGAAACATGGAGACCTCCCTCTTACCATCAACTGAAACATGGAGACCTCCCTGTAACCATCAACAACTGAAAGATGGAGACCTTCCTGTAACCATCAACTGAAACATGGAGACCTCCCTCTTATCATCAACTGAAACATGGAGACCTCCCTGTAACCATCAACAACTGAAAGATGGAGACCTTCCTGTAGCCATCATCAAATGAAACATGGAGACCTCCCTGTAGCCACCATCAACTGAAACATGGAGACCTTCCTCTAACCATCAACTGAAACATGGAGACCTCCCTGTAACCACCATCAACTGAAACATGGAGACCTTCCTGTAACCACCATCAACTGAAACATGGAGACCTCCCTCTTACCATCAACTGAAACATGGAGACCTCCCTGTAACCATCAACAACTGAAAGATGGAGACCTTCCTGTAGCCATCATCAAATGAAACATGGAGACCTCCCTGTAGCCACCATCAACTGAAACATGGAGACCTCCCTGTAGCCACCATCAACTGAAACATGGAGACCTTCATGTAACCACCATCATCTGAAACAAGGAGACCTCCCTGTAACCATCAACTGAAACATGGAGACCTCCCTCTTACCATCAACTGAAACATGGAGACCTCCCTGTAACCATCAACAACTGAAAGATGGAGACTTTCCTGTAACCATCATCAAATGAAACAAGGTGACCTCCCTGTTAGCATCAAATGTTGGTTCTTTGAAGCAAGTCATCTGTTCGACAGCCTGTCAGTGAAATAAGTTTTCTTCCACTGACTTCTACTACTTTTGTTCATTGTTGTTTAACGCCACACTCAGCAATATTCCAGCTATAAGACGTTGGTCTTTTAATATTGGAGTCTGGACCAGACAATCCAGTGATTGTTATGAAGAGATCGATCCACGCAATTGGGATACAATGACATGCATCAACCAAGTCAGCGAGCCTGACCATTTGATCCCGTTAGTCGCCTTTTACGACAAGCATAGTCGCCTTTTACGGCAAGAATGGGTTGCTCAAGACCTATTCTACCCCGAACCTTCACTGTTCTATAAACACATTTGGCCATGATTATCATCTAAATTTGGCCATGATAATGTCTAAATTATAAATGATGAATATTTTCAAACAGTTAGCTTTTTGACCAAACTGTCATGGGTCTCAACATGTAAAACAACCAATAAACCTGATTTATCATATAATGGGTAGGTTTCTTGGCAGGATAAAGCCAACGGATAAAAACGATATCCGTTGGGGTCATATGCGGATAGAGATGCAAATATCAAAGGTCAAGTAGGGACTACTTTCAGTGTTTATAAACAAACATGGCTTCGCCCTCGTCATTCAGCGATCAAGTCAAAATTAACCATCGGGAATCTGGATAAACTACAGGGATAATTGCTATCATTATCAAAAGAACAGTCTAATATACTGAAAATCAGTGTTTAACTGTGAAGTAGCTAAGGCATTTTATAAGTTTTGGCAACTTTGGAGATATAAATTTCTAAACAATTTTGCGAGGGCACGAGGCCTAGCCAAGCGGGATCAGTAGCCATATCTGTGCTTGTAGACCTCTGCAGCTTGAGACCTTCTGCACAAATTAAAATAGTTGGATTTGGCTGAAATATGTTTGAATTGTTACCTTGTTTCGTTTTGTCGCTGTGTGTACATCTGACTACACTTCTGAACGTTATGACAGGACAGACGGACTGTCAACAATGTCTGACCGTGGCCATGACGTCTCATAGACTAGGGTTAGAGTAGCTTCCCTTTGACAAAGGGCAGTTACTCTAGCGGACCGACCGATGGATTGTCGTGAAAGGCAATTAAAAACAATTGTTGTTTTGCGTATATGTTACTTCGCCACTGTATAAGAAACAGATTTCAGTTGGAACTATATTGGCTACTGTCACTCTCCGACTGACACATCACTTACCCTGTGACGTAATAAATATTAATGCGTGCATTCCTGGAAAACTCGCAATGTTTCGGTAATGTTTATGAGAGAGGGAAAGCGATTTTGAAGCACAGAATTAAAGAATGACATTATATGATAAAGAGGTTATCATGCTTGTGTGTTTGGGGATGGTAAATATCCTGTATTAGGAATAAACACTATGTATTTAGCTCGACAAGGCTCGCTTAATACAATGTTTATTCCTAATGCAGGATATTTACCATCCCCAAACACACTCGCGTGATAACCTCTATAAACCTGTTAAATGTGATTAAACAAAACTTCTAAAATCCCATCCGGAAACAGTGCAGCAAATGCTTACTTGCATAAATAAAGCACCTGTCCCTCTCGTCCACGTGGACCACCACACCGAGGACGTCCACCTTGTGTATCGGGTGATTCTTGTAGGCAAACGCTTCTGAAAGAGGTGAAACATTGTTAATAGTGTAGTCAGGCTTAAATTTTAAAAAGAAATTAATAAGTTTTTACAAAAACACATAAATCTCATAACGCTGTGCATACTTTTTCTTGTGTTTTCCATCTCCAGCCCGCTCTGAATTTTCTTTCAGACATCAATTAATAAAAAGTTTTCTTGTCTCAATTTTCCATGCCGCTATGTAAATTTATTTCCTGATGTGATAAAAAAAAATGCTCCCACAATTACACACTCATAAACAGGCCAGGTCAGCTTGAGCTGTCTTCAGCAATATTTATCAGATCAGATTCGTTACTGAAGCAAAGCGACTAGATCTATGTCAAAAATATATTTAAAGACTATTATTAAGTGTTATAAACTTTATAATTTCATCAAATAAGTTACTCAATTTGTGAAAGAAAAAAAATGTATTTTTTTATTTGTATTTATTTTTTTCGCCCACCACTCTCTTGCTTGTTGAGGTTAGAGTTGAGAAACACATTAAAAAGATATGGTTGGCCAAAACAAATATAAATTTTAAAAAGCATATTGGCATGATTGTAATCAAACACAACATTTAAATTTGTTTTCCATTTTGTAAAAAGGGCAGGGTAGGCTTTTTCTCAAAGAAGAAAATAGAAAACTGCCCAAAGTTTATACACTTAGCATTTGGACAACAGTTGTAGACTGCAGGTACCGGTATATAAGTGACTAATGTCGGTTGACACAGCAGTCAGCAACATTCCAGCTATATCACTGACAATTACATCTGGACCAAACAAACCCGTGACTGATACCAGTCACAATGACGCGCGCAACCAGTCAACTCACTGCCTGAACATGATCTGTTTGGTTGCTGTTTATATTTCAACTATATGATGGAGGTTTGTAAATAACCAAGTCTTGACCAGACAATCCTGTGACTGACATCATGAGCACCGATCCACACAGTTGGGATACGATGACATGCATCAACCAAGTCAGCGGGCCTGACTACCCGATCCCGTTTGTCGCCTCTTAAGACATGCATAGTCGCCTTTTAGGGCAAGCATTACGGCAAGCATTACGGCAAGCATTACGGCAAGCATGGGTTGCTGAGGATCCTTTCCAACCCGAATGTTCATGGCCTGAACATGACCGCAGTTTAGTCAGGTCTTACGACAAGCATGAGGAACTGTGGACCTATTCCGACCAGAATTCTGTTGTTGTACCTATACAGTGTGGGTAGAGTCGGAGTGCGAGTACATCTTGGATGTACATCTTGTTGTACCTATACAGTGTGGGTAGAGTCGGAGTGCGAGTACATCTTGGATGTACATCTTGTTGTACCTATACAGTGTGGGTAGAGTCGGAGTGCGAGTACATCTTGAATGTACATCTTGTTGTACACACGCAGGTAGTAGTCCAGCCCCCACAGCTCCTGCTGGTGATACTGACACACTCCCTCCTCCGCCATCTTGAAAACAATCTGTCAGAAATATGTTAGTGTATATATATAACATCTAAATTTGCTCTGTTTTACAGTAAACTATACGTTTATAAGGAACTGACGGATATAACGAACTTGTTGTTTGTCCCTGGCCACTTGATGTATATAGGCTAATATCAAACTATGGTTATAACAAACTATGGTTATAACGAACTAAAATTCGGGTCATGTTGACCCCAGGGCGGCTGTCAGCAACTGTGCTGTGGAGACTGCAGATCAAATCACATAAATATACAACATAATAACCCCTATAACATACACCGCGAGGTCAAAGACCTTGAGTTGGACCACGAGTGTGGAAAGAATTCTTACCAAGAATTGTTAATACAAGATGTCATGCGTCCAAATCCGACATAAATACGTTCCTCGTTCGCTATGCCTATGGTCGACCGACACACTTCTTCACTTGTCATTCCGACATTCATATTTCCCTCGCATAGCATATTAGGAGTGACCTCCCCTTGCATACCACTAGAAACTATCGACGTGAGTGTTTTGTCATGGTCCCGGACAAGACGTGCAATAAACTACTAACAATAAAACTACCATTCCATACAACACATTCAATATATACCTTCTATTTGTCATATTAGTATAAATGACGTTTTGTAATATTATTACTTGCAATGTCATTCGGTCACAAGAAAACAACTTTAATCATCATTTTCTACTTCCCTTTATGTATAGGATAAAACAGGTCAGAGGGTTTATATGAGATTTAAAACCCGAATCAAAGAGATAAAAACCCGAGGCTTAGTGTTTTATCTAAGTTTTATATAAGGACATGGCTCCATTATGACAGGCTCCGCCATCATGCATGATAGCGGAGCTTCAAATTAAGACAAGAGATATTATTGGATGAAATGGTCGCGGATGTGGAGGTACTGGTGGACTACGGCAATGAGCTTAACACCTGTTAAGCAACCCTAACTGCAGCAACCGCTGCCCTGCAACAACCGTTGCCAAGCAACCCATGTTGCTTACCGATGCAGCATCCGCTGCCCCGCAACTACCGTTGCCAAGCAACCCATGTTGCTTACCAATGCAGCGCCTGCTGCCCTGCAACTACCGTTGCCAAGCAACCCATGTTGCTTACCAATGCAGCGCCCGCTGCCCTGCAACTACTGTTGCCAAGCAACCCATGTTGCTATGCAGCTATCGCTGCCAGGCAAGTACCATTGCCAAACCATGAGCGAGGGCAACTATTGTTGCCAAGCTGACCATCCGCTGTAAAGCGGACACTAAGCCATCTGCTGTAAAGCAGAATGGATAAATTGGTTCCTGCTGTAAAGCGGGTAACCCTATCCTAAATAATTTATAATTTGGGATGTATCCCAAGACGCCAAATGTAACTTGTAATGCAGTCCACCAGCACCCCGCCCATCCGCAACATTTTATTCATGACAACATCATTATATACAAACATTATGCTCCAGTAAAATTCCACCAATTGACAACTGCAAAGCTTGAATAACTTGGAATTAAGGATAACAGGGTGGGTGGGTGGGTGCAACGAACTATAGATGAATGCGCGAATATAACTATGTGTTGTACGGCTGAAAGCTGGAGAGCAAGTGCTGCGTGAGCTGATGTCACGCTACAACAGGTCATAGAAAATATAAACAAACGCTCCTTTACCGGACGTGCCAAGAGCGGATCTAGGCCAGAGACGATGGCACCATGCAAAACGGCACGTAGCCGCACGGAATGAAGGTATTTCGCAGTAATAATATTAGCAACTGTGCCAAGCCTAACATAAAGGCATTTAGTTCTAATCACTAAATGCTAATAAACCGAAAAAGGAAACTTGAAACAACACTTATCAACAATGTTTCAAACACACTTTCCACTAGGATACGGGCGTAAAATATCTGCTGCTGGTGTACGGTACGTGATACAGCCATTCTTAAAAGCATTGTGATTCATAAGCGCCTCTGAAACATTCATATGTTACAATACAAGTAGAAAACATTGTAATAATGCTCACTGGAGTAACACACATTCATTCACTCACTAACCCTAGCTAGCTCTTAAAAACTGACTGACATTGTGTCATCCTACGGAGTACACATATTCAGACCCGTGAAGATCCGGGGTTGAAATAGGTCTTCAGCAACCCATGCTTGCCGTAAAAGGTGACTTTGCTTGTCGTAAGAGGCGACTAACGGGATCAGGTGGTCAGGCTCGCTGACTTGGTTGATGCATGTCATCGTATCCCAAGTGTAAGTGAGTTGGGTTTAACGCCGCTTTTAACATATTTCCAGTTATATCACGAAGTGATGCAGGTCTCAGACGTTTACCACTTTGGTGAAACCGACGAGCACGGATATGGTGCTGACAAACCTGGAAACATACTCGGGGCTAACCGGGATTCGAACCCACAATCATAGGTTTCTGGCGTGCCTAAGGGTAGCAACTGCACAGCGAATCGCGGCGCCTTAGACGACTGGACCACCCGTGCCCCCTCGTATCCCAATAGCCTAGATCGATGCTCATGATGTCAATCACTGAAAAGTCTGGTCCAGACTCGATTATTTACAGTCATATAGCTGGAATAGCTGGAGTGCGGCGTTAAACAACAAACAAACACAACAAAAACATATATTCATTATTCTTTCATCTGAAAAAAAGTCCCAAACAACTCTGATGTTGTGAAATGTAATGAAACACCCAGTCCATGAATTGTCATGTGGTAGCATGGGTAGTCACTCGAAATGTGGCATTTCAATCAATCAGTACTTTATTCAGTACGAAAGCCTTGTAGATCCGGGGTAGAATAGGTCTTCAGCTTCAGCAACCCATGCTTGCCGTAAAAGGCGACTATGCTTGTCGTAAGAGCCGACTGACAGGATCAGGTGGTCAGGCCCGCTGACTTGGTTGATGCATGTCATCGTATCCCAATTGTGTGGATCGATGCTCATGATGTCAATCACTGGATTGTCTGGCCCAGAATCGATTATTTACCGACCGCCGTCATATAGCTGGAATATTGCTGAGTGCAGCGTTAAACAACAAGCAAGCAACCAACCTTGTACAGATGTGGCTATATAATAATTATAAACATTGTTTAACCAAAAAAATCTTCTTTCATACGCTAAATAAACAAGCATAGTGATTTGACTTGTTCAGTGTCGGTTGAGACATCTATTTTTTTAAATGTATGTGTATATTTGCATCAGTGATACATGTATTTGGTAAAAATCTAATTCCAATAGCATCCAAAGCAGCATATGGAAATAATACATGATATTCGTCCTTTATACCTCAATCACATAAAGGACAGTTTCTCACACATAAATCGATTTTTTTGCCACTTGCCTTCATTATTTATGAACCGTAATAGTCCGACTCTAAACTTCACTAAAATGTTTCGAAGCAATTTGGTAAAGTGCCACACGTCATGTTAGTAGGGTCCAACATTTTCTATATTCGTTTCACGTGCCCGACGCCCCTACTGAAAAGCACCCGAAAAAGAAATAAATTAAACATAAACATAATTATTTTTATTATGTCTCGCTAGCTAATAAACCCTCAATAATCATCATCATCATTATTATTATTTTAGACAGGTATTTACCGGTTGTGACAGATGCTAGACAATACTAGTCGATAAGACATGTAACGATGTGCCCGTACACGAACTTCTCTGACATGCCTTGACCTACATTACGCAGAATGAGCCCGATCTATTTAAGTAAAATGATATCACCTATGCGTCAAATGGATAATTCCTTGTCACCGACCTATCACACAACAGCACTTGTTTATCGCGGTATTTAGGTCACTGTTAAGAAGCACACCGAAGTTGTCAATGTCTTCATTCATATGTATGTCCTGATCAACATTCTACGAATGACAAGGAAACTTGAGTCACGTTCGGCTGTATCATGTCTATTAAACGATGTCGGCTGTTTGACAAGATCAACAATACATTCTCAAAAAAGGACTTAAAGTTTACTTGCAGCAAGAAAATGCTCTCTATATATATGCTTATCTAATCCCATATGTCAGAGATAGCAGACATAAAAAATGAAAACGTTTAGAGTTGCACACGGTTTAATGATTGGACGTGGATAACGCCTTAACGTACCAAGAGAAAAGAGACTGTGTGAGTGAGTATGGTTTTATGCCGCTTTTAGCAATATTCCAGCAATATCACGGCGGGTGACACCGGAAATGGGCCTCACACGTTGTACCCATGTCGGGAATCGAGCCCGGGTCTTCGGCGTGACGAGCGATTGCTTTAACCACTAGGCTACCCAACCAACCCCTTGAAAGTTTGTGAACAATGTGACTTAAATGTATAGACGACGAGTTTCACTTTGTGTTAGTCTGCAGTAAATATGACTGCCCAACAAGAAAATACTATAAACGCAAACGGTATGAAACCCAACTCATATACGCCCTGTACTGCTTTCCTCGCACAAGACATGTACTGTCAAAATATTTCTATGTACATGTATCATGTTATTAAAAACTGTTATACAAAACTGTATAATACAACCATTCCCAAAGATTATTGTACCATGTACCATTGTGCCTTTGTACCATGGGCGTGTGTCCTATCGGCAAGAAACTATACTACTGCTCGACTCGTCTCCAGTCCATATAAACAGCAAAATAAGCCGAGTGGACCCGAGTGGACCCGTGCGACTTTAGCGTCTGGCCTGTTAATCACAGACGGGTCAAAATGCTGATGTTCCAAGGAGGGAGGTCGTGAGTCATGGTGATGAGTAATCAAACGTTTATTTGGTCAAGGTGATAATGTTTCCTCACTGATTGGTTAGCGTGTTAGGTTCCTAACCACTCACTGGTTACTATCTGTTTAAGAAGGCAAGCTTTCCACTCGCAGTCACACTTACCTCTGCAGGCACATCACAGCTGAGAAGAGGTTTTGTTAGCTTCAACGATGGAGCTGTTGACGTGGTTGCTGACTTCACTCACACCGTTGCTGGCCAGTCTGGTGGGGCTTCTGGCAATACTGTACATGTGAGTGTCCAGTCAGCGTCATCGTGCACGTGTAACGTGTGGTGCCAGAGTGGTTGCGTGTGTGCGTTCGAGCGTACGGGCGTGCATAAATGTATTCCTCTGCGTGTGTATTGGTGTGTCTGAGTGTATTGGTGTGTGTGTCTTTATGTATTGATCTGCCTCTGTGTGTAATGGTATGTGTTTGTATTGGTGTGTGTCTGTGTTTTGGTAAGTGTGTGTGTGTTTGTGTGTGTGTGTGTGTGTGTCTCGTTATGTTTGTATTTTGAGAGGGAACGTGTGTGTTTGTGTGTGTTGGGAGGGAACGTGTGTGTGTGTGTGTGTCGTTGTTTGTATTTTGAGAGGGAACGTGTGTGTTTGTGTGTGTTTGGAGGGAACGTGCGTGCGTGCGTGTTTGTGTGTGTGTGTGTTGGGAGGGAACGTGTGTGTGTGTGTGTGTGTGTGTGTGTGTGTGTGTGTGTGTGTGTGTGTGTGTGTGTGTGTGTGTGTGTGTGTGTTGGGAGGAAACGTGTGTTTTCTATGATTGTTATATAAAACGAGAGAATAGTATGGAGGAACAACTATCTTGCGCTGAGGGTTCCACGTGGTTAAATTCCCCTGAAGAAAAAAATATGTGAATTATCCTATGTTGGTGTGTGTCGGAGTGATAAAGCTGACATACTGCTAGAACCAGGTAAAAGGTGTATTGTATGTCCAGTCTATTATGATAAGTACATGTGACACATTCTCCACCAAAGCATCGTTTCGCAAGTGATGTCACCATCACCATCTTTATTCTCACACATTTAGCTCAAGATTTCTCTCGCTCCTGAGTGTATTCCGATTGGACGACTATTTGTCTCGACGTGTCTTTCGAATATGTTCAAACGAGACTATGGTAGACAATGGGTCCAGGGTGTTTATCTTATTAGAATAGAGATATAACAATATTATTAAAATCAGACCTTATTAGTTCTCGCTCCCGCTAAAACTAGCTACAGCGAGAACTAAGAGAGGTATAACACACTGGATTAGTCCATAATCTGACAAATTTCGCAAGTATATACTTTGTTTGTTTGTTTGTTGTTTAACGCTGCACTATTCCTGTTATATAACGGCGGTCTGTAAATTATGGAGTCTGGACCCGACAATCCAATAATTGACATCATGAGCATCGATCAACGTAATTAAGATACAATGACATGCATCAACCAAGCCTGACCACACGATCCCGTTCGGCGGCGCTGACGGCGAGCATAGTCGCCTTTTACGGCAACAATGGGTTGCTGAAGTCCTCTCCTACTCCGGATCTTCACGGGTCGGCAAGTATATGAATGTCCCCTGCACTGAAGTAGCTGATCATGTCGGGCATGCGCACTTCACAGGATGTGTTAATCAAGCACGTGCAGAATATGACCTTGCCTCGGGAGACAAGTGATGAGTCTACCGTGACAGCTTCCTGTGAGGATCAAGGTCCATAGTGACGCAGGTCGTGAACATTTACCACGATGGTGGAACCCGCGAGTACTACTATGGTGCTGACAAACCAGTGGTATTAACAGAGCCGAATGTGGGCTTCGAACCCTGGATCAACGGTTGATTGTCGGGGCCGTCACAGTCTCCCGCGACCAACTGAACCATTGGCCAGCACGCGTGTGCCTAGAACCAAGATCACCATAGCCGATCTTTCGTATATCACACCAAGACGTCATATCCGTCTACATCTGTATATCCCATCATGCAATGATTCACAGGTATGTGACATGGACTCATGACTACTTCCGGAAGTTGGGCATCCCGGGCCCGAAGCCAGGACTTATGGGAAACATGGACAACTACAAAAGGGAGGTAAGAATCCTGCACACATTGATGAGTGAGTGAGTGAGTGAGGTTTTACACCGCTTTTAGCAACATTCCAGTAATATCACGGGGGGAACACCAGAAATGGGCGTCACACATTGTAACCATGTCGGGAATCGAACCCGGGTCTTCGGCGTGACAAGCGAACGCTTTAACCACTAGGCTACCCCACCGCCCCTCACACATTGATAAACCATAGCACCAGTAGTTGTAATATTACCGAGTGCGGCGTATATCAACATTTACTCAGTTACTCTATTTGAAAAAAATTAATACTCTTTGAACTTTGTTTAGAAAGGGGTATTTATAAGACACACGGGACAAGATACTGGAAATATTATTAGAATTACACACAGTAAAACTGGACGATAATAGTTTCTCGGGACGTGTATGCCTACAATAAACGGGACAATAGTATGGTCATATGATTCGTTAATCCGCACATCCGAACGATTACACTTGGACCGGTACCGTCCGGATAAACGGGGTGTTACTTTCCACATTTATGTTTGTTCATGCAGGGCGTCATCGGAAACGATATGGAGCTGGTGAAAAAATACGGAAGAGTTGTGGGGTGAGTTTCTAATGAACCCTTATTTACATTATTGTATGTATATTTATTCAACATACAGTCAATATTTGTCTAAACGACTGAATCTATTGTTTTCTTACGCCATTTAAACAGCTATCAATCAAAGATTCACAAGAACGTATACACAGGCTGCAGGAAAGTAATGGCTTTTCGTACATTCAACATAGTTCAACATAGACTTGCTTCATATAATATTTCAGGTTTTATCACTGCCGCCTTCCCATCATGCTCGTGTCTGACCCGGAAATGATCAAAGAGATTTGCGTGAAACAGTTCTCCAACTTCAACAACAGGAAGGCAAGTCATGACACACCTCCATGACACACCTCCATGACACACCTCCATGACACACCTCCACCACATGTCTCACACCGCACCTCTCACGGAGGACGACAATCCGATAAAAGCAGGGAATTTTGTCTGCATAGAAAACGCGAAATGTGAAACTTGACCCAATGGTCTATGCAGAGTTGCGTCCCTTGACCCCTACTGGGATCCACTGATCGTGGGTGCGAAACCTATATTTGCCCAATTACGAACCTTGTTACCCGTGCATGTGGGTTTCACTAATGTGGTCAAAATCAATGATCTGCACCACCACCGCGACATAACTGTCATTCTGCTGGAGGCGCTTTAAATATAAATAAGTCGGCTAATATCATGGAGGCCTTTAGATGATGGCTGATCTTGAAAGTTAGAAAAGCGAAATCACATCATCATGAATAATCACATTCAGAATTCATTAAATTAAGTCTGCATGTTTATGTTGTGAGAGTTAATTGAATCACAACATAATCATATGCAGTGTGTGTGCGTGTGACTGCTTGTACTAGTCCGAGCCAATGCCGATTTTATAGTGCTAGCTCACAGAAATACCATGCCACAGTTTAACACGAATACACCACTCAGACACAGTATACTGACTCCGAGCCGACCAGCCCTTGTTTTAGCCCCTTAATGCCGAGCGCCAGACAGGGTAACAACAAGTACCGTCTTTAAACGTCTTAATTCCCGACCTTCCGCTCTACCAGAATTCATTTAATCACATCATGAACGTGTACGAAATTTATTGAATCACATCATGAATCATGCATAATTCAGTGAATCACACCATAAAGTGGTTCTTGTCGTCCTCTGAGTGCCGTCAGCTTGAGTTAGCGTTACAGGGAATGACAGAACAAAGGGGTCATATTAGGGCTTCATCATTAGTTTGTTCCACAACCAATCACCATTCTTCTTCAGCGGCCCGAGCCAATCAACAAGGTGTTCAGGAGTGCGATGTCGGTGGTGGAGGACGAGCATTGGAAGTTCAGTCGCAGCGTCCTGAGCCCCACGTTCAGCTCCGGCAAGATGAGACAGGTACAACACCGCTACGGCTACTCATACTCGCGACCCAATGCGACATCCCCCGGGATACTCCGAAATAGATAAGGTTCTCAGTACCACATTGTCGTAAACACTGATGTGGATCAGGTAGTTAAAGTTCATTGTCTCGAAGGCGTGGGGTAGCCTAGTGGTCAAAGAGTTCGCTCATCACGCCGAAGGCCTGGTTCGATTCCTACATGGGTACAATGTGTGAAGTCCGTTTCTGGTGTCCCCCGCATGATATAATGGAATATTGCTTAAATCGGCGTAAAACAATATTTTGTTCAATGAATGAAGCATCATTTCTGGTGTCACCAGTCGTGATGTTGCTGAAATATTGCTGGAAGCGGCGTTTAATCATACTCACTAAGTATTTTACAGTCAGAACCTGCTTGTATAAGGAACAATTCCACTGTCTGCAGATGGTTCCACTGATCCAAAACTGCACGGCGAGTTTGGTCCAGAACCTAGAACGCCAGTCCAAGGGAGGCGACAGCGTCGAGATGAAGAAGTGAGATCCTTAATGTGTACAGTGTTATATGACGCGGTAAACAAATCTCGGTATCGCGAGTCGAAAAAATTGCAAAAAAGGGTACCTGCTTTTAATAATAAACTCTACCTGTGAAGATCTGGGCAACTGTAGGTCTTCGGCAACCTATGCTTATCGTAAGAGGCGACTAACGGGATCGGGTGGTCAAGCTCGCTGACTTTGTTGATGCATCGTGGATCGATGCTCATGGTGTCAATCACTGGATTGTGTGATCCAGAATCGATTATAGACCGCCATCATATAGCTGGAATATTGCTCAGTGTGGCGTTACACGACAAACAGACAAACAAACAAACAAATAAATAAAAGATATGAAGCAATGAGATGGGGACGTCACGTGGTGGAGTCCCGCTAACCCCCTTGCAGCCCCCTTTCAAAGAGCTACTTGGATGTAATGTTTCAGCGTAATGGGGTGTTACACCCTGGACGTCATCGCCAGCACGGGCTTCGGGATGGACGTGGACAGCCAGGTGGACCCCAACAACGTGTTTGTGAAGAACGCTAAGGAGGCCATGTCTGGGGGGTTCACCTTCCCTTACATCACGTCGCGTAAGACTAATGTCATTCACAGTAGTTTGTCATTTTACCACCAGTTTAATCGTAGAACATTTGCTTGCCATGTCACACAATATGGCTGAAATATTGCTCACGTGACTTTAAATTTGATTTCACTCACCCATGTCGCTGTTGTAATCAACCCATCCATTGGTTGGAACAGATACTCAAGTCGGCATCTTTTATGTCGTAAGAGACCTCCATTGGTTGGAAATTAATCAAGTCGGCATCATTCTGTTGTAACCGACCCATCAAGTCGGCATCATTCTGTTGTAACCGACCCATCCATTGGTTGGAAAATTAATCAAGTCGGCATCATTTTGTTGTAACCGACCCATCCATTGGTTGGAAAATTAATCAAGCCTCATCATTCTGTTGTAACCGACCCATCAAGTCGGCATCATTCTGTTGTAACCGACCCATCCATTGGTTGGAAAATTAATCAAGTCGGCATCATTTTGTTGTAACTGACCCATCCATTGGTTGGAAATTAATCAAGTCGGCATCATTTTGTTGTAACTGACCCATCCATTGGTTGGAAAATTAATCAAGCCTCATCATTCTGTTGTAACCGACCCATCAAGTCGGCATCATTCTGTTGTAACCGACCCATCCATTGGTTGGAAAATTAATCAAGTCGGCATCATTCTGTTATAACCAACCCATCCATTGGTTGGAAATTAATCAAGTCGGCATCATTCTGTTATAACCAACCCATCCATTGGTTGGAAAATTAATCAAGTCGGCATCATTCTGTTGTAACCGACCCATCAAGTCGGCATCATTCTGTTGTAACCGACCCATCCATTGGTTGGAAAATTAATCAAGTCGGCATCATTCTGTTATAACCAACCCATCCATTGGTTGGAAAATTAATCAAGTCGGCATCATTCTGTTATAACCAACCCATCCATTGGTTGGAAAATTAATCAAGTCGGCATCATTCTGTTATAACCAACCCATACATTGGTTGGAAAATTAATCAAGTCGGCATCATTCTGTTATAACCAACCCATCCATTGGCTGGAAATTAATCAAGTCGGCATCATTCTGTTGTAACCGATCGATCCATTGGTTGGAAAATTAATCAAGTCGGCATCATTCTGTTATAACCAACCCATCCATTGGTTGGAAAATTAATCAAGTTGGCATCATTCTGTTGTAACCGACCCATCCATTGGTTGGAAATTAATCAAGTCGGCATCATTCTGTTATAACCGACCCATCCATTGGTTGGAAATTAATCAAGTCGGCATCATTCTGTTGTAACCGACCCATCCATTGGTTGGAAATTAATCAAGTCGGCATCTTCCCTTTGTAACCAACTCCCATTGGTTGGAACAATAAAGTCAACACCTCGGTACGAAGTACTAAGGCAGCATATTTCTGTAGTAAGCAGCTCCTATGTGTGTTGAACAATCAAGTTGGTATCACTTTGACTGAAGACCTGTGTTGTATCCCCCAGTGCTGTTCCCGTTCACGAAGGCGGTGTTCGAGGCGGTGGGGTGGAGCGTCATGCCGAGGAACAGCAGAGACTTCTTTTTCAAAGTCATGGATAAAGCTATTGATGACAGACGCCAACATCCATCGGTTAGTCTCCCTGCTTCTCTCCTTCCCCTCCCTCTCTTTTCTTCTCTCCCTCACTTTCTACCTACAGGATCTTCCCGACATGCCAACAATCTCACACACACTCTCTCTCTCCCTCTCTCTCTCTCACTCATCCACTCACTCACTCTCTCCCTCACTTTCTACCTACAGGATCTTCCCGACATGCCAACAATCTCACATTCACTCACTCTCTCACTCACTTTCTACCTACAGGATCTTCCCGACATGCCAACAATCTCACATTCACTCTCTCACTCACTCTCTCACTCATCCACTCACTCACTCTCTCCCTCTCTTTCTACCTACAGGATCTTCCCGACATGCCAACAATCTCACATTCACTCTCTCACTCATCCACTCACTCACTCTCTCCCTCACTTTCTACCTACAGGATCTTCCCGACATGCCAACAATCTCACATTCACTCTCTCACTCATCCACTCACTCACTCTCTCCCTCACTTTCTACCTACAGGATCTTCCCGACATGCCAACAATCTCACATTCACTCACTCACTCTCTCTCACTCATCCACTCACTCACTCTCTCCCTCACTTTCTACCTACAGGATCTTCCCGACATGCCAACAATCTCACACTCTCACTCACTCACTCTCTCTCACTCATCCACTCCATCTCTCACTCCCTCACTTTCTGCCTGCAGGATCTTCCCGACATGCCAACAATCTCACACTCTCACTCACTCACTCTCTCTCTCACTCATCCACTCACTCACTCACTCTCTCCCCCTATTTATGCCTACATGATCTCCCGGAAACCCACAATCTAACACTCACTCACTCTTTCACTCATTTCACTTTCTGCCTACATGATCTCCCCGACATGCTACAGTGAACTCACTCACTCACTCACTGTCTCCAGGCTCGGCCGGACATGCTACAGTGAACTCACTCACTCACTCACTCACTGTCTCCAGGCTCGGCCGGACATGCTGCAGTTGATGCTCAACACCCACACACTGGAGAACACGATGGAGGCAGACGACATCCAGGACGCTCAACTGGATTTCAGCAAGATTAGGAAACGACGTGAGTTGTTCATCCTTACCGATGTCCTTAGAGTCACTGCTGCCAAAATTACATCTCGTGACAACATTTTCTATCTGCCATTTTCTATCTGACTAACTCGTGTCGTTCCGGAACAAGTCGAATGTCTCTTCTTCCTACTGGCGGAAATGCACTCGTGTTGACGAATACTGCGGCAAAATCATTCGGCTTGTCCCAGAATGTCACGAGTGGTCACGAATACAACTGCACCAATGTTCCGCCTGAACGTCAAGAGAGTTGCACGGAGAAATTAGGTTGTCGCAGATTTTAGGGTCATGTGTATGTATATAAATAGAAAATATATATAAGACCATTTCTCGTAACTCTAACGCAGTTGCATATATAAACTATTCCCGAAATACATAATTTCCAGGCTGTGAAATATTTAAGAAGGTAATATGCAAAACGCCCTGTGTTCAATTCCTGTCACGGTCCAGACTTTGGACTTTGTGGCTGGCGTCAATCCATTGTCTCTGTAGATCAGGTTCATCATTAACGGCAGGGTGGGATAAAACCTGTTATATAACTCCTACAGACTTTTTTTTGCGGTAGTGGATAATATTGTTGTGTAAGGTGAGGTGAGGTGAAATGGGGTTTAACGTCGCATCCAAGATTATTGCACTTACAGAGCGATGTTCATGCACGTGTTTGTGTGGCTGCTGGTACTAGCCCGGACTGACGCCGATATATAGTGCTCGCCCACTGAGATACCAGGCCACAGTTTAACATGAATACCCCACTCAGACACAATATACTGACTCCGAGCCGACCAGTCCTTGTTTTAAACCCCTTAATGCCGAGCGCCAGACAGGGTAACCACAAATACCATCTTTTAACGTGTTTTAGTATGACGCGCCCGGACCTTCCGCTCTGCGGTGGACGCTCTACCTCTAGGTCACTGAGGCGATCAGGGATAAAACTGTTACATTAGGTCTGGCAGAAAACCGTTATCCTCGGTCGGGGATGCGTTATTATATTCGTTCGGGGGCTGTTTGTTATAAATAGTCGAGATAAAACTGTTACATGAAAAAACCCTGTTACTTTGTAGGGGATAAAATTGTTGCTTTAGGTCTGGGGTAAAACCTGCGTTCTGCGTTCTGGTATGCTGTAGATGCAGATTGAGACAGTTGCTGACCCCTGAACATATTGTTCTCCCCTAGCCCTCACAAACGACGAGATAATGTCCAACTCAGTGGTGTTCATGTTGGCGGGGTATGACACCACATCAGGAGCCTTGTCATTCGCCTCCTACCTGCTGGCGACCAATCCCGACTGTCAGGACAAGCTCATCCGGGAGATCGACCAGCATCTGGGCAAGGTAAATCCTTGAATAAAGGCCCGCCTTGAATATACGCCTGCTTTGAATATACGCCTGCCTTGAATATACGCCTGCTTTGAATATACGCCTGCCTTGAATATACGCCTGCCTTGAATATACGCCTGCTTTGAATATACGCCTGCCTTGAATATACGCCTGCCTTAAATATACGCCTGCTTTGAATAAAAAGCCTGCCTTGAATATACGCCTGCTTTGAATATACGCCTGCCTTGAATATACGCCCGCCTTGAATATACGCCCGCCTTGAATATACGCCCGCCTTGAATATACGCCTGCCTTGAATATACGCCCGCCTTGAAGATACGCCTGCCTTGAATAAACGCCTGCCTTGAACAAACGCCTACATTGAATAAACGCCTGCCTTGAAAAAAACTTCAGCCTTAAATAAATGTCTGTCTTGAATAAACTTCTGCTTTCAATAAACACCCGCCAAGCCGGGTCTTCATTCTGTTATCGCTTTGATGTAGTTAGTAACCATAGTAAGCACCATAGTAACAGTGATAGTATGGATTTACTGGATGCAAACGAATTTCGTTCATAAAAGATTTCCACTTGATTAAAGTCGAGAGTTTGCTTAATTCCAGGACCTGGCTACCTATGACAATGTGATGACGTTGCCGTACTTGGAGCGTGTGTTCCTGGAAACACTCCGTGTCTACCCTCCAGCGTCAAGGTGAGTGAGTGAGTGAGAAGATGATCTTAACTCCCATTCACCACTGACGACTAAGATCGATTTGTGGAACGGGGCCCTGTTCCAAGAGGCTACCCAATGAATCGGGTGGTCAGACAGGTAGTTAACCCGAAGACATGGATCGCTACTTATAACATTAACCACTGGATTGTCTGGCCCAGACTCAAGAATTTACAGGCCGCCGTCAAATAGCTCGACTACTGCACAAAACGGCTGGCCTAGTGTACTAAGGCGCCGCAATTCGCTGTCCAAAGTTGCATCCCTTGTCATGCCAGGATCCGTAGTCGTCCCAGATACGCCCTGACTATAATGCTTGGTTTTATATGACGTCTTGATAGAACTAGAATACTGCTGACGGTGGCTTTGCATGTGTTTCTGACGGGTGCCACCATGGGGCAGGATACGCTCAACATTTCGCGAACATCTGTTGCCATCGCTCTTCGGTAGTTATTCATAAACACGTGCTAATAATATAATCAGAATCGAAAATGAACACTAATTTTTGTAGATATTTTTTTATGATTATGCAAATGTTTATTGTAACGCAATGATTTGTTTAATAGAACGAAATTAGGTTATCACAAATAATATGAGTGAATCTAGTTCCGCAAATATTGTTTCAAGCGGCACTCAGGCACTCACTCACTCATCCCATTCAAGGTCTTTGAACACAGATTCAGACGCAGTTCCTACGCCAGTGCCTGTGTGGTGCTACTGTCTGCTACTATCTTTTCCAGATTCTCTCGCATGGCTAAGAACGACATAACCATTAAGGGTTACCTCATCAAGGCCGGGACGTCCGTCAACTTCCCCATCTACGCCATGCACCACGACCCAGAGTTCTGGAAGGAACCAGAGAGGTTCGAGCCTGACAGGTGTGTGGCGACCATCCATGGCTTGCCACGATGTGCCATTTTGTTGTTCATTTGGTAGTTGACATGTGATGATGGAGCCTCACATTACGAAAAATAACGTTTAACCCTTCCAACTCACTCACTCACTCACTCACCGGATCCTGTTTGTTATAGGTTTCTCCCCGTGAACAAGACAGCCATGCACGATTACTGTTTTGCTCCATTCGGCATCGGTCCCCGGAATTGTGTGGGAATGAGGCTGGCATTTTTAGAATTCAAGATGGCGCTTGTGACAGTTCTGCAACACTTCCGGTTCCGTACAGCGCCAGACACTGAGGTAGAGTAGATACATATAGCCTTGAAATATAATACCAGGAAACATAGCCTTCAAGAAATCTTGCCGATGGCGATTCGGGGTTAAGTTAAATCCATAGTAACGTGATCACTTAGGGAAATTATTGTTACCATATCGTGTTCATTTGTATTATAGTTATAAATCACGCTTATATCCCTGTTTGTTTAACGCTATATTCGACATGACAGTGGTCTGTAAATCAAATCTGGACCAGACAAGCAAGTAATTGATATCATAAGCAAATACCCACACGATGACGGGGTACGATGATTCTCAATCAACCAAGTCACCAAGCCTGACAACCGGATCTAGTAAGTCTCCCTGTACAAGCATATGTTGGTTGCGACCCTTTCTGGCCTGACTCCCCCGGGGCTATGTATCAAGGACAAACCAAAGGATTATCTCCCTTTCCTCACTGACCAATCATTAAAGGGATGAAGTCGTTTCAATACACAAATAACCGGTACACGGTCATCCGTCGGAATAAAACCATGGAGTCAAAGCGTATTTTCATTTTCAGATTCCGCCCAAACTGGAGAAGGGAGGTTTCGTGAGAGCACAGAACGGTATCTACCTCCGAGTGGACAAAAGAACCTAGCCACGTGTATGATGTTGTTTTACTGTTGTTTTAATTCAGCATATGCTAATATTTTAAACCAGTTGCGTTAAAGAAGCATGTCTTTCCATGATTGGGGGTTTGAATCAATTTTCGCTTTCATTGTGATGTTTGGTTTGTGAGCGCTATTTCCGTGCTCGTTGGTTTCTACGAAGTGATGAAGGTTAAGATCTGCATTTCCAACCACATTGAGGTTGACGTACATGCGATAGCGAAATACCCTTCAAGGCGGAGACACACCCAACTCACACACTCTCTCCCGTGTAATTCCCGAATGAGACCAGTATCTCCATCATTATCACAGAGACAACACACATCAAGTCACAGATCCGTTCATTATCACGGCCCGTGCTCTCAACTTCAATAAATTGTTCAGACTACGTTTGTCTCTGTGTGTTTAATGTATGGCAAGTGCTCGTGTTCTGTCCTTGTGGGTGTGAGGTGGAAACTTACACCCTCTTCAAATACCATGAGACCGTCTCCGTGGTCTTGTGGTAGAGCGTCCGCCTGGAGAGCGGAAGGTCCAGGGTTCGATCCCCGGCCGCGTCATACCAAAAGACGTTAAAAGATGGTACTTGTTGTTACCCTGTCTGGCGCTCGGCATTAAGGGGCTAAAACAAGGACTGGTCGGCTCGGAGTCAGTATACTGTGTCTGAGTGGGGTATTCATGTTAAACTGCGGCATGGTATCTCAGTGAGCTAGCACTATAAATCGGCACCAGTCCGGACTAGTACAAGCAGCCACACAAACACACACACGTACATGCACGTCGCTATATAAGTGCAATAATCTTAAACCCCATTTCACCTCACCTCAAATACCATAGCAGCTCACACGTGATGTAGTTCCACACTAGTTTGTTTGTTGTACTCCGCACTCAGCAATATTCCAGCTATATGAGGGCGGTCTGTAAATAATCAAGTCTGGACAAGACAATCCATATCATGAGCATCGATCCACACAATTGGGATACGACCTGCATCAACCAAGTCAGCGAGACTGACCACCCGATCCCGTTTATCGCCTCTTATGACAAGAATAGTCACTTTTTTACGGCAAGCATGGTTCCTGAAGACCTATTCTAACACGGATCTTCACGGGTTCCACGCCACATAGGGACGTACATTTGCAAAATATTGGTCAGCATGGAAAAGGCATTTCTCGTGCAACATGTGCCAAATCTACTCAACACATTGCTCAGCGTCAGGCCCACACACAATCCACACACTGGGTTTTGCTCATTTGACTTCCGAGAGTTATACACGGCTTAATTTCATTACGTCACTAAACATGGCAAGGCATTGTAGTGATTGTTGTTGAGTTGTAGTCATTGTTACTAGTTGTAGAACTAGTATGATAAGCCAGGAGACATGCGCACTGGCTTTTTCCGGTAACATCAGTTTGTTAAGTAAAGTCGTGTTGACTGGCCTTACTCTCTGCCAACGGACAGTTGTGCAAACACAACAGGCACCACAGGATGATGCAAGGAGTAATTACAGAACCAAAGTATCAACAACGAAGACCCTCAAAATAACCTCCTTACATGCCACCCATTCGGGGAGTCGAAACCCAGGAAGTCAGCGTGATGAGCTCTAACCACCCCGCCGACCCACCAAATTGAATCATTCCAATATCACATTGTTTAGCATAATGACTGCATCGACAAAATTATAGTTGTAAAATTTGATTCGAAATGTCATCAATTCTCATGACATTGAACTTGACGATTGTGACATCAACTACATGCGGGCTAATTCATTCACAATTTGACAGCAAACGTGTTTGTTTGTTTAACGCTACAATCAGCAATATTATAGCTATATGACGGCGGTTTGTAAATAGTCGAATCTGGACCAGACAATCCGGTGATTGAGATCATGAGCTTCGATCTACGCAGTTGGGATGCGATGATCAACCAAGTTATCGAGCCTGACCACCCGATCCCGTTATGACAGTAAAAGTATAAGACTCGAACACTGACGATTCCTGAGAACAACTGTTTATTACACACACGCTCCAACAAATCTCTGTCGAATTAACACAATGCAACAAATGTATCTGACTAGTACAGATTCTCGATCTGTTTGGGGTTGAGTCCCGTCCGGGATTGGGTGCGTCACTTTGGCAGTGTGGGTTCGAATCCCGGACGGCGCTCAACCCTCCAAAGTACGAGAATCTGTACTTTACTCAGAAAGTGTTATTCCAAATATAACATTTGTTACATTTGACCACTTTCTAAATGGTATTGTGTGTTCATAACACAATGCAGTAAACAAAACAAAAGCTTTGATTTGGAGACTAAACTGTCTTCAGGAGAGAACACAACTGCCTGCCCACAACATTGGAGGATAACATGTGGCAGTTAAAGCTGTCTTCTGATGCAAGTATAAATAAAGTAATGCAAGATCGCAGTATTATTTTCGATCTATATAAAATATGGCAAGTGAGGACATCTTTTTCCGAAAGGTGGGGCACAATTAAATAAAGAAATTGATCGATAATGCAAATACTGTATTCGGGAAGGAAACAGTTCGCGTTTGTAAGCCAAACATTAGTCAAATAAATATTTGTGGTCTAACTTCGCAAAATCCACTCCCCATTAACCTTTTAACCTGATTAACCTGATTAGAACCCTTCAAAAGGGTGTGTGTGTGGGGGGTGGGGGGGGAGGTAGGCTATTACGTGGTGAGTGATCGTGAAACGTTTTCGACAGCTATTCACAGAGTCTCTCTGACTTGATGGTATATCGACGTCCTATCAAGCGGGTCTGAACCAACACAAGGTCAGCCAGCTGTTCAGATCTTCTGCAGCTCGTTCGCTGTACCGCACTGCGGGGAGCCTCTTGCATTCGAACACTGCGCCATGGGTCTCACAATACTTCCACTGTCAAAACGCATTCCCTTGTCAGGTTAGCCGTTCAGTGTTAGCAGCCTTGTGATTCTGGCTGAATCTACTCGCGCCGTTCAACACCGACAAACACCTGAGTCTCCGGTCGAATAAAAACTCCGTTTTGTAGTTTTTCAGGAGCCTGAAAAAAACCCCAGTTTAATCAGAAACACGACATGAGACAATTAAGTAAGTGTTAAAGACTTCCTCATTATCCTTTCTGTCACATAGAACATAATTAAGCTAATGGTAATAAAACTGACCAATGGAAATACAACTCACTATTGTCTCCGGAGTTACCACAAACCGGAAGTTCTGCACCAAAGCCACTATCGCCATCTTGGCCTCCAACAAGGCCAGCCTCATTCCCAGACAGTTCCGGGGTCCGACGCCAAATGGCATCCACATATACTCGTGCAGCTCGTGCTTGTTCTCGGGGAGGAACCTGGAACAGCCAACCAATCCAAGCATCGTTTTTATAATAACTTATTGCATTTAAACTGTTCGAGCAGAAGTTTGATATTGGATTTTTTTTATTAATAAGTATGTATTGGAGAGAAAGGGGGAGGGCGATGGAGAGACGGGAATAGCCTGTCTCAATGTCCCAGAACCATATTTTCTCGAACACCCATCCCTCACTTTAATGTCATAGCTCTAAATGAAGCAAGTCTAGATTCCCCTCAGGTTGAGGTTGTGAATCTCCCATCTCATTAAGGCTGTTCAATTTAAATGTAGTTCCTTGTTTCTATCAAAATTATGTATGTTCAGAAACTAAGCGTTAATCTATCAAGGTATATATTTTTAGTGAATAAGCGACAGTCTAGGTGGGGGAGGGGGAGACTTATTGAGACGGGGGGTGGGGATAATAATAATAATGGATAACCGACCGAGAGAAACTTAGGTAATATTTACAATACTGAATCAACAATTGGCATACCTGTCAGGGTCGAATTTTTCCGGGTCGGCCCAGAACTCCGGATCATGTTGAACTGCGTACACGGGGATGATGACGGGCATGCCGGCGGGGATGTGGTACCCGTTGATGGTGGTGCTCTTCGCTGCAACTCGAGTGTTCCTGCAAGAGATCAGGTCTCACTTGGTTAGAGCAGTCTATAGTTGTTAGGGATATAGCTGGAACATTGCTGTCTGCGGTGTAAAAATAACAAACAATCACACAAGCTTGCAGTTTATTCTGTTAACTAATTGATTAATCGTTAGTTTACAAAAAATGACAACTAGTTGACAGACAATGTTGGGTTTTTGAATAACCAGACTTCCTAAAACAGGTTTACGGATCCGCCGATCCTGAACAAAAAATAGGAAAAGCACCGCTATTTTTATTCGTCGATGATTTTTAGTGTATTAAGACCTGTGAAGATCCGGGGTAGAATAGGTCTTCAGCAACCCCTTATTGCCGTAAATGGTGACTATGCTTGTCGTAAGAGGCGACTAACGGGATTGGGTGGCCAGGTTCGCTGGCTTGGTTGATGCATGTCAGTTGCGTGGATCGATGGTCATGATGTCAATCGCTGGATTGTCTGGTCCATACTCGATTACTTGACCGCTGTCTTATAGCTGGAATATTGCTGAGTGCGGCGTTAAACAACAAACGTATTAAATGTATAGATACGAAATTTTTGGAAATGTTTGGAACTCAACCCACCTGGTTGCCGGGGGGAAGAGCCTCAGTGTCTCCATAAACACGTTCTCCAGGTACTGAAGTTTAGTCACCTCGGCGTACGTAGGCTTGTTCTGTACACACCACACACACACAGTATCAGTACATCGTGATGGGAAATAGTTCATAGATAGAAGCACCGACAATATAACCATACCGTATTCGACGTAATAAGCGCCCCGCTCTAATAAGCGCCCACTGCGATATTTTCTAATATATTGGCTAGCGTACAATCCCAATTAGCACCCCTTCCGATTGATCAGTGCACACAGGACTTATTTATTCGTGTATAATACGCATTTTATATGCATTCATAATTATGGGAAATTAAATTCTGGAAAAAATATATCTGTCGTATATAAACATTTCAGGCTGTTAGCATAAACCACGAAATTTACGATCTTTCAACTCTGTTGTTTTTCACCAAAATAATATTCTAATAAGAGCCCCCTTTTCTAACTTTGAGAGCGCCCTGGGCGCTTATTATGTCGAATACGGTATATATAATCTAAAAAACAGGACTTCGCTGCATATTTAGATGTATGACAATAATGGAAAGGGGATTTTAAAGTATTTAACGGGTATTTGAACCCCATTGTCTCGAACTCACGGAGACCAAAGATGGAGTTCGAATTATCCGGATCTGATGCTTTTAGCTCGACCTTATTATCGTCTGACAAAGCCATAAGACAACAGAAATCAAACGTATTGCATTGTACGTATTATGTGAATACCATTTGTATATTGATCTGGTGCCGGTCAGTTGTTGGGCTTGAGTATTGACTTTTATACTTGACCATTATACTTTATACAAATTCTTGTGCTTTCGAAACAAATTGAGTTTGGCCTACTAGGGTCTGTTATAAATTAGCTTTAACTCTTGGGACGAATTTGAGATAATTCGGCACATACGGGTTAAAGTAGTGATGCATATAGTAAGAGTTTGCCGGGACTGGACAGTGAGTTCGACACAACCGGGGATTCGACACATCCGAATTGAAAACAACTATTGTTTGACCGTATGTCATGTTAAAAAACGAGGTTTACCTCCTGAATAAACACATAGCGATGGATCATCGATAGTCCTACAGTGTGTGTAATTATCGACTGGTACAAACTCTAATTGATCCCGAGTGTACTTACATTTCCTATATGCTTGATTATCGACTGGTACAGCCTCTCCTGGATCTCTGGGTGCGTAGCCAGATTGTAGGCCGTGAAGGTCAGGGCTTTGGACGTCGTCTCGAAACCGGCGAGTAGAAAGATATGGGAGTTGCAGAATATCTCGTAGTTCGTCAGACCTTATAAAGTAAAAAAAATCTCCATACAATCAGTTTCCAGAGTCAGGAAAACAAGTCTTCAACGAGAATACAGTCAACCAAGCAAGTCTCCAAAGAGAATACAGCCGACCAATCAAATCTCCAACGAGAATACAGCCGACCAATCAAATCTCCAACGAGAATACAGCCGACCGCGAGGTTGAGTACTGGCCTTTGAAGGCGAGGGGTCACTTCTGCCATATTTCACACGAAGAAAAGAAACGAAGAACATACATCTCTGCTGTTATAACACACCGTACCCGCTCTGGCCTGTCGATGCAGAAGACTGACTGGATAGCAGTTTAAAGCTGTTTATTTCACGGTACAAAATGTAACGGTATACTGTAAAATATACTGTAGACCTGGTATATTACGACGCATGGCTACCAGCTGTACAATGTTCGTAGTGTAATCACCACTCGCCCTTTCCGTAACATGCTATTCGGCTTGTCCCGGAATAACACGAGTTGGTCCCCAATGTCTTTACCGCTTATGCCTTTCCGGTTTGTCCCGGAATGACACGAGTGTTTGCGAATGCAGTGCGCGGTGAATACCTCGCTTCTTGTAGTACTTGAAGTCTAATGTTGTTTCAGTGTCGTCATCGGAGTCGTCATCCGGGTCTCTTGCAGACCCCTCCTTGTTGGTGTCCAGCATCGTTTGTAGAATATCGCCGTAGCCCTGCTAAGAGAAGATGTTCCTTATGGGGTCAGTTTTGCAATGTGTGTGAGTTTGGTCTGCAATATGCGTCAGTTTGGTTTGCAATGTGCGTCAGTGTGGTCTGCAATATGCGTCAGTTTGGTCTGCAATGTGCGTCAGTTTGGTCTGCAATATGCGTCAGTTTGGTCTGCAATGTGCGTTAGTTTGGTCTACAATGTGTGTCAGTTTGGTTTGCAGTTTGTGTCAGTTTGGTCTACAATGTGTGTCAGTTTGGTCTGCAATGTGTGTCAGTTTGGTCTGCAATGTGTGTTAGTTTGGTCTACAATGTGTGTCAGTTTGGTTTGCAGTTTGTGTCAGTTTGGTCTACAATGTGTGTTAGTTTGGTCTGCTATGTGTGCCAGTTTGGTCTGCAATGTGTGTCAGTTTGGTCTGCAATGTGCGTCAGTTTGGTCTGCTATGTGTGTCAGTTTGGTCTGCAATGTGTGTCAGTTTGGTCTACAATGTGTGCCAGTTTGGTCTGCAATGTGCGTCAGTTTGGTCTCCAATGTGCGTTAGCTTGGTCTGCAATGTGTGTCAGTTTGGTCTGCAATTTGCGTTAGTTTGGTCTACAATGTGTGTCAGTTTGGTCTGCAATGTGTGTCAGTTTGGTCTGCAATGTGAGTTAGTTTAGTCTACAATGTGCGTCAGTTTGGTCTGCAATATGTGTGAGTTTGGTCTGCTATGTGTGTGAGTTTGGTCTTCAATGTGTGTCAGTTTGGTCTGCAATGTGCGTAAAAGCAAAAAGGAAAACTTTTTTCGAACAGAAAAATTCAAAAATGTTAACTTCAGTACATCCTCGTAACACCAAAGTCTTTAGGAGCATCGCGTTGGCCTCAGTTTTAAACGTGCGGTTTGATGAGCTTGGTTACAGGCCGCCGTCGCTGGTGGGAGTACTGCTGTGTGGCCTCAGGTAATTAATACTTATTGTTTTAATGCAAATTGTGTGAATGGCAGGTGCTACGGGTGGGTCAGGACTGATTTTCATCACTGATTTTAAATGATCTATTCATATCATTTTAACAGCTCTTTCGCCCTTTACGTGAGTGAGCGAGTGAGTGAGTGGGGTTTTACGCCGCTTTTGGCAATATTCCAGCAATATCACGGCGGGGGACACCAGAAATGGGCTTCACACATTGTACCCATGTCGGGAATCGAACCCGGGTCTTCGGCGTGACGAGCGAATGCTTTAACCACTTTGCTACCCGACCGCCCCTTCGCCCTTTACGACAGATGAAATCTGTTTGGGCGGATGATCAAGACTCTCCTGCATTGACAATCCATATTTATTGTACTAATAAGGATTCTGTCGGAAATATGGTTCAGTCGTCTTATGCTATTTGACGAGTTATCGGAGTTCGAGATATACGAGCTGGAGTTAGAGGAGTTCCACGTATAGGACTTCGAGTAAACTCACCGAGTCTGGGTTGTTCTTCCTGTCTTCGATCACCTGTTTCACCACAGCGCGGAACTTGGCCTTGTCCTTGTCGAAATCCAAAACTTGGAAGTCAATCTTCTCGAAAATTGACTTGGTGAAGGGAAAGAGGACTGAAATAATCGGATTCAAGAACAATATTAAGGTGATTGAGTGATTTAATATTTATAAAAGGCAGCTGTGAGAAATATTCCAGTACTGTCACGGCCGTCTGTGGAAATAGAATCTCCGTCAACGACCAATGCCACTTAGGTGCGATGACACGCACTCAGCCTAGTCACCGGGCCTGACCACTCGATCCTCATTAGTAGGTTGTTAGAGAGAACATAGAATAGGAGAACATAGAATACTGGTGACTTATTCGTTCCCAGAATACCCAGAGGGGACAATTATGAAGGAACACGACAGTGACATGTCTCAACATGTCATTAAGTGATCGTATTTATTGTGCGATACTATCGAGTGCCATTCTGAGGTATAAGGGTTGATAAGTTCACAGTTTCATATAAAAGGAAATGCGTAAAAGTGATTTTTTTTGTTATTGACATTACCTGATGGCATTGAGGTATGTCCACAAAACTGAACAACTTGTTTCGCTATGACAAGTTAAATCTGTGACCTTTGGAAAATGGACAGACTTGAGGAACGTGCAGTGTCAAAGTACTTTTCAGTTCGTTGTTTGAAATAAGTGATGAACCACGTTTCATCTATAGTCGTTGCAAAAACCTTTCTGGATCAGCTTCAAACAGCTAAAAACCCTATATAAGGTATGTTCTATACTTGTGTTCTGGATATCGCGAGATCACGTCTTGTAACGAGACTTACGTGTCACCAGAAATATGATTGGGAAGGTGAGCTTAAAGGCCTTCCGGCAGTACGTGACGAAGACGTTGTCTGGGTCGGACTGGCTGTCGAGGTCGATGCTGAAGCCGGTGTGGGCGATGACGTCCATGGTGTAACATCCCATCACACTGTAACAGTAAGTGAGTCAACATGTCCCAATGATCAAACTGTGGCAGGTATTCGTGAATAAAATGTAACCATCAGAAAGTACTGTCATCATTATACTTCCCGCGAAGATTCAAGGACTTTCCGGGGCGGCAGGGTAGCCTAGTGGTTAAAGCGTACGCATGTCACGCTAAACGCCCGGGTTCGATTCCCCACATGGGTGCAATGTGTGTAGCCCATTTCTGGTGTCCCCTGCCCTGATATTGCTGGAATATTGCTACATATGCTAGGGATCCACTCACTCCCGTTAGGGAGGATGCTAATTTTTTTGGCAGCCTTGCATCCCTTTACGGTTTGTCAGCACCGTTACTTGTGCTCGTGACTTTCAGCAAGGGGGTAAACGTCTCTGGGGAACTCCCCCCGCGTTAAGCTGTCGTGCCGTAATTAACAAACCGTCCAAAACGGCGTCAAACACAACTCCACTCTTTGTTATTTGACAGTCAGTTACACTAATAAATTTGTGTTCCTGTATCAAGATTGAGAGAGTGAACGTTGTTTAACGCCGCGTCTGTCCATAATCGAGTCTCAACCAGGCAAACCAATGGATGACGGTATGAGCAACTTCTAACGCCACCGGGGTATGGTGGACACACAATGTCACCGAAACTGAATTTATCGCCTCATACGCCAAGAAAAAGACAGATTTGTAGGAGACATTTTCTCACCCGGGTCTCTACGAGGTTAGAGTCAAGAGTTCATCTACTGCCCCCAAAATTGTGATTAGCAAGTTGGTTGGTTTGTTGTTTTACGCCGCACTCAGCAATATTCCAGCTATCAGACGTCGGTCTGTAAATAATCGAGTCTGGACCAGACAATCCAGTGGTTGCTATCATGAGCATCGATCCACGCAATTGGAATCGATGACATGCTTCAACCAAGTCAGCGAGCCAGAACACCCGATCCCTTTACTCGCCTCTTACGACAAGCATAGTCGCCTTTTACGACAAACATAGTCGCCTTATACGGCAAGCATAGTCGCCTTTTACGACAAGCATAGTCGCCTTTCACGGCAAGCATGGGTTCCTGAAGATTCTACTCCGGATCTTCACGGGTCGATGAGCAAGTCAACTGTGTGCTATTGATAGTGTCTACCCAAATCGAGCCTTACTGTTTCATATCGACGCTTTTCTTCTCCTTTCCTTGTTTATCCACGTTCTTGACCAGCAGGTCGGAACATCTCTCAACCAGCTCCATCATCTAAACACATCAGTCGCAAAATGTTGAGTGAGTGAGTTGTGTTTAACGCCGCTTTTAACAGTATAGTCCGGCAGAGAAATGAATATTTTCCCCCAACCCAGAATTAGGGGATCAAGTTTTTTTTATTGCTGGATTTGTTTAATGATATACTCTAGATTATGAAACTGACTGATGACACTGTCATCTTTGGGCATTTTGAAATATTCAAGATGGCCGACAAGATGGCCACCAAAACATGAAAATATCGCTTCCCTGCTAACAGTATGGAATATGATACTACTTTTGGAGCATATCACTAATATTTTGCTTTCAACTAATTAGAATATGGTATTCTAAATGAACTGGTATCATTTAAAACATAATTTGTATTCCAGTTAAATCGCGGCGTGTCAGCTTAATGTGGGAGGAAAGCCCGAAGTGATGAAACCCACGAGCATGGGAATGGTGCTGACAAACCTAGAAACATAATCGGGGCGAACCGTGAAGAATATAGAGTTAGACAACACACAGGATCAGTTCACACAGAGGATCTTCAAGTACAAGTGTCATTAGACTACTGTTCTCCATATCCTCCGACATTCAGATTCACATAAATAAAGCGACAAAACCCTTTCCATAATCAATAGAAATCTCTGCATAAAGCAGAGTCGATTGTACGATCCTGATACCGAGTATATCATGAGCATGTGTTTATGAATCACTATCAAACAGGAAAGATACCAGGTGTTCGCGAAAAGGTGAGCGTATCCTGCCCCACCGGTGGCACCCGTCACAAACACATGCAAAGGCAAGTCAATGGCACTATGCTGTGTGCGCAGTAATATACCATGTAAAGTTGCATCCCTTATCCTTGTCAGGATCCGCTGATTCCACTGATAATGATAATATTGGTTTTGCAGCACCATACTCGTTGTGGTGCATCTAACCAAAGGATCCGACATTACGACAGACGTCAGTCTGTGTATGCCTGCGTTCACCTGTGTATTGATCTGTTTGAGGACACGTGTATATATTTACCTGTTGAGTTCACCTGTAGATATTTACCTGTTTGAGTTTAGATGTACGGAATGTTGGACTGAGGACACAGCGCATGAACTTCCAGTGTTCGTCGTAGATCTCAGCGATACAGTCCATCACAATCTTGGGCACAGGGCCGAACGTCTGGGAAACAGCAACAAGCAAGTACTATTACAGCATGTTGGAGCGTTCGCTCAAATACGCACCATAATATATATTCCTATATGATACGGTTTATTGTAATGCACTTATTTTACTTAAAGAAATACTGTCCGATTATCATGCAAGTAACTAGTTACACACCGTACCGGGGAACACGGGCATAACAAGAACATGATGCTTCCTGAAGCGGTCGACTGTTACAAACACTGCCCCGAACACTCGAAGGGGCTGACATCGTGGCCTGGGAGAATGGACAAAAGCGACGGACACCCAGATCTGGGAGAACTCTCCACTGGGCAATCACACCACCCCTAAAGGACGGACACCCTGACCTGGGAGAACTCTCCACTGGGCAATCACACCACCCCTAAAGGACGGACACCCTGACCTGGGAGAACTCTCCACTGGGCAATCAGACCACCCCTAAAGGATGGACACCCTGATCTGGGAGAACTCTCCACTGGGCAATCACACCACCCCTAAAGGACGGACACCCTGATCTGGGAGAACTCTCCACTGGGCAATCACACCACCCCTAAAGGACGGACACCCTGACCTGGGAGAACTCTCCACTGGGCAATCACACCACCCCTAAAGGACGGACACCCTGATCTGGGAGAACTCTCCACTGGGCAATCAGACCACCCCTAAAGGATGGACACCCTGATCTGGGAGAAGTCTCCACTGGGCAATCACACCACCCCTAAAGGACGGACACCCTGATCTGGGAGAACTCTCCACTGGGCAATCACACCACCCCTAAAGGACGGACACCCTGATCTGGGAGAACTCTCCACTGGGCAATCACACCACCCCTAAAGGACGGACACCCTGATCTGGGAGAACTCTCCGCTGGGCAATCACACCACCCCTAAAGGACGGACACCCTGATCTGGGAGAACTCTCCACTAGGCAATCACACCACCCCTAAAGGGCGGACACCTTGATCTGGGAGAACTCTCCACTAGGCAATCACACCACCCCTAAAGGACGGACACCCTGATCTGGGAGAACAATCACACCACCCCTAAAGGACGGACACCCTGATCTGGGAGGACTCTCCACTGGGCAATCACACCACCCCTAAAGGACGGACACCCTGATCTGGGAGGACTCTCCACTGGGCAATCACACCACCCCTAAAGGACGGACACCCTGATCTGGGAGAACTCTCCACTGGGCAATCACACCACCCCTGACACCCTTAACCCTGATCTGGGAGAACTCACCGATCTGTTTACAAAGTTGGAGAAGTCCTTTACACAAATCTGTTTTATCATGGCGGGGTCCGAGATGATGAGGGATGGGATTCTGCCGTGAAACACGCTGAAACATACATTTGGAAACGTCACGATGTGAAATATGGGGGAATGAGTTGTTATGTATGGTATGTGTCAAGTTGGTATACCTTTACAAGAGTAATTGCGTGCGTGCGTGCGTGCGTGCGTGCGTGCGTGCGTGATCGCGTGCGTGCGTGAGTGAGTGAGTGAGTGAGTGAGTGAGTGAGTGGTCTCACGCGTTTACCCCTTGGTAAAATCCAGGAGCACGGGTATGACTGACAAAGCAAGAAACATTATCGGGGCGAAAGGTTTAGAATAAATTATAAAGGTTAAAAGTTGTTTACTCCGAGTGAGTGATTGACATGGTTTAATATGGTACCAGTAACTCAGGGCGTGATACTGGCATTAGACGTTAACCACTCTGCTGACTTGGATTCGAACCCGAAGCCTGAAAGAGCCGTTAATGTAACATGTAATACAGGTTAATGACGAAGTGTACATACCCCACAACCCGGCCATATTCCTTGACGAGGCGTTGATCACAGCCGCCGATTCCCTGGGGAAACAGCAACGTAGCGTCATAATGAGTGAGTAGAGGATTTCCATGGTGCGTCTGGCCATATTCCAGGCGAATGGGCTTTATACATTGTACCCAGGTGGGAATCGAACCCGGACTTTCGGCGTGACGAGCCACCACTTTAGCGAGCCCCTACTACCCAACCACCCCGTGAGACAGTCAAGGAAACATGGACTAGGAGGATCAGTCTCGTTATTTCCTATTCATTACGTTTAACAACGCATTATATTGGCGGTTTCTGCTTCTCAAAATCAAGGGCGGTGGGGTAGCCCAGTGGGTAAAGCGTTCGCTCGTCACGCTGAAGAAATTGTATGATGCATACCAGGTTATGACTACCCCAGGCACACAGATACAATGGCAATGTTGAAGGCAGCTACATTACAGTGGGATGTGAAACATACAGTCCATCCATTCGTCACCACTCGCCCCTTTCCGTAACCTGCAAGAAGCTATTCGGCTTGTCCCGGAATAACACGAGTTGGTCACGAATGATAATCCCTCAAGAAACGCCTTGCCCTCACTTTGGATAACTAATTTTTAAAAGTTCATGAGTTTTGTATAAAACTGCGTTATGCAACGGCGATACAGTATCTTTCACTTTAGTAGCAAACGTTCTGATAATGGGGTGTTTTCTTTTTAGTCCCTATGTTAACATCTGAAACATTTAAGTAGAAAAACACATAACTAAATACATTTAAGGGTCCCCTTGATCATTGTATATCAATTGTTTCACTAGAAAGGAAACTGATTACTATATTTTTAATACATTGTTAATTACATTATTAAATAAGTTGTTGAATGACTTGTTCAGAATGAAATATATAAAATTAATACAAAACAAAAATTATGATACATTGTCTTAACATTCAAGTCAACCTTTTACTTTCGCTTCTCTTATTGACCTACTTCCAAATTTTCAAAAAATAAAGGCAGTACTTGATTGTGATTTGTAAGGTGAGGTGAAATGGGGTTTAACGTCGCGTCCAAGATAATGGCATTTATATAGCGACGTGCATGTGTGTGTGTGCGTGTGCGTGTGCGTGTGCGTGTGTGTGTGTGTGTGTGTGTGTGTGGCTGCTTGTACTAGTCCGGACAGATGGTGATTTATAGTGCTAGCTCACTGAGATACCATGCCCTAGTTTAACATGAATACCCCACTCAGACACAGTATACTGACTCCGAGCCAACAAGTCCTTGATTTAGCCCCTTAATGCCGAGCGCCAGACAGGGTAACAACAAGTACCATCTTTAAAGGTCTTTTGGTATGACGCGGTCGGGGATCGAAACCCGGACCTTCCGCTCTCCTGATTTGTAAGGAGTGAATGCTGTTGAATATATACATAGCGTTGGTAACTGGTGATTGAAAGCCAGAGCAGCGGTCTGCGTCTTGGGGTAATGACGCAATACGGCAATTCACAGAAGGTACTCCGGGGTTCTCGCCCACCTAGAGCTTACGTCGTATTGCAACTGAAAGAAGCATGGAATACTCACATCCCCCGCCACTATGACATGTCCGGTTGGGTGCAAGACAAGAACTATTGTACGGTTTTCAAGATCTGCTACGGACAGGGCACTACCGCCATTTACAGTCAAAGCCGTTGCTATGGAAACTCGAAAAATGTTATCATACTATCAAAAGGCACAAGTTCACTACAGGCCTATCTATGTGCCAAGTTTGGTTAAAATATTTCTCATGGTTTTTGAGTTCTGCTCCGGAAACGAAACGTGACGGACGGATGGATGGACAGAATGACGGACGGACAGCATCCATTCCTATACCCCCCTTCCGTTTCGTGGCGGGGAATAATAACGTTACTTATTAACTCAACACAACTTCCGTATGTTGGCATGTGCGAGTAAGATACCTCTTTCTTATAGCGGCCCACGATGCCCAGCAAGCCTGGCTCTGGTGCCGGGATCCCCATCTGCCTGAACATGCCGTGAGTCCAGGTCGCATAGCTGAAACATGAGTGAGTGAGTGAGTTGAGTTGAGTTTAACGCCGCTTTTAACAGTATTCCAATTATATCACGGCGTGTCAGCTTAAGGTGGGAGGAAAGGCCGAAGTGAAAACCCACTTCGGTGAAACCCACTAGCACGGGTATGGTGCTGACAAACCTAGCATAATCGGGGCGAACCGGGATTCGAACCCACAATCATAGGTTTCTGGCGTGCCCAGGGGACACAACTCTGCACAGCGAATCGCGGCGCCTTAGACGACAGTAGTATAGAACGGGTCCGCAGAAGGCCATTTTGGTTGATCCGGTTGATCCAGGCGGATGCGAAGGTGATTGGTTGATCCAAGTCACGTGATCGGATAGGATGACTCATGCATCAACAGCACGTCACAGGTGAGGGGGGAATGAAAGGTGTGTGTTTATAAGACAGAAAAGAATTCATAAGAAAACAAAAGTAAAAGGTTATGAATAGGGCTAAATGTATAGCGTGCTGCCTTGAATAGACAGACCGTACCCGTCAGCCCAGTTTGAATTGAGCGCGCTTGACAACTGACGTGGCCTCGTCGTTTAACCCGCGCTCGCGAGAGCTTGCGATCTGGTTTGATGAATGCAGGGTGTGTCTTGAAAGTACGACCATACCCCAATAGAGACGGGTTATGTCAACACGATATACACCGTGTAATGTAGGGAAAAAAATGTACGGATCAAATTCATCTTGTACGGTCTACACGTTGTACACCATGAACGTTAGACAACCTGTATGGAAAAAATACATAGAGATAAAATAGATAAGACTACACAATCAGCAAGCTAGCAGTGTCGTTTAATTACATTTAGCGCGCAAGAACGAGGTAGTCACGTCACCCTGCATTCACTATAACGCTGAAGGCAGCCGGATTTCGAATCACCCCGCGCTGCGTACTATTGTGAACCATTTGTATAGAGGGCGTTCACTTATTCAGCCCTGTCCCGACTTGCGTAGTTGATGTTTCAACGCTAGCGTTTCCATTTAACGCGATGACAAATAAACCGTACGGTTTGAGTTTTAACCGTGTAACATGATGTGCACAGTTTTACTTCAGAACGTGCTATTTTGAAAATAGATAGTTAGAACCATGTCCATGTTCAATAAGAAACTGATGAGTACATGTGCCAGTGTGACGGTACGAAGCTAGGTTTGTTGGGAAAGTGATGGAAGCCATCTATAGGACATTTTCATGTTTACAATACTCACCCTTAATTCGAAGAGAGAACAGAGTTTATCATGGAAAATTGTTTGACGAGGAAAATGTTTTATTGGAAATATATCTCGAAGCAGGTTTATTCATAGCTAATGTATAGCAGAGAGACTAAGCGACCGACCGCCCATAACAATGTCAACATACCCCGGCCTTACAATTAATGGCAACATACCAGCCTCGCCTGAAGCTTCCCATTCATAAATTGTGTGACCAGTGTCCCGTATTTATGATATGTTAGGGAAGATGTGTTGTACATTTGTTATTTTAAAAGGGAGTTATTTCAGAGAGGCGGGACTGACCAACCGATCCCCGTCAGTCACCGATAAGCATGGGTTACTGGGCCTGCTGCCTGTGGAAGCCAAAGGTGAAGACCATCAAGGATTATTTACCAGTGTGTATTGTAAAACCAAATTAAAATACATATACTGATCGCTTTTTTAACATACTCACAAGTGTGCTGTGGAGAAAAGAGTGTCTTCCAAGATTCCCTGCACGTGTAAGACAGTATAAACTCTACAGTAGTGTAGCCCGACAAACAGTTTTACTCTCGCCAGCAAACGTATTGGACGTGAACAACATGAAGAAAGCATCAGAGATTAGACTTGACCCTAGAGATATATTTAGGAAGACTACGTTGAGAAAATCACAACAGAGAAAGAAACCACAAGCAGCCAAGAAGTCGACGCTGAAGACAAAGAAGAGACAGGTAACACCTAAAATGAAAACGATGACAACCAAACAGGTATCGAAGACAACACCCCAACCCGTGACAATACAACATGTGTCGGAGGTGAAGGCTGTGGTGGAACGGGCACTTGCTGCCTTGAAGCGTCAACAGAGTCAAGGGTATAAAAGAAAGCTTCATACCCTCTAATCGCACACCGTATTGGATCACCATGGGGGTTGCCACCTGTCCGGACTGTGAAAAAATGTTTTCAAGGAGAGATGTCATGTTACGACACAGGAGAAATAAACATAGCATACCGCCGCCGCCGTTACAAGCCCGGCCGCCGCCGCAAGTCCACTCGTCATTACAAGCCCACCCGCTAACGCCGCCGCCGCAAGCCCATCCGCTACCGCCGCTGCGTCGAGCCAACCCGCCGTTACAAGCACATCCGCCGCCGCCGCCGCCATCGCAAGTCCACTCGTGGCTGCCTCATTTACCATGTATATCTGATCTTCGAGAACAATTCAAGTTCCTGATTCCCTCAAATGCGCTCGTTGTGGGACCCAGTGGTTGTGGAAAGTCTGTGTTTACCTCTCATGTACTCCGGCATGGCCTGATTCAACCCCAACCTACCCGCATCGTTTGGTGTTATACTCAATGGCAGCCATTATATCAGGACCTCGGTGAGCAGCTGCCTCAGCTGACCTTTGTCAAAGGAATTCCCTACGATATCTTGGACGAGGATTACTTTGATGCTCGTCAACAGAACGTGTTGGTCCTGGATGATTTCCTGGCCGAAGCAAAGCACGACAAGCGTATTTCGCGTCTGTTTACTCAAACCTCACATCACAAGAATGTATTGATCTTTCTCTTGATACAAAATCTGTTTCCGAGAGGTAAGGAATCGAGAGACATTGCTTTGAACGCGCATTATGTCACCCTGTTTCATTCCCCCATAGATAAACAGCAAATCAAACTCTTCGCTCGTAGAATTTTCCCCGAACATATGGATCACTTTATGGCTATGTATGAAAAGGTTGCTGAAACACCCTATGGACAACTCACCATTGATCTAAAACCTACCACCAAAGATAAGGATCGACTGCATGTTAACCTCATAAATGAGGAAAACAGGAGAACAACAGCACAGTCTGAACCTGATCTGCGTAGGGAGAAGTTGACTACAACAGAATCTCTGGATAGTCCTCTGACACAAGAAGAGAGATTGCCCCAACATCAGCTCACTCCAATTGAAACCGATTCAGACACGAGTAGTGAGACATCATTGACTATGGCCACGGCCTGCGCAGATTGCGGGGTGCTGATAGATAACATGCACGATCTACAGCGACATATCAAACACTGGTGTCCGGCCAATAGCCTTCAACCTAAGAGAAAGCGTGCCAGACTCGAGAGTGATGACGATGACAGTGACTTTGACGACCTAGCCTCTTCCCAGAAAGGCAGTGGTCTTGCCGTCAAACCTCCACGTGGGAAGTCAACATTCACTAATATGGAAGCCGAGGAGTGGCAAAATGTAGGCTTACAACGCATCTGGAAACAGGTGTACGATACGTTTCATGACAAGATGAAACTGCAGAAAAAACAGTACGAGCGACAGGGACGAACGCAAGAATGGATTGAGAGAAGATTGAAACTGAGGTGGGAGGATCTAGTGCGTAGTACTCTCAACTATGCGATGGAATATACCACGTACTTTAAAGAGGCACCTCTGTTTCAAAACATGCTATACAACCTGGGAGACATGAATCCTTCCACGGAACAATCCGTTCTCAAAAATAAAATCAAACTCCTCCTAAAACCCAAGATGAAAGAGATCCTGCCTTTGATGGATATGCCGGAAATAGAAAGTGAGACTGAATCTGATAGCGTTGCAGAGGATAACGACGGTGATGACGAGGAGGAGGATGATGATCGTGAGCAGAACGATTAGGCATAAATACCCATCACTACTATATCAGTCTAACAGTCAGAAGAGAATGCCGAGTCAACGCCACGCGTCTAGTTTGATTCATATTTTGAAAACACCTCGTAAACTGAGGCGTTTGAACGATAAGAAACGCCGAATTTCCCTCTACGTGAGAGGAATGGTGAAACTGGGACCTCCTGGACGGAAATCGTTACAAGCAATGGATAAAGCATAGACTATAGACAACCATTCAACCTTAAAACAGCGTAGAAAAGGAAACATTCAACAGTGCGAAATGTGTTTCAAAACATGGACTCGCTGTTTAAACAATAGGGCCTTCGAGCAGCAGCATGTGTATATGAGTGACTAAATAATGTTCCAGAGTGAATACTATTGTCCATTCGTATATCACGGCTTTGTATGGAACCGATTGACTCGAATCAATAAATGATACGAATGAATTGTTGTTGTTTTTTCTCAGTTTTTATCATATTAGTATATAGTCTTCGTCATACTACACCCGTGAAGGTCCCGGGTTATAAAAATCGACCTTCAGTAACCCATGCTTATCGGCGACTGACGGGGATCGGTTGGTCCGACTCGGATGACACGTGCCATCGGTTCCTAGTTGCACAGATCGCTGCTCATGCTGTTGATCACTGGATTGTCTGGTCCAAGCTCGTTTATTGACAGACCACCGTCCTAGAGCTGGAATAATGCCGAGTGTGGCGTAAAACTAAATTCACTCACTCACTGATACCAATACATCTAAAAAGTAATGTCGTCATCATTTAAATGGTGCGTTTAAACGCGTATTTTACCCTTACAAGGACGAGTGCATTCCACACACCCTTCCTGTGTCATACATTCGTGTTCGGATATAGGTACAACATCTTCACGCACATACTTTCCTACATCATTCAAATGTATTACATACCGGATACGTTTAATAGACACCAACGAAAGAAAGGTTTAATGACGGGGGAATACCCATATATATCCTCTCTGAAATAACTCCCTTTTAAAATAACAAATGTACAACTCATCTTCCCTAACATATCATAAATACGGGACACTGGTCACACCATTTATGAATGGGAAGCTTCAGGCGAGGCTGGTATGTTGACATTAATTGTAAGGCCGGGGTATGTTGACATTGTTATGGGCGGTCGGTCGCTTAGTCTCTCTGCTATACATTAGCTATGAATAAACCTGCTTCGACATATATTTCCAATAAAACATTTTCCTCGTCAAACAATTTTCCATGATAAACTCTGTTCTCTCTTCGAATTAAGGGTGAGTATTGTAAACATGAAAATGTCCTATAGATGGCTTCCATCACTTTCCCAACAAACCTAGCTTCGTACCGTCACACTGGCACATGTACTCATCAGTTTCTTATTGAACATGGACATGGTTCTAACTATCTATTTTCAAAATAGCACGTTCTGAAGTAAAACTGTGCACATCATGTTACACGGTTAAAACTCAAACCGTACGGTTTATTTGTCATCGCGTTAAATGGAAACGCTAGCGTTGAAACATCAACTACGCAAGTCGGGACAGGGCTGAATAAGTGAACGCCCTCTATACAAATGGTTCACAATAGTACGCAGCGCGGGGTGATTCGAAATCCGGCTGCCTTCAGCGTTATAGTGAATGCAGGGTGACGTGACTACCTCGTTCTTGCGCGCTAAATGTAATTAAACGACACTACTAGCTTGCTGATTGTGTAGTCTTATCTATTTTATCTCTATGTATTTTTTCTATACAGGTTGTCTAACGTTCGTGGTGTACAACGTCTAGACCGTACAAGATGAATTTGATCCGTACATTTTTTTCCCTACATTACACGGTGTATATCGTGTTGACATAACCGTCTCTATTGGGGTATGGTCGTACTTTCAAGACACACCCTGCATTCATCAAACCAGATCGCAAGCTCTCGCGAGCGCGGGTTAAACGACGAGGCCACGTGAGTTGTCAAGCGCGCTCAATTCAAACTGGGCTGACGGGTACGGTCTGTCTATTCAAGGCAGCACGCTATACATTTAGCCCTATTCATAACCTTTTACTTTTGTTTTCTTATGAATTCTTTTCTGTCTTATAAACACACACCTTTCATTCCCCCCTCACCTGTGACGCGCTGTTGATGCATGAGTCATCCTATCCGATCACGTGACTTGGATCAACCAATCACCTTCCCTATTTTCACTCAACCTCCCTCAACCAAAAAAGGTTCCTGCGGACCCGTTCTATACTACTGACGACTTCTTCACGGGTCACATGTACCAAGAATTGAATTGAATGTGAGGGAAGGGGGGTTACAATATACAATCAAACGCCGTTGTGTCGGATTTTGGTGTGTCGAACTTGTGCTTGTCTCGAAGTAAAGGCTTGGTTCCTGTGTATTCCTTATCTATTTATCATTTTCGGTTGTGTCGAACCTCCGATAACTCGAAATATTTACGTGGGTCAATCAATCAATCAATCAATCTTTATTCATGGTACTGAAGAGGCCAAAGGCCCATAGTACATTGTCTGGGGCGTGTTACAAATTCATACATTTTCCTAGTTTCATAGCATGATAAATGAACACTGACACTTTTCTCATACTGTCCATACAATCACATGTCATTAATTTACAACATTTGTTACCGTTTGGGTTGTGGTAGAAACAGTTATTTAGATATGTTGCTCTTAAAGCATTATACACTGGACATACGCATAAAAAGGGATATACCCCTTCAATGCAACCAGTTTTACAAATCTAACAAATCTATGTTCCCTTGCATAAGAATCAAACGTTGGTCAATATCACATTACTTCAACAGGTATACAGGGATACCATCTAGACTTTGCACTGTAACGCACATGGAATGCCGCTTAAAGTGGGCGATTCTAGGTCACATCTTGACAAACACGACCTGAGCTCACCCTGAAGGATCGATGAACGTGTCTACTCGGGTTTTCCCGGGTATTTCCGTTAATATTCGATGTATTCGTTAACCACGTGCCATGGACGCTATTAACGCCATAGACGCTAAATGTGGATGGCATTAAGTGGCCATGCTCGGACATAAGGTGCCCCCGTACTCACATGTATCCAAGTAGGAGGAGACAAACTAGAACTGCAACCACAGCCAGTAACACTGTCAGGACGGCCATTTTGTCAAGCTGGTATTGCGGGAGGCGACGGTCGTTGCCTCAGCTCAACAAGCTTCAGATAAGAGACACGCTCGGTCTTATATATATATATACACAGCGCATATAGGGCAGTAGTAGCCATTACACAATGTCGCTTGCACAACTGGTTGTAACCGAGCATTGTGTATATCGGGGATGGCTTTATAACGGGGAATGTAGAGTATGATGGGAATCATTTATATGCTGAAGGGATGTATTGTGTAATCGGCTGCTGTTATAGGGAAGCGTTATAGCGGGAATGCTGGAGTGAGCGAGTATGTTTTTTACGTCGCTTTTAGCAAAATTCCAGCAATATCACAGCGGGGGACAGCAGAAATGGGCTTCTCACATTGTAACCATGTGGGACTGGAACCCGAGAATTTGGTGTGTGGGGCGGACGCTATAACCACGAGGCTGCCACACCGCCCCGGGTATGCTTATACACAGAGCACGCATATATGATCAGTTACAATGTCTTCAAATGTCGCTTTAACAAATACAGCACACTTTTAACATAACTTAACTATTATTATTGTTTAATCCATTTTCAGACACTGTTGTTAGATTAATGACTAACAAATACCTGTATCTAAGTCCGCAGTCACCAAATATATTAAATGTTGAATTCTTAGACAATAGAACATATAACACATTGGGAAAGGGTCGGACATAGAGATAAGGGTGGACATAGAGAAAGGGGTGGACATAGAGATAGGGGATGACGTAGCTAAAGGGTGGACATAGAGAAAGGGGTGGACGTAGAGAAAGGGGTGGACGTAGCTAAAGGGTGGACGTAGCTAAAGGGTGGACGTAGAGAAAGGGTCGGACATAGAGATAAGGGTGGAAATAGAGAAAGGGGATGACGTAGCTAAAGGGTGGACATAGAGAAAGGGGTGGACGTAGCTAAAGGGTGGACGTAGCTAAAGGGTGGACGTAGCTTAAGGGTGGACATAGAGAAAGGAGTGGACGTAGCTAAAGGGTTGACATAGAGAAAGGGGTGGACGTAGCTAAAGGGTGGACATAGAGAAAGGGGTGGACGTAGCTAAAGGGTGGACATAGAGAAATGGGGTGGACGTAGCTAAAGGGTGGACACTGAGAAAGGGTTGGACGTAGCTAAAGGGTGGACACTGAGAAAGGGGTGGACGTAGCTAAAGGGTGGACATAGAGAAAGGGGTGGACGTAGCTAAAGGATGGACACTGAGAAAGGGGTTGACGTAGCTAAAGGGTGGACATAGAGAAGGGTGTGGACGTAGCTAAAGGGTGGACATAGAGAAAGGGGTGGACGTAGCTCAAGGGTGGACACTGAGAAAGGGGTGGACGTAGCTAAAGGGTGGACATAGAGAAAGGGGTGGACGTAGCTAAAGGGTGGACATAGAGAAAGGGGTGGACGTAGCTAAAGGGTGGACATAGAGAAAGGGGTTGGCATAGCTATATACATGGACTCAGGAAATCAGCTTAGGCAGAATGAAGGGGTTTTGACATTTAGTTCATAACTTACATTGATGACTAAGCGTTGTTTACATGTCAGGGTTAACGCTGGTTATTGTAGACATGTGTTATTACATATTGTGGATAACATATGTAAAATCTCCTTGACGAAACGATGTGTGTTTTACTGTCGTTACAGGTATGCGTGAAGCCCATTTCTGGTGTCACCGTCGTGATATTGCTGGAATATTGCTAAAAGCGGCGTAAAACCACACTCACTCACTCCATGACGAACACGTGCACTGTCTGTGTCTATAGGTGCATGGCTACACGCGTACATGATGACAACACATACACTCTTTCAGGGTCTCCCACAGGCAGCAACATCAATGGCAACAACGTTAACAGCGACAACAGTGGCAACGACTTCGGTCACAATGGCGACACCGACGGTGCCAACTATGCTAGGTAGTTAATTGTCATTGGCAGTTTAAGATTCCATTTTGAACGACAAGTCACTCTTGCCGTTTACCCTAAGATGCCTGAATTAATAGTCCTTGACATGTGAAAGTGAGCTTATTTTAGAGTTTAGATCCACCATCGGTTTTTCTTAATTGCCTCAGCATTTCAGTTAAACCTCGTATTTCAACACTCCTGTGCATAACAACAAAATGTTCTGTAAAAACACCTCGTGGTGATTCCGGGTTAAAAATGGTCCTCAGCTACCAGTGCTGGTAGTGAGTTTTGTTTTGTTGTTGTTAAACTTTGCACTCAGCAATGTTCCAGGTATATAACGGCGGTCTGTAAATAATCGAGTCTGGAGCGAGTAACGGGATCGGATGGTCAGGCTTTCTGACCTGGTTGATGCATGTCATCGTATCCCAATTGCGTGAATCGATGCCCGTGATGTCAATCACTGGATTGTCTGTTTAAGACTCGATTATTTACAGATCGCCGTCACATACCTGTAATATATATTACAGACAATTTATTCGTAATTTATTCATTTACGAACAGTTATTTCTTCATTATAAGATACTTTTATACCATTCTGTTTCTTCATTGGGTATTATTTCTCTCAGAATCAGGCGGCAAGTAACAGAAGGCGGGAGCAGAGACACCGTCAAAGGACAGCAGTTACGGCAACGGCAACACCAACAACACCAACAGCGGCAGCAAGAGCGAATGGCGGAAAACGTGAGAGCGGCAACAGCAACAGCGGCAACGGCAACAGCCTAACCAGGAGCTGCTGTGTGTATTGGATGAAGCGCAGAGGACTTCGGTAAGATTTTATTTCATCATCTGTTATTAATTGAGATTTCATTATGAGACTGTGGAAGTACTGGCTTGTCAAGTCCTTACCTCCTTGACAGAACTACCACAGTCACTCCTTATGCACTGTCATCAGTTCGTGAAAGAATCCGATATCTGACAATAGTACGTTAGGGTGTTTCATTTCACACCCGTGACGATCCGGGGTAAAATAGGTCTTCAGCAACCCATGCTTGCCGTAAAAGGCGACTATGCTTGTAGTAAGAGGCGACTAACGGGATCGGGTGGTCAGGCTCGCTGACTTGGTTGATGCATGTCATCGTACCCTAATTACGTGGATCGTTACTCATGATGTCAATCACCGGATTGTCTGGTCCAAACTCGATTATTTTTACCCACAAACTCCAATGGCAACAAACTAGATGTACATCCCCAATGAAAATATTACTACTAGTAGAATATCTTCTTTTTAACGTAAAACAGCCTAAGGACACTATGTGTTAGATTGAGAGTTGAACAGCAATATTCCAGATATATGGTGGCATCTTCACTGGTCAGACTCGCCTACCTGGGTGATGCATGTCATCGTATTCAATTGCGATCGATGCTCACGATGTCAATCACTGGATTGTCTTGTCCAGACTCGATTATTTACAGAACGCCGTCATATAGCTGGAATATTGCTGAGTGCAGCGTTAAACAACCAACCAACCAACCAACCTACCAGGCATTAACCAAAACATTTACACCCACGATGGTATTTCCATAATACTGGTACATAATTACACATATCCCTCACTCCCCACCCACCCCAATCTAGATTTTCATGCATCCATATTCAAAAATAGACACAGTGATCACTGATATGGCTTGATTCCACTGTGAAGCCTCATGTGTGCCTTCAGATGACCTGATTTTGTAAATGTTTTCTCACATTCAACACACTTGTAAGGCCTGATTCCGCTGTGCAGCCTCATGTGTGACTTCAGGGAATGTGATTGTGTGAATCTTTTCCCACATTCAACACATTGATACGGCTTGATTCCACTGTGTATCTTCATGTGTGTCTTTAGAGCACTTGATATTGTAAATCTTTTCCCACAATCAACACATTCATAAGGCTTGATTCCACTGTGAATCATCATGTGTGTCTTTAGAGCACTTGATATTGTAAATCTTTCCCCACATTCAACACATTGATAAGGCTTGATTCCACTGTGAATACTCATGTGAGTCTTCAGAGCACTTGCTATTTTAAATGTTTTCCCACATTGAACACACTGATAAGGCTTGATTCCACTGTGCATCCTTATGTGTGTCTGCAGAGAACCTGATACTGCAAACGTTTTCTCACACACCATGCACTGATAATGCATGTTTATCAACAAACAAACAAAGTTTATCACATATGGGGGCATGGATGGCCCAGTCATCTAAGGCGCCGCAGTGAGCTGTGCAGAGTTCCTTAAGCATGTCAGAAACCTGTGACCGTTTCGATGTTTCTCACCGCCCTGCTCGTGGGTTTCACCAGTGTGGTAAACGTATGAGACACGCATCACATTGGGTTTCCTTCATCCCCTCTAAGCTGACACGCCGTGATATAAATGTAATCCTGTTCAAGCTGCGTTAAACCTCACTCACTTAAAGAACATATATACAATGTTGTCAGTTAGTCGACCTGATTGGCGAAGCTAGCTACCTCTAGACGCTGGTCCCACACTAAGCAGATACTTCATCGTAATACTGATTGTCAGACAGTTTTATTCGGTAAAAGGCCTATGTCCAAAAATACGCACAAAAAGCATGATCGTGCATGAGCATTTTATATCAAATTGCTATTTCTAGTTTTTATTAACATGATATAGAATTATCAGACATTTCTTAGAAAAGCAATCTAATTACTTTGCAGGATACAAATATTATGAATTGTATGATATTTACTAAAATATTTTACAATCAACTTTAATAGGAGTAGGAATCAGACACAGAATATGTGTCAGCAAACAGGCCTTTAAACTTCCATGACATACACTATCTTTCAATGTTTATGATATTTTCATATCTGCCAGTCTCAACAGCAGGCTTGAAATAGCCAGATGTAATTCTAGAAAAGGATGTTCAATGAGTTGTATCGTTATCATATATATTCCTGGTCAGTGGGACTGTGTTCCTATTGGCTGAGTGAGGGTCTACGTATTGTCTGTTGTCATTACAGAGCAGGGGAAGGATCCGCAAGCCGGCGGGTTTTGTGCAGATGACGCTGGGAGGAAGGATGTCGAGTAAGTTCACCGCGATGTCTACATCTGTGTGGGAACATTTTTCCGGGAGTAAATTGGTGTATGTTGGCCAAGTATAGGTGTTGCCACCCTGGTGTTTAAATGGTCTGTTTCCACAGATGTTAACGAAAATCTGCTAACCACTTCAGGCGTTGTCACGAAGGATCAGGCTTAAGTCATTCGGAAAAGGCGGAGATAGATTTCGAGCCTCGGTTGTCACAACCACAGCCTCAGCCTCAGCCTCAGCCTCCAGCTGTCATTGATCTCAGTCAACAGCCGAGCAGTCAATGAGCAAGTTCTCCTCCACCGTCGGCGACCACGTTCATCTGGTGTTATCTCCCAGATGCGGTAAGTAACACTAAAGTTTTAAACTAATCATTTATACTATTGGAATCAATTCTTTAGGACAAACATTTTCCCGTAATTTTGAATCAAAATTGACGTCAGCTTTATATCTCACCTTAACAACTGTTATCTTACTGCATGAATTCCCGATACTCGCCCGTCCACTATCAACAACTTCAAAACGGACATGAACTGATCGTCATGTTTGTTTACAAAAGTGATTGAATAATTCTGAAATAAACAAAATATTGTTTCTTCTTCAGGTGTGATGACAAGCTACCTTCTCCAACACCTATGCCAATTACACTGCTTCATGTGCAGGAATTGGCACCCTCTGATACATTCGATATCCATGTATCTTATCACTGAATCATACAAATCATTTCAATCCACCAAGATCCAAAGATGACAACTTAACAGGTTGGTGTTATCAGGATCTGTATGTCTAAACCTTGGTACAACGTCCTGCTTTTGACACGATCGTCCTCCTACAAGTCCCGGATGTTCATGTGTACCTCCTGATGACTCGGCAGCTCTGAGGTGTTGAGGGGCGTTTCATATTTCATGGCTCATATTCCAACCTAAAACACCCGCTAACACCTTTTAGTTGAACGATGACTCGGTTGTATTCACAAGCATCTTCTCGGGTAATTGCATTTGGTGAACGTCTTTAGTCACGGGAATGTGACAGATATTAGTACAGGAAGTTTGTACTCGCATTGAAATGAGCATGTGAGATCTCACAGGTATGTTAACTACATTTGGTTAAAGCGTCACCTCAACAAGATATTTTTGTTTGTATTCTTGAGACAATGAGTTAAAGAGGATATTCCTAATCATGTGCGGTCCTATGGTAGGATGTTGGCAGGATCAGTCTACAACTAAGATGGATGGATGATCACTTCACCTATTGATGGTTAAAAGGTATGCCACTCACTTATAGACAGACTGTTCCAAACAACTTTCTTAAGACATACAGGTCTCATAGAGAGTATTCCTTATAGAACACCCCTTTGATGAATTTAATTCTAAATAATTGTTCCTGTGTGAGAAATGACTTGTGATCACAATCTGTACTCGTACAGGCACCCTTGCCGCAGCTGTACACCACGCCCGTCTACCACGCCCGTCTACCACGCCCACCTACAACAACCGTCTACCACACCCGTCTTCCACACCCGTCTACAAAAGCCCATCTTCCACACCCGTCTACCACGCCCGTCTACCACGCCCGCCTACAACACCCGTCTACCACGCCCGCCTACAACAACCGTCTACCACGCCCGTCTACCACACCCGTCTACCACGCCCGCCTACAACACCCGTCTTCCACGCCCGTCTACCACACCCGTCTACCACGCCTGCCTACAACACCCGCCTACAACACCCGTCTTCCACGCCCGTCTACCACGCCCGCCTACAACACTCGTCTACCACGCCCGCCTACAACACCCGCCTACAACACCCGCCTACAACACCCGTCTACCACGCCCGCCTACAACACCCGTCTACCACGCCCGCCTACAACACCCGTCTACCACGCCCGCCTAAACAGCACCCGTCTACCACGCCCGCCTACAACACCCGTCTCCCACTCCTGCTATTGTCTATGGTGTGTGTATGAACACTAGATCCCTGCTATTTAACTGGATACTTTATATACACAAGGAAGATAGGAAACATATAGAGACGCCCCTCTATTGCACCTAAAGCCACAGACACCAGTTGACAAATGATAATATCAACATTGTAAATAGAGGTTATCATGCGAGTGTATTTTGGGATAACAAATATCCTGTATTAGGAACAGGTATTGCATTTAATGAGCATTTAACAGTTCTTCTATGTGCCCTCGGGGTCACGGGTGGCCCAGTTGTCTGAGGCGCCGCTATTCGCTGTGCAGAGTTGCGTCCCTTGGGCACGCCATAAACCTATGATTGTGGGTTCGAATCCCGGTTCGCCCCGATTATGTTTCTAGGTTTGTCAGCACCATACACGTGTTCGTGGGTTTTGCCGAAGTGGTAAACGTCTGTGACCTGCATCACTTCGGGCTTTCCTCCCACATTTAGTTGACACGTCACAATATAACTTGAATACTGTTTAAAGCGGCGTTAAACCCAACTCACTCACTCTATGTGCTCTCGGGGGTGACCCGGGGCAAAATAGGTCACCCAGTACCTTTTGCTTGTGTGATTGTACTAGCGTTGATCATTCGCTTGTCAGTGAAATGTTAGCTGTTATATTGCTAACTGCGACGTTCTACAAATTTCACCCCCACATTTTTCTGCATACAATGGTAATGCCTCTCTTAGATCTAAGAGCTCTGACGCATCTGATAGTGTGTAAAGAGGATTTTTTTTTCAATTTATACATTTTCCAATCACAATAACATATGTTGACATACATCTGAGGACTGCCTTTATGCAGACAATAAAGGCGCATTAAATAGAAAACCAATGAATATCGAGTGTGTTCAGGGAATTCGTTAAATAACTTGTTTATCTGACATGTGCTGAAATAACACGAGTGACCTTAACATTTCTATGAATTAAGAATGAAATTTTCAAAGATAAATTTCTTTCAGGTGTGGCCGTTGCCACCCACCTCAATCGCCACCCACCTCAGTTGCCATCCGCCTCAGATGCCACCCACCTCAGTTGCCACCCGCCTCAGATGCCACCCACCTCAGATGCCACCCGCCTCAGATGCCACCCGCCTCAGATGCCACCAATCTCAGATGCCACCCACCTCAGATGCCACCCATCTCAGATGCCACCCGCCTCAGATGCCATCCGCCTCCGATGACCCCCATCTCAGATGCCACCCGCCTCAGATGCCACCAATCTCAGATGCCACCCGCCTCAGATGCCACCCACCTCAGATGCCACCCGCCTCAGTCGCCATCCGCCTCAGATGCCACCTACCTCAGATGCCACCCGCCTCAGATGCCACCCGCCTCAGATGCCCCCCATCACAGATGCCACCCGCCTCAGATGCCACCCGCCTCAGATGCCACCCGCCTCAGATGCCCCCCATCTCAGATGCCACCCGCCTCAGATGCCACCCGCCTCAGTTGTCACCCATCTCAGATGCCACCCGCCTCAGATGCCACCCGCCTCAGATGCCACCCATCTCAGATGCTTCCCGCCTCAGTTGCCACCCGCCTCAGTTGCCACCCGCCTCAGTTGCCAGCCATCTCAGATGCCACCCGCCTCAGTTGCCACCCACCTCAGTTGCCACCCACCTCAGATGCCACTCGCCTCAGATGCCACCCACCTCAGATGCCAACCGCCTCAGATGCCACCCGCATCAGTTGCCACCCGCCTCAGATGCCACCCGCCTCAGATGCCACCCATCTCAGATTTGCGCCTCAGTTGCCAGCCATCTCATTTGTCACCCGCCTCAGTTGCCACCCGCCTCAGTTGCCACCCACCTCAGATGCCACCCGCCTCAGTTGCCAGCCATCTCAGTTGTCACCCGCCTCAGTTGCCACCCATCTCAGTTGCCACCCGCCTCAGTTGTCACCCGCCTCGGATGCCACCAACCTCAGTTGTCACCCGCCTCAGTTGCCACCCGCCTCAGCTGCCACCCACCTCAGATGCCACCCGCCTCAGTTGCCAGCAACCCCAGTTGCCAGCAACCTCAGCCGCCACCCGCCTCAGATGCCACCCATCTCAGATGCTTCCCGCCTCAGTTGCCAGCCATCTCATTTGTCACCCGCCTCTGTTGTCACATGCCTCAGTTGTCACCCGCCTCAGTTGTCACCCGCCTCAGTTGTCACCCGCCTCAGTTGCCACCCGCCTCAGTTGTAACCCGCCTCAGTTGTCACCCGCCTCAGTTGCCACCCGCCTCAGCTGTCACCCGCCTCAGTTGCCACCCGCCTCAGTTGTCACCCGCCTCAGTTGTCACCCGCCTCAGTTGCCACCCGCCTCAGTTGTCACCCGCCTCAGTTGTCACCCGCCTCAGTTGTCACCCGCCTCAGTTGCCACCCGCCTCAGTTGTCACCCGCCTCATTTGTCACCCGCCTCAGTTGCCACCCGCCTCAGTTGCCGGCAACCCCAGTTGCCACCTACCTCAGTTGCCACCCTTCTCAGTTGCCACCTACCTCATTTGTCACCCGCCTCAGATGCCACCCGCCTCAGTTGCCACCCGCCTCAGTTGCCAGCCATCTCATTTGTCGCCCGCCTCAGTTGCCACCCGCCTCAGTTGCCACCAACCCCAGTTGCCACCCATCTCAGATGCCATCCGCCTCAGATGCCAGCCATCTCAGTTGTCACCCGCCTCAGTTGTCACCCGCCTCAGTTGCCACCCATCTCAGTTGCCACCCGCCTCAGTTGTCACCCGCCTCGGATGCCACCAACCTCAGTTGCCACCCGCCTCAGTTGCCACCCGCCTCAGTTGCAACCCGCTTCAGTTGCCACCCGCCTCAGTTGCCACCCGCCTCAGTTGTCACCCGCCTCAGTTGCCACCCGCCTCAGTTGTCACCCGCCTCAGTTGCCACCCGCCTCAGTTGCCACCCGCCTCAGTTGCCACCCACCTCAGTTGCCACCCACCTCAGTTGCCACCCGCCTCTGTTGCCACCCACCTCAGTTGCCACCCACCTCAGTTGCCACCCGTCTCAGTTGCCACCTGCCACCCGCCTCAGTTGCCACCCGCCTCAGATGCCACCCATCTCAGCAGCTCAAAGTGTGAACAGCGAATAGTCTTGTGAAGCTCAAACATATGGTCAAATGTGTGTGTGACGTCACCAACCTCCAACCCCATCTAACAATGTTATGCAACGACGCTCTGGTTGGACATGTCGAACGTGCTCTACTCGAGCAACAACCTTGCACTATTCAGGGGACACAAGCCAGACAATGGAAATTAATTTCGTGTCTAAAACCATTGCATTCACAATGTTTTATCAATTATAGTCCCATGTTTCCACGTCCATAATCCACACAATGTTGCTGCAATATTGATTCAGTGTTGTAAGACTAACTGACTGAACATCTCATGCTGTCCCTAACAGGCGTGCAAGTCCTATTAGTCAACTTATCATAATTTATCATCCAAAACTGGCTCCCACAGGAGATATTGCTACACTGTAGATATCGCTGCAATGAAATTACATCACAATGCTTTGCAGACCATTGTGACATCACTGGTTACCATGACGTCACAATCAAATGACATCACTAATGGCTCTGCTACTGAAGCTGTTAGCAGTACTTTTTACACTGAAGACAGTGAAAAAGTTGGAAGAATGATGTTGGATGATAAATAAAATCTCACCCTCGTGTCTTTTGACATCAAATATATCAACACTCGTTGATAAAAGAGGCAAAAATCCTCGGCAAGCTTCGGAATTTTTCCACTTTTATCAACTCGTGTTGATATATTTGATATCAAAAGACACTCGGGTGAGATTCTCTATGTGTATATAAAAACATCATTTCAGAAATACACCGCCATCTACTATAGGTTCATAGAAACTTCTTTATTTTATTTGACAAGAATCTTACAAGAAAGTACTTTAATAGGCAGTGAGACGATGGGGTAGCCTATTGGATAAATCATTCTCTCGGCAAGCCGAAGACCCGGTTCGATTCCCCACATTGGTTGACCGTCTCCGCAGTCTAGTGGTAGAGCGTCTGTCCGGAGAGCGGAAGGTCCGGGGTTCGATCAGTTGTTACAGACGTTGGTTTTACATGTAAATTAATGTGGTGTGTAGAGATTAGCGTAAATGGGTCGTTTAGTGTTATATACTACGACTTGTTGAGCGGATGCACATAGCAGACGGCGTTATCATGGTCACTTTGTGAAAACATTTCTACGTTTCTGTGTACAGTCAATGTTCACATGAGTCTCCCACTTTCATTTTGGACTGTCACTAATCGGAACAGTCAAACCAGCTGCTGATAGAATGATGTACCACTACCGTCGCTACCACCGCTACTACGTCACCACTGTTACCGCCACCACCACGTACCACTGCAACTACCGCTAGTGCAACTACTCCTACAACTAGTTTGATTGATTGATTGATTGATTGATTGTTGATTAACGCCGCACTCAACAATATTCAAGCTATATGACGGCGTTCTGTAAATAATCGAGTCTGGACAAGACAATCCAGTGATTGATATCACGAGCATCGATCCTAGCATTTTGGACACGGCATGCATCAACCAAATCAGCGAGCCTGACCACCCGATCCCGTTAGTCGCCTCTTACGGCAAGCATGGGTTGCTGAAGGCCTATTCTACCCCGGATCTTCACGGGTCACTACAACTTGTAATATCTTGTACAGCTATTACATCTACTACCCATCCGTGAACATACGGGTAGAGAATAGGTCTTCAGTAACCCATGTTTGCCGTAAGAGGCGACTATGCTTGTCGTAGGAGGCGACTAACAGGATCGCGTGGTCACTGAAATGGTTGATACATGTCATCGTCTCCCAATTGCCTCACGTGTCTGACTCACTGCACAAGAAGACGGATGAATAATATTTGCTTCTTACATCAGGTTTAGGTGGATGACCGTCAAATGCTGCACGAATACCAAACATTGAAGTTGACGAGGATGTCTTGTATTTATATCTACTGCTGCACGGGCGACACATACAGGTGCCCTCAGGTTATACGTTTGTTATTGACCGTTCGAGATCTGCAACTGTTTACACACCAAGAATCAACGGTAAGTAATTATGTAGATCTATTCCTTCAGTACTATACACATGTGAGGTCCCTTGATATGTGTGAACTTACATGAATTGTGTACGGAGGATGGATACAAACAGATGTACTTTACCTGTGTGAGGAATGTGTGTATATACAGCCGTAGTTCACGTATGTGAGGTCCCTTGATGTGTGTAAACTTAGATGAATTGTGTATAAGTATTGTGTGAGTATGGCGTCTGTGGTCAGTAACAGTGGGACTTCAGAAGAACAACTTTATTTCTTCACCCAGGACCATCGCTGTTGCGCTGTCCCCCTAGTTGTCGTAAGATAAGCATTAAGGAGTAATGCAGGATAATTATGAAAATATTATTATTATTTACAGATTAAAATAAAAAAAATGCAGCAAAGAGGGTTTGGGTGATCCTGGCACAGTCAGGCTGGTTAGGCTCATCATCAGCTCAGGGCCTTTGCCCCCTCTACACGCAGCCCAGACAGCGAATGGCACTTCTCCCAGGAAGCGCTGCCGAGTCAAACCCACCCAGAACATTTCGGAGAATGTGATGACTCCCCAACACTGCAGCCTTCTATATTACCCAGATTGTCAGAAGGGCTGTATTCCTGGTAGCAAACCCGGGTACTCTCCAAATGACAGTCAACAGATTGGGAGGTACCAAACCTAAGTCACCGAGAACAATGAGGAGTCGGACAACTTGGTACGCAAGCGTGACATTTCGAAAGCGAGGTTCGCATATTTGGCATGTTTTTCCTCAGTCTTGTCAATCACATTAGTGTCAAAGGGGACAGAAAATTCAATGATATAAAGGATTTCATTGGATTTATCAAAAAGGACAAGATCAGGTTTGTTGGCCTGGATACGTCTGAGGCTGAAAAGGGGCCTATTCCAAAGAATTTTGTATTTATCATTTTCCATGACGCCCTCTACATAATCCGGCTCGTATCATGGCTGGACATCACTGTCAAAACCACAAGCATGGCGAAAACGGTAATAAAATGATCGAGCTACCCCATCATGTCGTTTAAGATTCTGTGTTTGAGGCAAAGCTGGGCATCCACTCACAATGTGTTGGACAGTCTCATTAAATTCCTTACATAATCTACATTTCATATCAACATTTTGATCTAAAATCACACATTGACGGTTTCGAGTGGGAAGTGACTGGTCCTGAGCAGCAAACATAAAGCCTTCTGATTCACTTTTCAGGTCAGATGACTTCATCCAAGCAAAGGACTCTGCAGGATTGCTGATCTTCTCATCACACTGCACATAAACTCGATGCAGTGGTCGTTCAGATAGCCACTCCTTTAAAAACTGAGTCTGGGCCGACTTGATATGGCACTTCGCTTGGCTGACACTCATTTCTGTACCATCCAGCAGTACAGAACTATCAACACCGACATTGAGATAATGTCCCACATCCTTGGCTCGTTTTTTGAAAACTGTGGAATGTCTTGTTTTCATCATGAGTCTTGACATGCTTCACAAGAGGATCATCAGACAAATAAATGTGTGCAAAAGTGCACAAAACAATTCTATCATGAAGAGCCCCAATGTTAATCAAACCACGTCCTCCCATAATGATTGGTAAATATACACATGCACAAAAGTTAAGCGCCACCCACCATATTTGTGAGCTGTTACTTTTGGCACTTAATGATGACTATTATAACGAGATGTACGATTGTTATAAGCCGTATATGTAAACCTCATGGGATGCAAAAGTTGTCCCAAAGCATGTTTATCTTGTGTTCCAAAAGAATATGAGCAGAATGGAATTTTACCGAAGACCAGAAATTGAAGGATTAGAAAACATTGAAAAACTGTTTTTGTTATGTAACTGTCATGGTATCAGCAGACCATATCAGGTGTCACATAGACACCCTAGGGAGTGCAGAGTCTATTGAAAGACAGAAACGTGCTTCTCTGAGGCAAACGGATCCATTCTGCATGAAGTGCGGCTTCAAGTCCAGCGAGATTTTGAAATGGGGGATCACGATGTCTGATTTTCCGGCCAAGAATGTCCGAGATATGCTCAATCGGATTAAGATCCGGACTACAGGCCGGCCAAGGAAGAGTGGCAATAGCTTCTTGACGCAAATAAGCCCAAACTGCCCGAGATCTGTGTGGTCTAGCATTGTCGTCCATGTAAACAGGTCTTGTCTGAAGAGGATGGTTGTCAAAATGAGGGACTACCACTGGACGAAGAAGGGCATCTTGGTATTGTTGGCCATTCAGGTTTCCACGAATTGTCACCAGCGGAAGTTTGCAGCCGAAGGAAACACAACCCCACATCATGACAGAGCCCCCGCCACATGCTAAGGTCTTCTGGGTGTTCCTTGGTGCAAAACGAGTGTTACGTTGCCTCCAAACACGTATTCGACCATCAACAGTTCGTAGCAGCATTCGACACTCGTCAGACCAATGGATCCTTCTCCAGTTGGCCAAGTTCTATCGACTACGGGCACGATACCATATCAGACGATTCCGCATGTGCCTCTCAATCAGTTGAGGACGTTTTACTGGTCTTCTGGCGTTATAACCAGCCGCTCTGAGGCGACGCCTTACGGTCATCGTCGAGAGTCTCTGATAGGTAATCCACTGCAGTCTTAAATCTGTTGAAGTGGCAAATGGATTTCGTCTGACTATCCTGAAAAGACGTCTATCCTCTCTATTAGAGGTCTTTCTTGGCCTACCAGACCTATGCCTGTCATTGACATCATTAGTTTGACCATGTTTGACAATCAAACGAGTGATAACACTGTGATGACGACCCATTTTTCATGCCTATCACTTGCCATCTTTCAGTATTCGTTAACTTTCTCCTCACCATGGCTGATTTTCAACCTCTATTGGAAGGGGAATCTCACACAGGAGCAAAATGCAACCACGTGACTGAAACTTGAATTTCACTATTTATAGGGTAGGGGAACTGCAGCAACACGTAAAGCACGCTTTCCTTGTGGTATCTGGACATATTTGGGTTCATGAAACTATGGAAGCCTAATTCAGTCATACATCATCATATTTCGTATTTCTGATTCCCACACGTGAAATCAAGAGACTATGAATATGTTGGCGGTTAACTTTTGTGAATGTGTATATAAGCGATTGAGGGAAGAGCGAGGGTGGTGGAATCTACTGTCTGACATGATTCTTCGTGTGAGGGTGTCAATACCCTGAATTTCTTGTTTCGTCCAATCAACAACACCAAAAGAATATGAAAGGACGGGTACAGCATAAGTATTTGTGGCTTTTACTTTGTTGCGAGCATTCAGCTCTGAACTCCAGATTTTCTTAAGTCTACATTTGTACTCTGCCCGAAGTTTTTCCTTGACATGGGCATTCTGGAGTGTGTCCCTAATCTGCATCCCTTAGTACGTATAGGCCTGACCTTCCACGAGATGGTCAATAACTCCTCCAAGTAAACTGACTGATCCTCCCTCCTTTACCTTGCCACGTTTCAGATGAAGAATGTTGCATGTGTCGAGTCCAAAGGACATGCCGATATCATTAGAAAAGGACTCGACAAGGAGAATCTGTTTTTTGAGTGTGGATCCTCCATTGGCAGTAGGTTCAAGGTCATCCATGTAAAGGAGGTGAGTAAGGGGTGTTGGGGATCTGTGCTGAGGAGGTCCAGGATGATAACCTTCCTCTTTGCTGAGTAAAAAGCTAAAAGGATTTAATGAAGAAACCGGAACTGCTTCATGACATGAAGGACAGACGCAGGTGTTGATCGCAGTTACAGCCAAGTTTATTACTGATAAATTTTAAACCCTGAAACAATTGTAAAACATTCATTACACAAAACATAAATATATGCTGAATATTTCATTACATTTGATGATATACAAAATGCTATAACTACTAATTGATAAACTTACATCTCATCAAGACTTAATTAATCCTATAACATAAACATGCTTAACCAGCATATATACTTATATATGGGCATCATATAAATAGAGTCACATAAACGTGACATGATACATTTACTATCATTTGTACATACAATATACAATATATGAGAAATATATGTAAAACCTAGTAAACCCACCAAGTGTGTGGACCTGGGTCCATCAGTCCAGACACAGACCTCTGCACGAGTAATACAGCTACATCTGCACGACAGATAAATAATATATATACACACTCTGAAGACCAATCTGATAGCAGCAATATTACTACAAACCGATACATAGTGTTATTGCAGAGTAACTTAAAACATTTCTAAAATATAATAGTAAAACCCTGATTCATTCATGCATTATACATTCCTACATTACACATTCATATCTACCAATATGTAACCTAGCAACACATATGTTTCACATTCTTACTTTCATACTTCATACGTTCATACATCAGCCCCACAGTGATTGAAGATTTAGTAAAATAGTATTTGTGGCCTATTTTAGCGCTCACTGAATTATTTACCTTACGTAAATAATAACACTTGTAATGCATACAGAAATACAACTAATTACTATGATCTGGCTAATATTTACAACATGACAAAAACAGCCAAACTATCAACAGCATAAACACACTATACCTACAAATCCTAGGAATACGTACAAACGATAAAATATCATCAAAAGACCAACCTTTAGACGTGAATCCCAAAGCCCATAAATCAAACACAACAATTAGTCCAAATTGTGAATTCCACAGTGAGTGAGTGAGTTGGGTTCAACGCCGCTTTCAACACTTTAAATCTAAACTAATAAAACTCTCAAAATATATACAACTATCTCACAATGACAAACAGAAAAGCAAAGGACTGAAAGAATCGCCCTGAAATATTCCTATTCTTATAGAAATGGGTTCCGAAGTCACCACCTGCCCCTGTGAATACATCTCAAGTTGAGTGAGTGAGTGAGTGAGTATGGTTTTACGCCGCTTTTAGCAATATTCCAGCAATATCACGGCGGGAGACACCAGAAATGGGCTTCACACATTGTACCCATGTCGGGAATCGAACCCGGGTCTTCGGCGTGACGAGCGAACGCTTTAACCACTAGGCTACCCGACCGCCCCCTCTCTGCAGTAGATACATAAACAGCTGATAAGGTGTGTCCGCCAGGTTTCTTTGACCAGTGGAGGTCACTATTGTGGTGTCATTGCCTGGGTCAGTGAAGTGCCAAGAGCAGCCTACCCATACAACCAGGCTACTCACCAGGAGAGAGAAATAGGGGTTGGGTAAAAAACAGATTATAAGCTACAATCACTGACAAACGAGACACAACTCCGTAAGCAGACGTTCTACCCTCAGTAATAATAATCTGTAGCAGATCCTTACACTCGAGACTGACAGCTTTGAGATACATCTCCTTTGAACATGTTTAAGCAAGATACTCGTACTTTTATTTTTTCCTTATAATGCCGTTTATTGTCTTTTATTACATTTACACACACACACGCACACGCACACACACACACACACACACACACACACACACATCCCCCCGATCCCTCCACCAGCCCACCTCCACACACCACCCGAAACACTTACACCAACGCTGGTATTTCCTTAATACTGGTACATAATTACACATCCCCCCAACATCCACTCCCCAACACCAGCCCACCTCCACCCACCAGCCAAAACACTTACACCCACACTGATATTTCCATTATACTGACACGTACCCCTCACCCTCCACCCACCCCAATCGATTTTCATGCATCCATATTCCAAAATAGACACACAGATCACTGATGAGACTAGATTCTACTGTGAATCCTCATGTGTGACCTCAGAGCACTTGCTTGTGTAAATGTTTTCTCACATTCAACACACTTAAAAGGCTTGATTCCACTATGCATCCTCATGTGTGTCTTCAGAGTGCCTGATTCTGCAAATGTTTTCTCACACACGATGCACTGATATGGCTTGATTCCACTGTGAATCCTCATGTGTGCCTTCAGATGACTTGATTGTGTAAATCTTTTCCCACATTCAACACACTGATACGGCTTGATTCTACTGTGAATCCTCATGTGTGTCTGCAGAGTGCCTGATTCTGCAAACTTTTTCTCACACATCATGCACTGATATGGCTTGATTCCACTGTGAATCCTCACGTGTGTCTTCAGGTGACTTGATTGTGTAAATGTTTTCTCACATTCAACACACTTATAAGGCTTGATTCCACTGTGCATCCTCATGTGTGTCCGCAGAGAGCCTGATCCTGCAAACGTTTTCTCACACACCATGCACTGATACGGCTTGATTCCACTGTGAATCTTCATGTGTGACTTCAGGTGACCTGATTGTATAAATGTTTTCTCACATTCAACACACTTATAAGGCTTGATTCCACTGTGCATCCTTATGTGTGTCTGCAGAGAGCCTGATCCTGCAAACGTTTTCTCACACACCATGCACTGATACGGCTTGATTCCACTGTGAATCTTCATGTGTGACCTCAGGGAATGTGACTGTATGAATTTTTTCTCACATTCAACACACTGATATTGCTTGATTCCGCTATGCATTCTCATGTGTGTCTGCAGAGAACCTGCTTCTGCAAACATCTTCCCACATACAACACATTTACATGACTTGACTTCAATGTGACAAACATTTTTCATATCACCTGATGTAATCAATGTTTTCCCTTTCTCACTACACATTCGAGACTGACCCCCACAATATTTATGTTTCTGGAGATCACCTGTTTCCAGCGTGTCAGGAACATATTGTTTCTGGAGATCACCTGTTTCCAGCATGTCAGTAACAGATTGTTTCTGGAGATCACCTGTTTCCAGCATGTCAGTAACAGATTGTTTCTGGAGATCACCTGTTTCCAGCGTGTCAGTAACAGATTGTTTCTGGAGATCACCCATTTCCAGCGTGTCAGCAACAGATTGTTCCTTGAGATCACATGTTTCCAGCGTGTCAGTAAGAAACTGTTCCTTGAGATCACCTATTTCCAGAGTGTCAGTAGCAGATTGTTTCTTGAGATCACCTGTTTCCAGTATGTCAGCAACAGATTGTTTCTGGAGATCACCTGTTTCCAGTGTGTCAGCAACAGATTGTTTCTTGAGATCACCTGTATCCAGCGTGTCAGTAGCAGATTGTTTCTTGAGATCACCTGTTTCCAGTGTGTCAGCAACAGATTGTTTCTTGAGATCACCTGTATCCAGCGTGTCAGCAACAGATTGTTTCTGGAGATCACCCATTTCCAGCGTGTCAGCAACAGATTGTTCCTTGAGATCACATGTTTCCAGCGTGTCAGTAAGAAACTGTTCCTTGAGATCACCTATTTCCAGAGTGTCAGTAGCAGATTGTTTCTTGAGATCACCTGTTTCCAGTATGTCAGCAACAGATTGTTTCTGGAGATCACCTGTTTCCAGTGTGTCAGCAACAGATTGTTTCTTGAGATCACCTGTATCCAGCGTGTCAGTAGCAGATTGTTTCTTGAGATCACCTGTTTCCAGTGTGTCAGCAACAGATTGTTTCTTGAGATCACCTGTATCCAGCGTGTCAGCAACAGATTGTTTCTGGAGATCACTTGTTTCCAGCATGTCAGTAGCAGAGTATTTTTTTAGATCCAGCAATACTCTCCCACCGTCCGTGATTACACTTGTTTCAGTAAGAGAGCCAGGGTTCTGTGTTTGGCCTTGTATTTCCATTATTTGCTTGAGTGTGTTGAGATGATTACTGAAACCATAAAGAAGTTGTCACTTTCCTTTTCAAATTAATGCATTTGCTACAGTTATTTTCCAAATAAAGCAACAAAACCCTTTCCATATCCAAAAGAAAAAGAGTCGATTGTACGACTCCAACTATATCATGAGCATGTGTTTATGAATCACTGTCAAATAGAAATGATACCAGATGTTCGTGAATAGGTGAGCGCCTCCTGCCCCACCATTGACGCTTGTCACAAACACATGCAAAGGCAAGTCAATTGTTCACCTGAAAAAAACCATTTCAACATATTGCAAAAGTCAAAATAGGGAAATTCATCGGACATCATTCTTCTCAAATTTGGAGAAATTTGTCCTCCACATGTCTACCATAAAACTTCTTGAAAGCTTTACTGAGGCCTTTAATGTTGTAACCTTGATCAAACAACTTCTGAGCAAGAGTCGTATGACACTCTTTGAAATCTTGGTAGATAGAGCATGATCGATTGCATCTTAAATTTGTGAAAAGTAAACACCAAAGGCTGGAGCTGCTGGAATATTCCTCGACATGAAGGGAAAGTTGACTTTTGGAAAGCCGAAGTCATCCCTCTTGTCATACCGTCTTGTGGAGAGTGTTTTGTCACTATGAATCTTTATGCATGGATCTAAATATTGAGACATGAGGCGGCCTCACTGGTCTCCTTTCTTCCTGGTTCTGGTGGGTAAATCAGTAGAAGGGATTTGGTTATTTGATTGTTATTGAACCATATCAGATCATCGATTTACCTGAAGCTTAAGTTAAACTTCGTGGCCAAATTACCTTGTTTTGACTTTGCCAATCTGAACAGAAATATGCATAAAGAAACAGATCCGCAAGGAGGGGAGCACAATTGGTGCCCATGGGTATGCCTACTTCTTGCCTAAATGTCTAATCCCCGAATCTTACGTAGATGTTATCAATGAGGAAGTCCAGCATTTCACATATTGTTTACTCAGTAAACTTCAGATGGCAATTCCTTTCATTTTTCACAAATTGTCCTGAACCTGAAATTGTGTTCACCACGTTTTGTAACAAAAGCCCTATTAATCAAAGAAGTTTTTCCTTAAGTTTGTCATGTGGGATAGTGGTGTACAAAGTTGAAAAACAGAAATGTCTTGACAGAATGGAACTTGGTTCTTTTCTGAGACCGCAAAAAATCAAGAAAATCCTTTGAGTTTTTGAAAAATCCACATGGTATGAATTCCACTTGTCTCAAATACTTTCTGTGAATATACAGAAACCCCTTCCTTGATTGTATCAATGATTCTGGTTAGTCGTTGAGACAGGGATTTGGTGGTACATTTGCTGGACACAGCAATACATCTCTCTTTGTACAGATTTTTATGGAGCTTTGGAATCCAGTACAAAAGAGGAATGGACATGTCTTCAGGTTTTAGAGTCAAGTCAAAAGTGGACAGTACTGAGTTGTGGTTTTGGCAGATTTCTTCCTCAGTTAACATACTGGCCTTATATGTGGCATTATTTGATATGTCACTTATACCAAGTTCTTTGATCAAACAATTAATGTAGTGATGCTTACATATAATGGTTATTGTTGTTGTTTTTGTTATTATTATTACTGGTGTTGTTGTTGGTATAATTATTATAATCATTTTTTATTATTATTATTATTATTATTATTATTATTATTATTATTATTATTATTGAGGCCTTGTCAGTGGGAACTATGAAATGTTCATGCAGGAAACGCCACCAATAACAACTAGGGCTTGAACCAAATACATTTTGATAATGATATTATACCTGATACTGTAAATGTCGCTCCAAAGTCCACACACTGATAAGATCTTAGCGCAGTACTTAGGGTGACATGCTGATGGTGTGATTTGAAATAAACTTGATAAACTCAATAAATTCGATAAACTTGATGAACTCAATAACCTCAATAAACTCAAATGGAAGTGTCTTCAGTTGATTAATCGTCGTACCATGACTACTGTTATGCTATTAAAGGGCAATTACCATTACATCCTCATGTGGAAAGAAAGAAAACACATGGATGTGTTGGAAAGTTATTTTTATATATTACTTTTTTTTCAAATCCTGAGGCCAGATATCAGAACCAATGAGAGAGAGCTATCATGCCACCATTATTACGAATGAAAAGAGGTATTTGCCTCGTTATTATAATCATGATAATGGACGTTCACTGTATCCACCAAACCCAGTATATAACTATGGGGGAGATAATGAGGCAAAACTATTGGATTTTAAGTCATCACATTTGCTAAAATATGGATGCTAACCAATTGTTATTAACAAAGTCATTTAATTTTATGTATTGTGGATAGATTTTGTGACAATAGTGAGGTGACATGAAATATTAATGCAAATGTCTCTTTAGAAAATGGTGTGTGTCACTGTTTAATTTTGCCTATGTGACGCCGCTCTTCGTGTCTCAAAACAATTGGTCTTATTCTCATGACATATACAAGGCAAAAGTAAATTTTGAAAAGGCCAAGAGCATATTCTACACATGAGTTCTGGAGTCTCTCTGCAGTAGATACATAAACAGCTGATAAAGTGTGTCCGCCAGGTTCCTTTGTCCAGTGGAGGTCGCTATTGTGGTGTCATTGCCTGGGTCAGTGAAGTGCCAAGAGCAGCCTACCTGTACAACCAAGCTAGTCACCAGGAGAGACAAATAGGGGTTGGGTCAAAAACAGATCAAAAGCTACGATCCCTGACAAACGAGATAGACATTATCAAATGATCTACCCTCAGTGACATTCGCGATGTAATCTTATAATCTGTGGCAGATCCTTACACTCGAGGCTGCCAGCTTTGAGATACATCAGCTTTTGAGGAAGTTACATAAAAATTTCCCCTTTATAATACCGTTTATTGTCTTATAGTTGAATACAAGAACAAGAAGTCAATAAAAGTATTGAGATGTCCATTGCTGTTCAAATGCAGTTACAATGACATTTACAGTTACATTTCAGTGGGTGGACAGTCAAACACACACGCACGCACGCACGCACGCACGCACGCACACACACACACACACACAGTCATCACATATCACTCATGCATTCACACACATGCTGCTGAAACAACCCTAAGACGTAATTACACATCCCCCTAATCATCCACTCCCCACACCAGCCCACCTCCACCCTCCAGCCGAAGCACTTACACCAATGCTGGTATTTCCATGATACTGGTACATATTTACACATCACCCCCATCCCTCCACCACCCACCAGCCGAAACACTTACACCAATGCTGGTAGTTCCATGATACTGGTACATAATTACACATCCCTCTAATCATCCACTCCCCACACCAGCCCACCTCCACCCTCCAGCCGAAACACTTACACCAATGCTGGTATTTCCTTAATACTGGTACATAATTACACATATCCCTCTACCATGTCTACCTCCCCAATCTAGATTTTCATGCATCCATATTCCAAAATAGACACACAGATCACTGATGTTGCTTGATTTCACTGTGAATCCTCATGTGTGTCGTCAGTTGACCTGATTGGGTAAATGTTTTCTCACACACGATGCACTGATGAGGCTTGATTCCACTGTGAATCAGCATGTGTCTCCTTAGAGTACTTAAATCTGCAAATCCTTTCCCACATTGAACACACTGATAAGGTTTGTCTCCACTGTGAATCCTCATGTGTCTCTGCAGAGTACCTTGAACTGTAAATGTTTTCTCACACACCATGCACTGATAAGGCTTGATTCCACTGTGAGTCCTCATGTGTGTCTGCAGAGACCCTTGAAGTGTAAATGTTTTATCACACACCATGCACTGATAAGGCCTGATTCCACTGTGAATACTCATGTGTGCCTTCAGATGACTTGATTGTGTAAATCTTTTCCCACATTCAACACACTGATACGGCTTGATTCTACTGTGAATCCTCATGTGTGTCTGCAGAGTGCCTGATTCTGCAAACTTTTTCTCACACACCATGCACTGATATGACTTGATTCCACTGTGAATCCTCATGTGTCTCTTCAGGTGACTTGGTTGTGTAAATGTTTTCTCACATTCAACACACTTATAAGGCTTGATTCCACTGTGCATCCTCATGTGTGTCTGCAGAGACCATGATTCTGAAAACGTTTTCTCACACACCATGCACTGATACGGCTTGATTCCACTGTGAATCTTCATGTGTGTCTTCAGGTGACTTGATTGTATAAATGTTTTCTCACATTCAACACACTTATAAGGCTTGATTCCACTGTGCATCCTTATGTGTGTCTGCAGAGAGCCTGATCCTGCAAACGTTTTCTCACACACCATGCACTGATACGGCTTGATTCCACTGTGAATCTTCATGTGTGACTTCAGGTGACCTGATTGTATAAATGTTTTCTCACATTCAACACACTTATAAGGCTTGATTCCACTGTGCATCCTTATGTGTGTCTGCAGAGAGCCTGATCCTGCAAACGTTTTCTCACACACCATGCACTGATACGGCTTGATTCCACTGTGAATCTTCATGTGTGACCTCAGGGAATGTGATTGTATGAATCTTTTCTCACATTCAACACACTGATATTGCTTGATTCCGCTATGCATTCTCATGTGTGTCTGCAGAGAACCTGCTTCTGCAAACATCTTCCCACATACAACACATTTACATGACTTGACTTCAATGTGACAAACATTTTTCATATCACCTGATATAATCAATGTTTTCCCTTTCTCACTACACATTTGAGACTGACCCCCACAATATTTATGTTTCTGGAGATCACCTGTTTCAAGTGTGTCAGCAACAGATTGATTCTTGAGATCACCTGTTTCCAGCATGTCAGCAACAGATTGTTCCTTGAGATCACCTGTTTCCAGCGTGTCAGTAACAAACTGTTCCTTGAGATCACCTATTTCCAGCGTGTCAGTAACAGATGGTTCCTTGAGATCACCTGTTTCCAGCGTGTCAGTAACAGATTGTTTCTTGAGATCACCTGTTTCCAGTATGTCAGTAACAGATGGTTCCTTGAGATCACCTGTTTCAAGCGTGTCAGTAACAAACTGTTCCTTGAGATCACCTGTTTCCAGCGTGTCAGTAACAAACTGTTCCTTGAGATCACCTGTTTCCAGTGTGTCAGCAACAGATTGTTTCATGAGATCACCTGTTTCCAGCGTGTCAGTAACAGATTGTTTCTTGAGATCACCTCTTTCCAGTGTGTCAGCAACAGATTGTTTCTGGAGATCACCTGTTTCCAGCGTGTCAGTAACACATTGTTTCTGGAGATCACCTGTTTCCAGCGTGTCAGTAACACATTGTTTCTGGAGATCACTTGTTTCCAGCGTGTCAGTAACAGATTGTTTCTGGAGATCACCTGTTTCCAGCGTGTCAGCAACACATTGTTTCTTGAGATCACCTCTTTCCAGTGTGTCAGTAACAGATTGTTTCTGGAGATCACCTGTTTCCAGCGTGTCAGCAACACATTGTTTCTGGAGATCACCTGTTTCCGGGGTGTCAGTAACAGATTGTTTCTGGAGATCACCTGTATCCGGCGTGTCAGCAACACATTGTTTCTGGAGATCACCTGTTTCCAGCGTGTCAGCAACACATTGTTTCTGGAGATCACTTGTTTCCAGCGTGTCAGCAACACATTGTTTCTTGAGATCACCTCTTTCCAGTGTGTCAGTAACAGATTGTTTCTGGAGATCACCTGTTTCCAGCGTGTCAGCAACACATTGTTTCTGGAGATCACCTGTTTCCGGGGTGTCAGTAACAGATTGTTTCTGGAGATCACCTGTATCCGGCGTGTCAGCAACACATTGTTTCTGGAGATCACTTGTTTCCAGCGTGTCAGTAGCAGAGTATTTCTTGAGATCCAGCAATACTCTCTCACCGTCCGTGATTAGACGTGTTTCAGTAAGAGAGCCAGGGTTCTGTGTTTGGCCTTGTATTTCCATTATTTGCTTGAGTGTGTTGAGATGATTACTGAAACCATAAAGAAGTTGTCACTGTCCTTTTCAAATTAATGCATTTGCTACAGTTTTTTCCAAATAAAGCAACAAAGCCCTTTCCATATCCAAAAGTAAAAGAGTTGATAGTACGACTCGGACTATATCATGAGCATGTGTTTATGAATCACCGTCAAATAGTAATGATACCAGGTGTTCTCGAAAAGGTGAGTGCCTCCTGCCCCACCAGTGACACCTGTCACAAACACATGCAAAGGCAAGTCAATTGTTCACCTGAAAAAAAACATTTCAACATATTGCAAAAGTCAAAATAGGGAAATTCATCGGACATCCTTCTTCACAAATTTGGAGAAATTTGTCCTCCACATGTCTACCATAAAACTTCTTGAAAGCTTTACTGAGGCCTTTAATGTTGTAACCTTGATCAAACAACTTCTGAGCAAGAGTCGTATGACACTCTTTGAAATCTTGGTAGATAAAGCATGATCGATTGTATCTTAAATTTGTGAAAAGTAAACACCAAAGGCTGGAGCTGCTGGAATATTGCTCGACATGAAGAAAAAGTTGACTTTTGGAAAGCTAAAGTCATCCCTCTGGTCATACCGTCTTGTGGAGAGTGTTTTGTCACTCTGAATCTTTATGCATGGATCTAAATATTGAGACATGAGGCGGCCTCACTGGTCTCCTTTCTTCCTGGTTCAGGTGGGTAAATCAGTAGAAGGGATTTGGTTATTTGATTGTTATTGAACCATATCAGATCATCGATATACCTGAAGCTTAAGTTAAACTTCGTGGCCAAATTACCTTGTTTTTGACTCTGCATATCTGAACAGAAATATGCATAAAGAAACAGATCCGCAAGGAGGGGAGCACAATTGGTGCCCATGGGTATGCCTACTTCTTGCCTAAATGTCTAATCCCCAGATTTTATGTAGATGTTATCAATGAGGAAGTCTGGCATTTCACATATTGTTTTCTCAGTAAACTTCAGATAGCATTTCTTTTCATTTTCACAAATTGTCCTGAACCTGAAATTGTGTTCACCACGTTTTGTAACAAAAGCCCTATTAATCAAAGAAGTTTTTCCTTAAGTTTGTCATGTGGGATAGTGGTGTACAAAGTTGAAAAACCAAATGTCTTGACAGAATGGAACTTGGTTCTTTTCTGAGATTGCAAAAAGTCAAGCAAATCCTTTGAGTTTTTGAAAAATCCACATGGTATAAATTCCACTTGTCTCAAATACTTTCTGTGAATATACAGAAAGTCCTTCCTTGATTGTATTAAGGATTCTGGTTAGTTGTTGAGACAGGGATTTGGTGGTACATTTGCTGGACACAGCAATATATCTCTCTTTGTACAGATTTTTATGGAGCTTTGGAATCCAGTACAAAAGAGGAATGGACATGTCTTCAGGTTTTAGAGTCAAGTCAAAAGTGGACAGTACTGAGTTGTGGTCTTGGCAGATTCCTTCCTCAGTTAACATACTGGCCTTATATGTGGCATTATTTGATATGTCACTTATACCAAGTTCTTTGATCAAACAATTAATGTAGTGATGCTTACATACAATGGTTGTTATTATTATTATTATTATTATTATTACCAGTAAAAATATTATTATTATTATTTGAGGCCTCGTCAATGGGAGCTTCAAAATTTTCATGCAGGGCTGGGACCAAATACATTTTAATGATGATATTATACCTGATACTGTAAATGTCTCTCCACAGTCAACACACCGATAACTTTTAGCGCAGTACTTAGGGTGACATGCTGACCATGCTGACGGTGTGATTTGAAATAAACTCAATAAACTCAATAAACTCGATAAACTCAAACGGAAGTGTCTTCAGTTGGTAATTCTCGTACCATGACTACTGTTATGCTATTAAAGGGCAATTACCATCACATCCTCATGTGAAAAAAAGAAAACACATGGATGTGTTGGAAAGTTATATACAAATGGTATGTTCCATAAAATTAATTAAAAACAAAGAATATATTCTTCTTTTTTTTATCTTGTTTTGCCCAACATGTACAAACCAAAAAACATGTTTGAAATTAATATAAATGTCTTCCAATTATTAATTTCATTATGTAATAATATATCAAATACAAAATATTATTTTTATATGGATCTATTACTTTTCATATGAATCAAATCCTGAGGCCAGATATCAGAACCAATGAGAGAGAGCTATCATGCCACCATTATTACGAATCAAAAGAGGTATTTGCCTCGTTATTATAATTATGATAATGGACGTTCACTGTATCCACCAAACCCAGTATATAACTATGGGGGAGATAATGAGGCAAAACAATTTGATTTTAAGTCATCACATTTGCTAAAATATGGATGCTAACCAATTGTTATTAACAAAGACATTTAATTTTATGTATTGTGGATAGATTTTGTGACAATAGTGAGGTGACATGAAATATTAATGCAAATGTCTCTTTAGAAAATGGGCTGTGTGTCACTGTTTAATTTCGCCTATGTGACGGCGCTCTTCGTGTCTCGAAACAATTGGTCTTATTCTCATGACATATACAAGACAAAAGTAAATTTTGAAAAGGCCAAGAGCATATTCTAAACATGAGTTCTAGCGTCTCTCTGCAGTAGATACATAAACAGCTGATAAAGTGTGTCCGCCAGGTTCCTTTGTCCAGTGGAGGTCGCTATTGTGGTGTCATTGCCTGGGTCAGTGAAGTGCCAAGAGCAGCCTACCTGTACAACCAAGCTAGTCACCAGGAGTGAGAAATAAGGAGTGGGTCAAAAACAGATTAAAAGCTACGATCACTAACAAACGAGACACAACTTCGTAAGCAGACGTTATCAAATGATCTACCCTCAGTGACATTCGTGATCCTATCTATAATCTGTGGCAGATCCTTTCACTCGAGGCTGCCAGCTTTGAGATACATCAGCTTTTGAGGAAGTTACATAGATTTTTTTCCCTTATAATACCGTTTATTGTCTTATAGTAGAATACAAGAACAAGAATTTAATACAAGTATAGAGATGTCCATTGCTGTTCAAATGCAGTTACAATGACATTTACAGTTACATTTCAGTGGCTGGACAGTCAAACATACCCTGACTATATAGAACATATAGGTCATCACTCATGCATCCACACACATGCTGAAACAACCCTAAGACGTAATTACACATTCCCCCCCCCCCCCCCCCCCCATCCCCCAGCCCACCTCCACCCACCAGCCAAAACACTTACACCAATGCTGATAGTTCCATGATACTGGTACATGATTACACATATCCCTCTACCATGTCTACCTCCCCAATCTAGATTTTCATGCATCCATATTCAAAAATAGTCACACAGATCACTGATATGGCTTGATTTCACTGTGAATCTTCATGTGTTTCTTCAGATGACTTGATCGTATATATGTTTTCTCACATTCAACACACTCATAAGGCCTGATTCCACTGTGCATCATCATGTGTGATCTCAGGGAATGGGATTGTGTGAATCTTTGCCCACATTCAACACACTGATACGGCTTGATTCCACTGTGAATCATCATGTGTGTCTTCAGAGCACTTGATCCTGTAAATGTTTTCTCACATTCCTCACACTTATAAGGCTTAACTCCACTGTGTTTCCTTATGTGTGTCTTCAGAGAACTTGATTCTGCAAACTTTTTCTCACACACCATGCACTGATAAGGCTTGATTCCACTGTGAATCCTCATATGGATCTTCAGATTACCTAATTCTGCAAAAGTTTTCTCACATTGAACACACTGATAAGGTTTGTCTCCACTGTGAACCCTCATGTGTCTCTGGAGAGAACCTTCATGAGTAAATGTTTTCTCACACACCATGCACTGATAAGGTTTGATTCCACTGTGAGTCCTCATGTGACTCTTCAGAGAACCTTGAACTGTAAATGTTTTCTCACATACAGTGCACTGATAAGGCCTGATTCCACTGTGAAGCCTCTTGTGTCTCTGCAGAGAACCTTGAAATGTAAATGTTTTCTCGCATACAGTGCACTGATAAGGCCTGATTCCACTGTGAATACTCATGTGTGACTGCAAGATACTTGACTGTGTAAATACTTTCCCACATTCAACACATTTATAAGGCTTGATTCCAGTGTGAATCCTCATGTGTGTCTGGAGAGTACCTGATGCTGTAAATGTTTTCTCACACACAATGCACTGATAAGGCTTGATTCCACTGTGAATCCTCATGTGTGACTTCAGATGACTTGATTGTCTAAATGTTTTCTCACATTCAACACACTCATGAGGCTTGACTTCACTGTGACAAAAGGTGTGCTTTTTCATACCACCTGATTTAATGAATGTGTTCCCGTTCTCACTACACGTTTGAGACTGCTTTGCTTGACCTCCACAAGATTTATGTTTCTTGAGATCACCTGTTTCCAGCGTGTCAGTAGCAGATTGTTCCTTGAGATCACCCTTTTCCAGCGTGTCAGTAGCAGAGTATTTCTGGAGATCACCTGTTTCCAGCATGTCAGTAACAGAGTATTTCTGGAGATCACCTGTTTCCACCGTGTTAGTAACAGAGTATTTCTGGAGATCACCTGTTTCCAGCATGTCAGTAACAGATTGTTTCTGGAGATCACCTGTTTCCAGCGTGTCAGTAACAGAGTATTTCTTGAGATCACCTGTTTCCAGCATGTCAGTAACAGATTGTTTCTTGAGATCACCTGTTTCCAGCATGTCAATAACAGATTGTTTCTGGAGATCACCTGTTTCCAGCATGTCAGTAGCAGAGTATTTCTGGAGATCACCTGTTTCCTGCGTGTCAGTAACAGAGTATTTCTGGAGATCACCTGTTTCCAGCGTGTCAGTAACAGAGTATTTCTGGAGATCACCTGTTTCCAGCGTGTCAGTAACAGAGAATTTCTGGAGATCACCTGTTTCCAGCGTGTCAGTAGCAGAGTATTTCTTGAGATCCAGCAATACTCTCTCACCATCCGCGATTACACATGTTTCAGTAAGAGAGCCAGGACTCTGTGTTTGGCCTTGTATTTCCATTATATGCTTGAGTGTGTTGAGATGATTACTGAAAACATAAAGAAGTTGTCACTTTCCTTTGCAAATTAATGCATTTATTTTTTACAGATGTTTCCAAATAAAGCAACAAACCCTTTCTATATCCAAAAGAAAAAGAGTTGATAGTACGACTCGGACTATATCATGAGCATGTGTTTATGAATCACCGTCAAATAGTAATGATACCAAGGGTTCATGAATAGGTGAGCGCCTCCTGCCCCACCAGTGACACCTGTCACAAACACATGCAGAGGCAAGTCAATTGTTCACCTGAAAAAAACATGGGAACATATTGTACAGGTCAAAATAAGGAATTTTATTGGACATCAAATCTGGAAATGTCCTCCACATGTCTACCATAAAACTTCTTGAAAGCTTTACTGAGGCCTTTAATGTTGTAACCTTGATCAAACAACTTCTGGGCAAGAGTCGTATGTGGCTCTTTGAAACCTTGGTAGAAAGAGCATTCTTGATATCTCAAATGTTGTTAAAAGTAAACACCAAAGGCTGGAGCTGCTGGAATATTGCTCGACATGAAGGGAAAGTTGACTATTGGAAAGCTGAAGTCATCCCTCTTGTAATACCGTCTTGTGGAGAGTGTTTTGTCACTCTGAATCTTTATGCATGGATCTAAATATTGAGACATGAGGCGGCCTCACTGGTCTCCTTTCTTCCTGGTTCAGGTGGGTAAATCAGTAGAAGGGATTTGGTTATTTGATTGTTATTGAACCATATCAGATCATCGATATACCTGAAGCTTAAGTTAAACTTCGTGGCCAAATAACCTTGTTTTGACTTTGCCAATCTGAACAGAAATATGCATAAAGAAACAGATCCACAAGGAGGGGAGCACAATTGGTGCCCATGGGTATGCCTACTTCTTGCCTAAATGTCTAATCCCCAGATTTTATGTAGATGTTATCAATGAGGAAGTGCAGCATTTCACATATTGTTTACTCAGTAAACTTCAGATGGCATTTCCTTTCATTTTTCACAAATTGTCCTGAACCTGAAATTGTGTTCACCACGTTTTGTAACAAAAGCCCTATTAATCAAAGAAGTTTTTCCTTAAGTTTGTCATGTGGGATAGTAGTGTACAAAGTTGAAAAACAGAAATGTCTTGACAGAATGGAACTTGGTTCTTTTCTGAGACTGCAAAAAATCAAGAAAATCCTTTGAGTTTTTGAAAAATCCACATGGTATGAATTCCACTTGTCTCAAATACTTTCTGTGAATATACAGAAACCCCTTCCTTGATTGTATCAAGGATTCTGGTTAGTCGTTGAGACAGGGATTTGGTGGTTTATTTGCTGGACACAGCAATATATCTCTCTTTGTACAGATTTTATGGAGCCTTTGAATCCAGTACAAAAGAGGAATGGACATGTCTTCAGGTTTTAGAGTCAAGTCAAAAGTGGACAGTACTGATGCATGGTTTTGGCAGATTTCTTCCTCAGTTAACACACTGGCCTTATATGTGGCATTATTTGATATGTCATTTATACCAAGTTCTTTGATCAAACAATTAATGTAGTGATGCTTACATGTAATAGTTATTATTATTGTTATTATTATTATTATTATTATTATTATTATTATTATTATTATTATTTGAGGCCTTGTCAGTGGGAACTACAAAAATTTCATGCAGGAAACACCACCAATAACAACTAGGGCTGGAACCAAATACATTTTGATGATGATATTATACCTGATACTGTAAATGTCGCTCCACAGTCCACACACTGATAAGATCTTAGTGCAGTTCTTAGGGTGACATGCTGATGGTGTGATTTGAAATAAACTTGATAAACTCAATAAATTCGATAAACTTGATGAACTCAATAACCTCAATAAACTCAAATGGAAGTGTCTTCAGTTGATTAATTCTCGTACCATGACTACTGTTATGCTATTAAAGGGCAATTACCATTACATCCTCATGTGGAAAAACAGAAAACACATGGATGTGTTGGAAAGTTATTTTTATATATTACTTTTCATATGAATCAAATCCTGAGGCCAGATATCAGAACCAATGAGAGAGAGCTATCATGCCACCATTATTACGAATCAAAAGAGGTATTTGCCTTGTCATTGCCTGGGTCAGTGAAGTGCCAAGAGCAGCCTACCCATACAACCAGGCTACAGTCAAACACACACACACTATACAGAACATACAGGTCATATTTCCAACGATAAAAAAACGCACGCACGCACGTGCGCATGCCATCTCTGTGTAACCTTGGGGGTCGGGTACTTTACCCTTCTACCTTAGGTCACTTGTACTTATCAACCACTCCTTGGTTCTGGGGATGATGTAGCTCTCTCAAAATCACAAGTCAGCTGGTTTGCTCAAGTCCTTTTTATTTATGATGGAATTAATCATAAATGTACACATATAGTCCTCAGATATTTTCTTGTAGCCTGTATACCTTAAATACAACACATACTTTAAGGATATATCGAAGAGCCTGATAATATTTCTTATCCACTGTTAACTCTAATACCTTAACCCAAAGCCTGATAGAATGTCATAAACCTCATTTTAAATTAATATTTAAAACACTTTTTCCCAAAATACCCTGGTTATACATGCCCTTCCTGTTGTAGAGCATGTCCCATGCGATTAACCAAAGAATTTTTATGGCAAACATGGCAAATATACATATACATACATATAACTTTCAGCAGTACAATATTACAATATCAATATGTAGCAACTTGTGTGTATGCATCTGAGGACCAGGAAAAACAATACAATGAAATTTTACAATGTAATGTCTCAGATAGGACCTGTCTTGGGTTGTACCTATCTGAGACTAGTAACATGTCAAGGCTATAAAGGCATAAATGAAATCATAATCACACAATTCTTCCTTGTAAAAATTCTGCAGATTCAGATCAGTTATTTAATTGATAAAAACGTTTTGTAATGATTATGATCGTATATTGCACATTTGAACATTTTCCTTCTAGGTAAAAATCATAATAATGTTTTTTCAACATCAAGACAACATCAACTTATTATTAAGTCACTGGACCTGGAATATTGTCAAATGTCTCATTGGGCAGTGATCACATGTGCAATCTATCAACAAATATTCAAGTCATCAAACATCCCACAACATACATATTCCTAATGGTAAGACTGCTCACAAGTGTTTTCAAAGAAAACATCTGCATCTACTAATACAGTATACATATTCAAACAATCAATAAAAACCCAATGCAATGCAACACACCATATACAACATACTGGTAACCATGGTAACATATAACAGATAAATGTCCTCTCATGAAATTCAGTATGTTTTTCTCATATTGTTGGTATACCCATTCATATATAAATAATGTTTAAATGCATATAAATAAGCACAAAAGCATAAACCATGTAATAAAGGAAACATCTTGAATACAATATAACATCAACATTTATACAAGAGGACACTAGTCTGTCTGGGATCACGTAAATTCCTAAAATTGCGACATTTCAATGTTCTCTGGTCTCTGCGGAACGGATGGATAAATTAACATTACATCCCCAACAGCAGCTGTGTGAGTAGCGATGGGATCGATTGTGGAATCATGTTTGGTCCTAAACTTCTAAGATATAACAGACTAACTGGAATCATAGCCAAAGTAAAGTGAGTAAATTTAGTTCAAGATGCCAGTTCTATTTTCAAATAGGTCTTAGAGTTCCTCATTCCCTTCACAATAATGTACACTGCCATGGCAAAGATAACCAAAACTCCTGCATAGAATAGAATATTAATATTATAAATAAACATTGGTTTGATATCTGCCAGGTTATTATTGGTAAAACTTAGTACTAACCTTCTTGACACATTACCCATGTAGATAGTTAAAAGTATGAGTCCTTTGAAGCATATGTCCGAAGAAGCATCCCTGAATCATATATGAGCTTCCTGATAGCCATTGAGTCCCTCCCACTGGAGTCCAGTTATTAATAAAAATAGGATTGGTTGGGTCAGTGTAGATTATCTTATTTTGTATTGCGAGTTTAACAGCTCTCCGAAGATTAATGCTTATCTTTGTTACCATACAACATATTACTCTCTCATGAATAGTGTCTACCAACATTAAGTTAACCGCAGAACACAGCGCTTATGTTCATACAGTTCCAGTTCATGTGTCAATAATATGCTGTACTTGTGGGTCAGTTGAATATTTTTAAGTTAAAAGGCCTTGTTTTTAAACAGCTTCTGATTTCTTACAACTTCAATCCCAGTAATATAACCGTATGTCCATTTTTCACTCCTATTGTTGTGTCTGTGTCAGCATCTTAACTCATGAAAAAAACCAAAAAAAACATTCCTTCTCCTCCAACAGCCTTCTGACCAGGCAAAACTCTTCTGTACAAATATGATTGGCCAGTCATCTACATCCCATGACCGATTTATAGGTCTTCACCCAATCTACAAGACAAATTGACTCTCTGTCCTTCGTCCTGAATGAATTCATCGTTAGTCTTTCAACTGTCCTCAATGTACTCAGCAACCTGAGGTAGAGAAATATCTACCTCACCACTAGAGACTGTCAGGCATCTCTAGACTTGATCTCTCAAGCTTTTCAAACAACATAGGCATCCGGTTTTTTATGTGTTTTATCACTCTCAAATACACGTAGACATGTTCCCTCTATGACCTTGTTGACATTATTACGGCTTGGGCATGTTACCTCCACGGCTTATCAACATCTCATGACAGCGTAGGCATGTGACCTCCACGACTTACCATCATTTCATATCTGCGTAGGCATGTTACCTATACGTCCTTTTCATCATTTTTTTATCTGCGTAGGCATGTTACCTCTACGTCCTTTTCATCATTTCTTATCTGCGTAGGCATGTTAAATACAACACATACTTAAAGGATATATCGAAGAGCCTGATAATATTTCTGATCCACTGTTAACTCTAATACTTTTCTGACCCGGACTTCCAATCTATAGAGAGAACCTCTCTGTTCAGCCGTGAGTTTCCGAATCCCCGCACCACTCCCGGACAACTCATAAAATACCCTTGATGATAATTTTATCTCCACCCATCGAAATAATGTTCCAAGTCATACCGAAATGACTCATACGCTCATTTCAACAGAAGCTATTTTCCAATCTCCAAATGGCAGATTCAGTTTGCGCTATCAAACTCTTCTTGTCTAAAATAACTCAGTTAACTTTCTAAATTCATCAGTCAATCAAACAAAGTTCATGAACCTAGGATGAAAGCCAGATACTATGTCAAAATGGTATTTACTAATTTACCAAGATATCCTTAATCAGATTCCAATCAAGCAATAATTCATACAATATTTGGTCACTCAAAGACTGATTATCCATACCATCTTTTCATTTGAATCAATAGAATCAATAACCTTTTGACCTCTTGGTTGAAGCCTCACCAAGTTGTCACCTCTCAGATGACCATTTCGTATTTTAACCAAAAGCCTGATAGAATGTCATAAACCTCATTTCAAATTAATATTAAAAACACTTTTTCCCCAAATACCCTGGTTATAACTGATCACGCATGCATTCACACACATGCTGAAACAACCCTATGACGTAATTACAAAACACTTACACCCACACTGGTTTTTCCATAATACTGCAACATACCCCTCACCCTCCACCCACCACAATCGATTTTCATGCATCCATATTCCAAAATAGACACACAGATCACTGATGCGGCTAGATTCCACTGTGAATCCTCATGTATCTCTGCAGATGACCTTGAAGTGTAAACGTTTTCTCACATTCAACACACTTATATGGCTTGATTCCACTGTGCATCCTCATGTGTGTCTTCAGAGCACTTGATTGTCTAAATGTTTTCTCACATTCAACACACTTATAAGGCTTGATTCCACTGTGCATCCTCATGTGTACCTGCAGATTACATGATCCTGCAAACGTTTTCTTACACACCATGCACTGATACGGCTTGATTCCACTGTGAATCCTCATGTGTCTCCTCAGAGCACTTAAATCTGCAAATGCTTTCCCACATTGAACACACTGATAAGGTTTGTCTCCACTGTGAATCCTCATGTGTCTCTGCAGATTACCTTGAAGTGAAAATGTTTTCTCACATTCAAAACACTTATAAGGCTTGATTCCACTGTGCATCCTCATGTGTGTCTGCAGAGAACCTGATAATGCAAAGGTTTTCTCACACACCATGCACTGATACAGCTTGATTCCACTGTGGATCCTCATGTGTGACTTCAGATGACTTGATTTTGTAATTGTTTTCTCACATTCAACACACTTATAAGGCTTGATTCCACTGTGCATCCTCATGTGTCTCTGCAGAGAACCTGATAATGCAAAAGGTTTTCTCACACACCATGCACTGATACAGCTTGATTCCACTGTGGATCCTCATGTGTGACTTCAGATGACTTGATTTTGTAATTGTTTTCTCACATTCAACACACTTATAAGGCTTGATTCCACTGTGCATCCTCATGTGTGTCTGCAGAGAACCTGATAATGCAAAGGTTTTCTCACACACCATGCACTGATACAGCTTGATTCCACTGTGGATCCTCATGTGTGACTTCATATGACTTGATTTTGTAATTGTTTTCTCACATTCAACACACTCATAAGGCTTGATTCCACTGTGCATCCTAATGTGTACCTGCAGAGTACATGATCCTGCAAACGTTTTCTTACACACCATGCACTGATGCAGTTAGATTCCACTGTGAATCCTCATGTGTGACTTCAGATGACTTGATTGTCTAAATGTTTTCGCACATTCAACACACTTATAAGGCTTGATTCCACTGTGCATCCTCATGTGTGTCTTCAGAGCACTTGAATGTCTAAATGTTTTCTCACATTCAACACACTTATAAGGCTTGATTCCAGTGTGCATCCTCATGTGTGACTTCAGATGACTTGATTGTCTAAATGTTTTCCCACATTCAACACACTTATAAGGCTTGATTCCACTGTGAATCCTCATGTGTGACTTCAGATAATTTGATTTTGTAAATGTTTTCTCACATTCAACACACTTATAAGCCTTGATTCCACTGTGAATCCTCATGTGTGTCTTCAGAGCACTTGATTGGCTAAATGTTTTCTCACATTCAACACACTTATATGGCTTGATTCCACTGTGAGTCCTCATGTGTGACTTTAGATGACTTGATTGTCTAAATGTTTTCTCACATTCAACACACTTATAAGGCTTGATTCCACTGTGCATCCTCATGTGTACCTGCAGAGTACATGATCCTGCAAATGTTTTCTTACACACGATGCACTGATGAGGCTTGATTCCACTGTGCATCCTCATGTGTGTCTGCAGAGAACCTGATTCTGCAAATGTTTTCTCACATTCAACACACTTATAAGGCTTGATTCCACTGTGCATCCTCATGTGTACCTGCAGATTACATGATCCTGCAAACGTTTTCTTACACACCATGCACTGATACGGCTTGATTCCACTGTGAATCCTCATGTGTCTCCTCAGAGCACTTAAATCTGCAAATGCTTTCCCACATTGAACACACTGATAAGGTTTGTCTCCACTGTGAATCCTCATGTGTCTCTGCAGATTACCTTGAAGTGAAAATGTTTTCTCACATTCAAAACACTTATAAGGCTTGATTCCACTGTGCATCCTCATGTGTGTCTGCAGAGAACCTGATAATGCAAAGGTTTTCTCACACACCATGCACTGATACGGCTTGATTCCAGTGTGAATCCTCATGTGTGTCTTCAGAGCACTTGATTGTCTAAATGTTTTCTCACATTCAACACACTTATAAGGCTTGATTCCACTGTGCATCCTCATGTGTACCTGCAGAGTACATGATCCTGCAAATGTTTTCTCACACACCATGCACTGATACGGCTTCATTCCACTGTGAATCCTCATGTGTGACTTCAGATGACTTGATTTTGTAAATTTTTTCTCACATTCAACACACTTATAAGGCTTGATTCCAGTGTGAATCCTCATGTGTGTCTGCAGAGACCATGATTCTGCAAACGTTTTCTCACACACCATGCACTGATACGGCTTGATTCCACTGTGAATCTTCATGTGTGACCTCAGAGCACTTGATCCTGTAAACGTTTTCTCACAATCAACACACTTATAAGGTTTAACTCCACTGTGTTTCCTCATGTGTGCCTGCAGAGCACATGATTGTGCAAATGTTTTCTCACACACCATGCACTGATAAGGTTTAATCCCACTGTGAATCATCATGTGTAACTTCAGATGACTTGATCGTGTAAATGATTTCTCACATTCAACACACTTGTAAGGCCTGATTCCGCTGTGAATATTCATGTGTGACTTCAGAGCACTTGATTGTGTAAATGTTTTCTCACATTCCTCACACTTATAAGGTTTAACTCCACTGTGTTTCCTCATGTGTGTCTGCAGAGTACATGATCGTGCAAGCGTCTTCTCACACACGATGCACAGATAAGGCTTGATTCCACTGTGAATCATCATGTGTGACCTCTGTGAACCAGATCGTGTAAACGTCTTCCCACATTCAACACATTTACATGGCTTGACTTCACTGTGACAAACGTTTTTCATATCACCTGATGTAATAAATGTTTTCCCTTTCTCACTACATATTTGAGACTCATCCCCACAATATTTATGTTTCTTGAGATCACCTGTTTCCAGCGTGTCAGTAACAGATTGTTTCTTGAGATCACCTGTTTCCAGGGTGTCAGTAACAGATTGTTTCTGGAGATCACCTGTTTCCAGTGTGTCAGTAACAGATTGTTTCTGGAGATCACCTGTTTCCTGCGTGTCAGTAACAGATTGTTCCTTGAGATCACCTGTTTCCAGCATGTCAGTAACAGATTGTTTCTGGAGATCACCTGTTTCCGGGGTGTCAGTGGCAGATTGTTTCTGGAGATCACCTGTTTCCAGCGTGTCAGTGGCAGATTGTTTCTGGAGATCACCTGTTTCCAGCGTGTCAGTAACAGATTGTTTCTGGAGATCACCTGTTTCCAGCGTGTCAGTAACAGATTGTTTCTGGAGATCACCTGTTTCCAGCATGTCAGTAACAGATTGTTTCTGGAGATCACCTGTTTCCAGCATGTCAGTAACAGATTGTTTCTGGAGATCACCTGTTTCCGGGGTGTCAGTAGCAGATTGTTTCTGGAGATCACCTGTTTCCAGCGTGTCAGTTACACATTGTTTCTGGAGATCCAGCAATACTCTCTCACCGTCCGTGATTACACATGTTTCAGTAAGAGAGACAGGATTCTGTGTTTGGCCTTGTATTTCCATTATATGCTTGAGTGTGTTGAGATGATTACTGAAAACATAAAGAAGTTGTCACTTTCCTTTTTCAAACTAATGCATTTGCTACAGATGTTTCCAAATAAAGCAACAAAACCCTTTCCCTATCCCAAAGAAAAAGAGTTGATTCACCGGTGACACCTGTCACAAACACATACAAAGGCAAGTCAATTGTTCACCTGAAAAAACACGGGAACATATGGTACATTTCAAATTAGGGAATTTCATCGGACATCATTCTTATCAAATTTGGAAATGTCCTCCACATGTCTACCATAAAACTTCTTGAAAGCTTTACTGAGGCCTTTAATGTTGTAACCTTGATCAAACAACTTCTGAGCAAGAGTCGTATGACCATGATGACTGTCTTTGAAATCTAGGTAGAAAGAGCATGATTGATTACATCTCAAATGTTGTGAAAAGTAAACACCAAAGGCTGGAGATGCTGGAATATTGCTCGACATGAACATGATGAAGGGAAAGTTGACTTTGGGAAAGCTGAAGTCATCCCTCTTGTAATACCATCTTGTGGAGAGTGTTTTGTCACTGTCAATCATTATGCATGGATCTAAATATTGAGACATGAGGCGGCCTCACTGGTCTCCTTTCCTCCTGGTTCTGGTGGGTAAATCAGTAGAAGGGATTTGGCTATTTGATTGTTATTGAACCATATCAGATCATCGATTTACCTGAAGCTTAAGTTAAACTTCGTGGCCAAATTACCTTGTTTTGACTTTGCCAATCTGAACAGAAATATGCATAAAGAAACAGATCCGCAAGGAGGGGAGCACAATTGGTGCCCATGGGTATGCCTACTTCTTGCCTAAATGTCTAATCCCCAAATGTTACGTAGATGTTATCAATGACGAAGTCCGGCATTTCACATGTCGTTTACTCAGTAAACTTCAGATGGCAATTCCTTTCATTTTTCACAAATTGTCCTGAACCTGAAATTGTGTTCACCACGTTTTGTAACAAAAGCCCTATTAATCAAAGAAGTTTTTCCTTAAGTTTGTCATGTGGGATAGTGTACAAAGTTGAAAAACCAAATGTCTTGACAGAATGGAACTTAGTTCTTTTCTGAGATTGCAAAAAGGCAAGCAAAGCTTTTGAGCTTTTGAAAAATCCACATGGTATGAATTCCACTTGTCTCAAATACTTTCTGTGGTGGTACATTTGCTGGACACAGCAATACATCTCTCTTTGTACAGATTTTTATGGAGCTTTGGAATCCAGTACAAAAGAGGAATGGACATGTCTTCAGGTTTTAGAGTCAAGTCAAACGTGGACAGTACTGATTTGTGGTTTTGGCAGATTTCTTCCTCAGTTAACATACTGGCCTTATATGTGGCATTATTTGATATGTCACTTATACCAAGTTCTTTGATCAAACAATTAATGTAGTGATGCTTACATACAATGGTTGTTATTATTATTATTATTATTATTATTATTATTACCGGTATAATTATTATTATTTGAGGCCTCGTCAGTGGGAGCTTCAAAATTTTCATGCAGGGAACACCACAACAATAACAACTAGGGCTGGGACCAAATACATTTTGATGATGATATTATATCTGATACTGTAAATGTCTCTCCACATTCAACACACCGATAACTTTTAGCGCAGTACTTAGGGTGACATGCTGACCATGCTGACGGTGTGATTTGAAATAAACTCAATAAACTTGATAAAGTCAATAAACCTGGATGTGTTGGAAAGTTATATACAAATGGTATGTTCCATAAAATTAATTAAAAACAAAGAATATATATATTTTTTTGGCCCGACATTTACAAACCAAAAAACATGATTGAAATTAATAGAAATGTCTTCCAAATTATTTGATATTTTGATCATAAATTTCAAAATGTAATAAAATATCAAATACCAAATATTAGTTTTACATATTACTTTTCAAATCCTGAGGCCAGATATCAGAACCAATGAGAGAGAGCTATCATGCCACCATTATTACGAATCAAAAGAGGTATTTGCCTCGTTATTATAATCATGATAATGGACGTTCACTGTATCCACTAAACCCAGTCTATAACTATGGGGGAGATAATGAGGCATAACTATTTCATTTTAAGTCATCACATTTGCTAAAATATGGATGCTAACAATTTGTCATTAAAATGGTAGTTTCATTCTATTTATTATGCATAGATTTAGTGACAATTGTGAGCTGATATGGAATATCTCTAACAAAATGTCTACGTCATCACATTTGCTAATATTTGGATGCTAACGAAATGTCTACATCATCACATTTGCTAATATTTGGATGCTAACGAAATGTCTATGCCATCACATTTGCTAATATTTGGATGCTAACGAAATGTCTACGTCATCACATTTGCTAATATTTGGATGCTAACGAAATGTCTACGTCATCACATTTGCTCATATTTGGATGCTAACGAAATGTCTACGTCATCACATTTGCTAATATTTGGATGCTAACGAAATGTCTATGCCATCACATTTGCTAATATTTGGATGCTAACGAAATGTCTACGTCATCACATTTGCTAATATTTGGATGCTAACAAAATGTCTACGCAATCACATTAGCTAATATTTGGATGCTAACGAAATGTCATTAATGTGGTCATTTAATTTTATATATCATGGATACAATCTTGTGACAATAGCGAGCTGACATGAAATATTAATAACGCACATATCTCTTTTGAAAATAGGATATGTGTCACTTCTTACATTTCGCCTATGTGACGACGTTCTTCATGTCTCGAAACAGCTTAAATGTTTTCCTTTACTAACAGTAACAATTGGTCTTATTCTCATGACATATACATTGCAATAGTAAAGTTTGAAAAGGCCAAGAGCATATTCTACACATCAGTTCTAGTGTCTATCTGCAGTAGATACATAAACAGCTGATAAAGTGTGTCCGCCAGGTTCCTTTGTCCAGTGGAGGTCGCTATTGTGGTGTCATTGCCTGGGTCAGTGAAGTGCCAAGAGCAGCCTACCTGTACAACCAGGCTAGTCGCCAGGAGAGAGAAATAGGGGTTGGGTCAAAAACAGATCAAAAGCTACGATCACTAACAAACGAGACACAACTCCGTAAGCAGACGTTATCAAATGATCTACCCTCAGTGACATTCGTGATCCTATCTTATAATCTGTGGCAGATCCTTACACTTGAGGCTGCCAGCTTTGAGATACATCAGCTTTTGAGCAAGGTACATTCATGTTTTCCCTTATAATACCGTTTATTGTCTTATAGTAGAATACAAGAACAAGAAGTTAATACAAGTATTGAGATGTCCATTGCTGTTCAAATGCAGTTATAATGACATTTACAGTTACATTTCAGTGGGTGAACAGTCAAACATACACTGACTATATAGAACATATAGGGCATATGATAAAAAAACATAAACACACATAAACACACACACACACACACACACAGCCATCACATATCACTCATGCATTCACACACATGCTGAAACAACCCTAAGACGTAATTACACATCCCCCCCATCCCTCCACCACCCACCAGCCGAAACACTTACACCAATGCTGGTAGTTCCATGATACTGGTACATATTTACACATCACCCCCATCCCTCCACCACCCACCAGCCGAAACACTTACACCAATGCTGGTATTTCCTTAATACTGGTACATAATTACACATATCCCTCTACCATGTCTACCTCCCCAATCTAGATTTTCACGCATCCATATTCCAAAATAGACACACAGATCACTGATGTGGCTTGTTTTCACTGTGAATCCTCATGTGTGTCGTCAGTTGACCTGATAGGGTAAATGTTTTCTCACATTGAACACACTTATAAGGCCTTTTTTCCACTGTGCATCCTCATGTGTGTCTGCAGAGAACCTGATTCTGCAAATGTTTTCTCACACACCATGCACTGATAAGGCTTGATTCCACTGTGAGTCCTCATGTGTCTCTGCAGAGAACCTTGAAGTGTAAATGTTTTCTCACACACCATGCACTGATAAGGCTTGATACCAATGTGAATCCTCATATGGGTCTTCAGAGTAGATGATTGTGTAAATGTTTTCTCACACACGGTGCACTGATGAGGCTTGATTCCACTGTGAATCAGCATGTGTGACTGCAAGCTACTTGACTGTGTAAATGCTTTCCCACATTCAACACACTGATGAGGCTTGATTCCACTGTGAATAAGCATGTGTGACTGCAGGCCATTTGACTGTGTAAATACTTTCCCACATTCAACACACTGATGAGGCTTGATTCCACTGTGAATCCTCATGTGTGAGTGCAAGATACTTGACTGTGTAAATACTTTCCGACATTCAACACACTGATATGGTTTGATTCCAGTGTGAATCCTCATGTGTGACTGGAGAGTACCTGATGCTGTAAATGTTTTCTCACACACGGTGCACTGATAAGGCTTGATTCCACTGTGAATCCTCATGTGTGACTGCATCTCACATGACTGTGTAAATACTTTCCCACATTCAACACACTGATAAGGTTTGATTCCAGTGTGAATCCTCATGTGTGTCTTCAGATTACCTGATTCTGTAAATGTTTTCTCACACACGATGCACTGATAAGGCTTGATTCCACTGTGAATCCTCATGTGTGACTGCAGATTACCTGATCGTGTAAATGTCTTCCCACATTCAACACACTTATGAGGCTTCACTTCACTGTGACAAAAGGTGTGCTTTTTCATATCACCTGATTTAATGAATGTGTTCCCGTTCTCACTACACGTTTGAGACTGCTTTGCTTGACCTCCACAAGATTTATGTTTCTTGAGATCACCTGTTTCCAGCGTGTCAGCAGCAGATTGTTTCTGGAGATCACCTGTTTCCAGGGTGTTGGTAACAGATTGTTTCTGCAGATCACCTGTTTCCAGGGTGTCAGCAACACATTTTTTCTGGAGATCACCTGTTTCCAGCGTGTCAGTAACACATTGTTTCTGGAGATCACCTGTTTCCTGCGTGTCAGTAACAGATTGTTCCTTGAGATCACCTGTTTCCAGGGTGTCAGTAACAGATTGTTTCTGGAGATCACCTGTTTCCAGCATTTCAGTAACAGATTGTTTCTGGAGATCGCCTGTTTCCAGCGTGTCAGTAACACATTGTTTCTGGAGATCGCCTGTTTCCAGCGTGTCAGTAACAGATTGTTTCTGGAGATCACCTGTTTCCAGCATGTCAGTAACAGATTGTTTCTGGAGATCACCTGTTTCCAGCGTGTCAGTAACAGATTGTTTCTGGAGATCACTTGTTTCCAGCGTGTCAGTAACAGATTGTTTCTGGAGATCCAGCAATACTCTCTCACCATCCGTGATTACACATGTTTCAGTAAGAGAGACAGGATTCTGTGTTTGGCCTTGTATTTCCATTATATGCTTGTGTGTGTTGAGATGATTACTGAAAACACAAAGAAGTTGTCACTTTCCTTTGCAAATTAATGCATTTTCTACAGTTTTTTCCATATATAGCGACAAAACCCTTTCCATATCCAAAAGAAAAAGAGTTGATAATACGACTCCGACTATATCATGAGCATGTGTTTATGAATCACCGTCAATTAGTAATGATACCAGGTGTTCTCGAAAAGGTGAGCGCCTCCTTTCCCACCGGTGACACCTGTCACAAACACATGCAGAGGCAAGTCAATTGTTCACCTGAAAAAAACATGGGAACATATGATACAAGTCAAAATAGGGAATTTCATCGGACATCATTCTTCTCAAATTTGGAAATGTCCTCCACATGTCTGCCATAAAACTTCTTGAAAGCTTTACTGAGGCCTTTAATGTTGTAACCTTGATCAAACAACTTCTGACAAGAGTCGCATGACCATGATGACTGTCTTTGAAATCTAGGTGGAAAGAGCATGCTTGATTATATCTCAAATGTTGTGAAAAGTAAACACCAAAGGCTGGAGCTGCTGGAATATTGCTCGACATGAAAATGATGAAGGGAAAGTTGACTTTGGGAAAGTTGAAGTCATCTCTCTTGTCATACCGTCTTGTGGAGAGTGTTTTGTCACTGTCAATCTTTATGCATGGATCTAAATATTGAGACGGATGAGGCGGCCTCACTGGTCTCCTTTCTTCCTGGTTCAGGTGGGTAAATCAGTAGAAGGGATTTGGCTATTTGATAGTTATTGAACCATATCAGATCATCGATATACCTGAAGCTTAAGTTAAACTTCATGGCCAAATAACCTTGTTTTGACTTTGCCAATCTGAACAGAAATATGCATAAAGAAACAGATCCGCAAGGAGGGGAGCACAATTGGTGCCCACGGGTATGCCTACGTCTTGCCTAAATGTCTAATCCCCAGATTTTATGTAGATGTTATCAATGAGGAAGTCCGGCATTTCACATATCGTTTTCTCTGTAAACTTTAGATGGCATTTCCTTTCATTTTTCACAAATTGTCCTGAACCTGAAATTGTGTTCACCACGTTTTGTAACAAAGGCCCTATTAATCAAAGAAGTTTTTCCTTAAGTTTGTCATGTGGGATAGTAGTGTACAAAGTTGAAAAACCAAATGTCTTGACAGATTGGAACTTAGTTCTTTTCTGAGATTGCAAAAAGGCAAGCAAAGCTTTTGAGCTTTTGAAAAATCCACATGGTATGAATTCCACTTGTCTCAAATACTTTCTGTGGTGGTACATTTGCTGGACACAGCAATACATCTCTCTTTGTACAGATTTTTATGGAGCTTTGGAATCCAGTACACAAGAGGAATGGACATGTCTTCAGGTTTTAGAGTCAAGTCAAAAGTGGACAGTACTGATTTGTGGTCTTGGCAGATTTCTTCCTCAGTTAACATACTGGCCTTATATGTGGCATTATTTGATATGTCACTTATACCAAGTTCTTTGATCAAACAATTAATGTAGTGATGCTTACATACAATGGTTGTTATTATTATTATTATTATTATTATTATTACCAGTATAATTATTATTATTTGAGGCCTCGTCAGTGGGAGCTTCAAAATTTTCATGTAGGGAACACCACCACAATAACAACAAGGGCTGGGACCAAATACATTTTGATGATGATATTATACCTGATACTGTAAATGTCTCTCCACATTCAACACACCGATAACTTTTAGCGCAGTACTTAGGGTGACATGCTGACCATGCTGACGATGTGATTTGAAATAAACTCAATAAACTTGATAAAGTCAATAAACCTGGATGTGTTGGAAAGTTATATACAAATGGTATGTTCCATAAAATTAATTAAAAACAAAGAATATATATATTTTTTTGGCCCGACATTTACAAACCAAAAAACATGATTGAAATTAGTAGAAATGTCTTCCAAATTATTTGATCTTTTGATCATAAATTTCAAAATGTAATAAAATATCAAATACAAAATATTAGTTTTACATATTACTTTTCAAATCCTGAGGCCAGATATCAGAACCAATGAGAGAGAGCTATCATGCCACCATTATTACGAATCAAAAGAGGTATTTGCCTCGTTATTATAATCATGATAATGGACGTTCACTGTATCCACCAAACCCAGTATATAACTATGGGGGAGATAATGAGGCATAACTATTTCATTTTAAGTCATCACATTTGCTAAAATATGGATGCTAACAATTTGTCATTAAAGTGGTCGTTTCATTCTATTTATTATGCATAGATTTAGTGACAGTTGTGAGCTGATATGGAATATCTCTAACAAAATGTCTACGTCATCACATTTGCTAATATTTGGATGCTAACGAAATGTCTACGTCATCACATTTGCTAATATTTGGATGCTAACGAAATGTCTATGCCATCACATTTGCTAATATTTGGATGCTAACGAAATGTCTACATCATCACATTTGCTAATATTTGGATGCTAACGAAATGTCTACGCCATCACATTCGCTAATATTTGGATGCTAACGAAATGTCATTAATGTGGTCATTTAATTTTATATATCATGGATACAATCTTGTGACAATAGCGAGCTGACATGAAATATTAACGCACATATCTCTTTTGAAAATAGGATATGTGTCACTTCTTACATTTCGCCTATGTGACGACGTTCTTCATGTCTCGAAACAGCTTAAATGTTTTCCTTTACTAACAGTAACAATTGGTCTTATTCTCATGACATATACATTGCAATAGTAAAGTTTGAAAAGGCCAAGAGCATATTCTAAACATGAGTTCTAGCGTCTCTCTGCAGTAGATACATAAACAGCTGATAAAGTGTGTCCGCCAGGTTCCTTTGTCCAGTGGAGGTCGCTATTGTGGTGTCATTGCCTGGGTCAGTGAAGTGCCAAGAGCAGCCTACCTGTACAACCAGGCTAGTCACCAGGAGAGAGAAATAGGGGTTGGGTCAAAAACAGATTAAAAGCTACGATCACTAACAAACGAGACACAACTTCGTAAGCAGACGTTATCAAATGAACTACCCTCAGTGACATTCGTGATCCTATCTATAATCTGTGGCAGATCCTTACACTTGAGGCTGCCAGCTTTGAGATACATCAGCTTTTGAGCAAGGTACATTCATGTTTTCCCTTATAATACCGTTTATTGTCTTATAGTAGAATACAAGAACAAGAAGTTAATACAAGTATTGAGATGTCCATTGCTGTTCAAATGCAGTTATAATGACATTTACAGTTACATTTCAGTGGGTGAACAGTCAAACATACACTGACTATATAGAACATATAGGGCATATGATAAAAACACATAAACACACATAAACACACAAAAACACACACACACACACACACACACACACACACACACACACACACACACACACACACACAAAAACAAACACACAGCCATCACATATCACTCATGCATTCACACACATGCTGAAACAACCCTAAGACGTAATTACACATCCCCCCCCATCCCTCCACCAGCCCACATCCATCCACCAGCTGAAACACTTACACCAATGCTGGTAGTTCCATGATACTGGTACATAATTACACATCACCCCCATCCCTCCACCAGCCCACCTCCACCCACCAGCCAAAACACTTACACCAATGCTGGTAGTTCCATGATACTGGTACATATTTACACATCACCCCCATCCCTCCACCCACCAGCCGAAACACTTACACCAATGCTGGTAGTTCCATGATACTGGTACATAATTACACATATCCCTCTACCATGTCTACCTCCCCAATCTAGATTTTCACGCATCCATATTCCAAAATAGACACACAGATCACTGATGTGGCTCGATTTCACTGTGAATCCTCATGTGTGTCGTCAGTTGACCTGATTGGGTAAATGATTTCTCACATTCAACACACTTATAAGGCCTGATTCCACTGTGCATCCTCATGTGTGTCTGCAGAGAACCTGATTCTGCAAATGTTTTCTCACACACCATGCACTGATAAGGCTTGATTCCACTGTGAATCCTCATATGGATCTTCAGATTACCTAATTCTGCAAAAGTTTTCTCACATTGAACACACTGATAAGGTTTGTCTCCACTGTGAATCCTCATGTGTCTCTGCAGAGTAATTAAATCTGCAAATGCTTTCCCACACTGAACACACTGATAAGGTTTGTCTCCACTGTGAATCCTCATGTGTCTCTGCAGAGTACATGGAAGTGTAAATGTTTTCTCACACACCATGCACTGATAAGGCTTGATTCCACTGTGAGTCCTCATGTGTCTCTGCAGAGTACCTTGAACTGTAAATGTTTTCTCACACATGGTGCACTGATAAGGCTTGATTCCACTGTGAATACTCATGTGTGACTGCAGGCTACTTGACTTTGTAAATACCTTCCCACATTCAACACACTGATAAGGCTTGATTACACTATGAATCCTCATGTGTTTCCGCAGAATACATGGAAGTGTAAATTTTTTCTCGCATACAGTGCACTGATAGGGCTTGATTCCACTGTGAGTATTCATGTGTGACTGCAAGCTACTTGACTGTGTAAATGCTTTCCCACATTCAACACACTGATGAGGCTTGATTCCACTGTGAATCCTCATGTGTGATTGCAAGCTACTTGACTGTGTAAATGCTTTCCCACATTCAACACACTGATAAGGCTTGATACCAGTGTGAATGAGCATGTGTGACTGCAGGCCATTTGACTGTGTAAATACTTTCCCACATTCAACACACTGATAAGGCTTGATTCCAGTGTGAATCCTCATGTGTTTCTGCAGATGACCTGATTGTGTAAATGTTTTCTCACACACGGTGCACTGATAAGGCTTGATTCCACTGTGAATCCTCATGTGTGACTGCAGCTCACTTGCCCTTATAAATGCTTTCCCACATTCAACACATTGATGAGGCTTGATTCCACTGTGAATCCTCATGTGTGTATGCAGGCCACCTGACTGTGTAAATACTTTCCCACATTCAACACACTGATAAGGTTTGATTCCAGTGTGAATCCTCATGTGTGACTTGAGAGTACCTGATCGTGTAAATGTTTTCTCACACACGGTGCACTGATAAGGCTTGATTCCACTGTGATTCAGCATGTGTGTCTGCAGCTCACTTGACCTTTTAAATGCTTTCCCACATTCAACACATTGATCAGGCTTGATTCCACTGTGAATCCTCATGTGTGACTTCAGAGCACTTGATAGTGTAAATGCTTTGCCACATTCAACACACTGATAAGGCTTGATTCCACCGTGAAGTCTCATGTGTTTCTGGAGAGTACCTGATTCTGTAAATGTTTTCTCACATACGATGCACTGACAAGGCTTGATTCCACTGTGAATCCTCATATGTGTCTTCAGATGACCTGATTGTGTAAATGTTTTCTCACACACAATGCATTGATAAGGCTTGATTCCACTGTGAATTCTCATGTGTGACTGCAGATTACCTGATCGTGTAAATGTCTTCCCACATTCAACACACTTATGAGGCTTGACTTCACTATGACAAAAGGTGTGCTTTTTCATATCACCAGACTTAATGAATGTTTTCCCGTTCTCACTACACGTTTGAGACTGCTTTGCTTGACCTCCACAAGATTTATGTTTCTTGAGATCACCTGTTTCCAGGGTGTCAGTAACAGATTTTTTCTTGAGATCACCTGTTTCCAGCGTGTCAGTAACAGATTGTTCCTTGAGATCACCTGTTTCCAGGGTGTCAGTAACAGATTGTTTCTGGAGATCACCTGTTTCCAGCATGTCAGTAACAGATTGTTTCTGGAGATCACCTGTTTCAAGCGTGTCAGTAACAGATTGTTTCATGAGATCACCTGTTTCCAGCGTGTCAGTAACACATTGTTTCTGGAGATCACCTGTTTCCAGCGTGTCAGTAACAGATTGTTTCTGGAGATCACCTGTTTCCAGCGTGTCAGTAACAGATTGTTCCTTGAGATCACCTGTTTCCAGCGTGTCAGTAACAGATTGTTTCTGGAGATCACCTGTTTCCAGGGTGTCAGTAACAGATTGTTTCTGGAGATCACCTGTTTCCAGGGTGTCAGTAACAGATTGTTTCATGAGATCACCTGTTTCCAGCGTGTCAGTAACAGATTGTTTCTGGAGATCACCTGTTTCCAGCGTGTCAGTAACAGATTGTTTCTTGAGATCACCTGTTTCCAGCGTGTCAGTAACAGATTGTTTCTGGAGATCACCTGTTTCCGGGGTGTCAGTAACACATTGTTTCTGGAGATCACCTGTTTCCAGCGTGTCAGTAACAGATTGTTTCTGGAGATCCAGCAATACTCTCTCACCATCCGTGATTACACATGTTTCAGTAAGAGAGACAGGATTCTGTGTTTGGCCTTGTATTTCCATTATATGCTTGTGTGTGTTGAGATGTTTACTGAAAACACAAAGAAGTTGTCACTTTCCTTTGCAAATTAATGCATTCTCTACAGTTTTTTCCATATATAGCGACAAAACCCTTTCCATATCCAAAAGAAAAAGAGTTGATAGTACGACTCCGACTATATCATGAGCATGTGTTTATGAATCACCGTCAAATAGTAATGATACCAGGTGTTCTCGAAAAGGTGAGTGCCTCCTGCCCCACCAGTGACACCTGTCACAAACACATGCAGAGGCAAGTCAATTGTTCACCTGAAAAAAACATGGGAACATATGATACAAGTCAAAATAGGGAATTTCATCGGACATCAAATCTGGAAATGTCCTCCACATGTCTACCATAAAACTTCTTGAAAGCTTTACTGAGGCCTTTAATGTTGTAACCTTGATCAAACAACTTCTGACAAGAGTCGCATGACCATGATGACTGTCTTTGAAATCTAGGTAGAAAGAGCATGATTGATTATATCTCAAATGTTGTGAAAAGTAAACACCAAAGGCTGGAGCTGCTGGAATATTGCTCGACATGAACATGATGAAGGGAAAGTTGACTTTGGGAAAGTTGAAGTCATCTCTCTTGTCATACCGTCTTGTGGAGAGTGTTTTGTCACTCTGAATCTTTATGCATGGATCTAAATATTGTTATCAATGAGGAAGTCCGGCATTTCACATATCGTTTTCTCTGTAAACTTCAGATGGCATTTCCTTTCATTTTTCACAAATTGTCCTGAACCTGAAATTGTGTTCACCACGTTTTGTAACAAAGGCCCTATTAATCAAAGAAGTTTTTCCTTAAGTTTGTCATGTGGGATAGTGTACAAAGTTGAAAAACCAAATGTCTTGACAGAATGGAAATTAGTTCTTTTCTGAGATTGCAAAAAGGCAAGCAAAGCTTTTGAGCTTTTGAAAAATCCACATGGTATGAATTCCACTTGTCTCAAATTCTTTCTGTGGTGGTACATTTGCTGGACACAGCAATACATCTCTCTTTGTACAGATTTGTATGGAGCTTTGGAATCCAGTACACAAGAGGAATGGACATGTCTTCAGGTTTTAGAGTCAAGTCAAAAGTGGACAGTACTGAGTTGTGGTCTTGGCAGATTTCTTCCTCAGTTAACATACTGGCCTTATATGTGGCATTATTTGATTTGTCATTTATACCAAGTTCTTTGATCGAACAATTAATGTAGTGATGCTTACATACAATGGTTGTTATTATTATTATTATTATTATTATTATTATTACCGGTATAATTATTATTATTTGAGGCCTCGTCAGTGGGAGCTTCAAAATTTTCATGCAGGGAACACCACCACAATAACAACTAGGGCTGGGACCAAATACATTTTGATGATGATATTATACCTGACACTGTAAATGTCTCTCCACATTCAACACACCGATAACTTTTAGCGCAGTACTTAGGGTGACATGCTGACCATGCTGACGGTGTGATTTGAAATAAACTCAATAAACTTGATAAAGTCAATAAACCTGGATGTGTTGGAAAGTTATATACAAATGGTATGTTCCATAAAATTAATTAAAAACAAAGAATATATTCTTTTTTTTTTCCCCGACATTTACAAACCAAAAACATGATTGAAATTAATAGAAATGTCTCCCAAATTATTTGATCTTTTGATCATAAATTTCAAAATATAATAAAATATCAAATACAAAATATTATTTTTACATATTACTTTTCATATGAATCAAATCCTGAGGCCAGACATCAGAACCAATGAGAGAGAGCTATCATGCCACCATTATTACGAATCAAAAGAGGTATTTGCCTCGTTATTATAATCATGATAATGGACGTTCACTGTATCCACCAAACCCAGTATATAACTATGGGGGAGATAATGAGGCATAACTATTTGATTTTAAGTCATCACATTTGCTAAAATATGGATGCTAACAATTTGTCATTAAAGTGGTCGTTTCATTCTATTTATTATGCATAGATTTAGTCACAATTGTGAGCTGATATGGAACATCTTTTTTGAAAATGGGGTGCGTGTCACTGTTTACCATGTTTACATTTCGCCCATTTGACCACAGCAAAAATACATGATTGAAATTAATGACTAACACCTTCCAAATTATTAGATCTTCTTGTGATTAATTTCATAATGTAATAATATATCAAAAACAAAATACATTACTTTTCATATGAATCAAATCCAGAGGCCAGATATCAGAACCAATAAGAGAGAGCTATCATGCCACCATTGTTAAGAATCAAAAGAGGTATTTGCCTAGTTATTGTACAGGGCGTTCAATATATCCACCAAACCCAGCATATAACAGTGGGTGAGAAAAGGAAGCATAACCTGTGGCATCTACGTCATCACATTTGCTAATATTTGGATGCTAACGAAATGTCTACGTCATCACATTTGCTAATATTTGGATGCTAACGAAATGTCTGTCATCACATTTGCTAATATTTGGATGCTAACGAAATGTCTACGTCATCACATTTGCTAATATTTGGATGCTAACGAAATGTCTACGTCATTACATTTGCTAATATTTGGATGCTAACGAAACGTCTACATCATCACATTTGCTAATATTTGGATGCTAACGAAATGTCTACGCCATCACATTTGCTAATATTTGGATGCTAATGAAATGTCATTAATGTGGTCATCTAATTTTATATATCATGGATACAATCTTGTGACAATTGCGAGCTGACATGAAATATTAACGCACATATCTCTTTTGAAAATAGGATATGTGTCACTTCTTACATTTCGCCTATGTGACGACGTTCTTCATGTCTCGAAACAGCTTAAATGTTTTCCTTTACTAACAGTAACAATTGGTCTTATTCTCATGACATATACATTGCAATAGTAAAGTTTGAAAAGGTCAAGAGCATATTCTACACATCAGTTCTAGTGTCTATCTGCAGTAAATACATAAACAGCTGATAAAGTGTGTCCGCCAGGTTCCTTTGTCCAGTGGAGGTCGCTATTGTGGTGTCATTGCCTGGGTCAGTGAAGTGCCAAGAGCAGCCTACCTGTACAACCAGGATAGTCACCAGGAGAGACAAATAGGGGTTGGGTCAAAAACAGATTAAAAGCTACGATCACTAACAAACGAGACACAACTTCGTAAGCAGACGTTATCAAATGATCTACCCTCAGTGACATTCGTGATCCTATCCAGCTTTGAGATACATCAGCTTTTGAGCAAGTTACATTCATGTTTTCCCTTATAATACCGTTTATTGTCTTATAGTAGAATACAAGAACAAGAAGTTAATACAAGTATTGAGATGTCCATTGCTGTTCAAATGCAGTTATAATGACATTTACAGTTACATTTCAGTGGGTGAACAGTCAAACATACACTGACTATATAGAACATATAGGGCATATGATAAAAACACATAAACACACATAAACACACACACACACACACACAAACACACAGCCATCACATATCACTCATGCATTCACACACATGCTGAAACAACCCTAAGACGTAATTACACATCACCCCCATCCCTCCACCACCCACATCCCTCCACCAGCTGAAACACTTACACCAATGCTGGTAGTTCCATGATACTGGTACATATTTACACATCACCCCCATCCCTCCACCCACCAGCCGAAACACTTACACCAATGCTGGTAGTTCCATGATACTGGTACATATTTACACATCACCCCCATCCCTCCACCACCCACCAGCCGAAACACTTACACCAATGCTGGTAGTTCCATGATACTGGTACATATTTACACATCACCCCCATCCCTCCACCACCCATCAGCCAAAAAACTTACACCAATGCTGGTATTTCCTTAATACTGGTACATAATTACACATATCCCTCTACCATGTCTACCTCCCCAATCTAGATTTTCACGCATCCATATTCCAAAATAGACACACAGATCACTGATGTGGCTTGATTTCACTGTGAATCCTCATGTGTGTCGTCAGTTGACCTGATTGGGTAAATGATTTCTTACATTCAACACACTTATAAGGCCTGATTCCACTGTGCATCCTTATGTGTGTCTGCAGAGAACCTGATTCTGCAAATGTTTTCTCACACACCATGCACTGATAAGGCTTGATTCCACTGTGAATCCTCATATGGATCTTCAGATTACCTAATTCTGCAAAAGTTTTCTCACATTGAACACACTGATAAGGTTTGTCTCCACTGTGAATCCTCATGTGTCTCTTCAGAGTAATTAAATCTGCAAATGCTTTCCCACATTGAACACACTGATAAGGTTTGTCTCCACTGTGAATCCTCATGTGTCTCTGCAGAGTACATGGAAGTGTAAATGTTTTCTCACACACCATGCACTGATAAGGCTTGATTCCACTGTGAGTCCTCATGTGTCTCTGCAGAGTACCTTTAACTGTAAATGTTTTCT